CTGTGTTAGTCACAACTAAAACTGGATTAACCAATGGTCCGAGATAACAGCTTCGAAACGAACACTCCGAATGCAACGGATAAATAATTATTAATATACCTATTTCCCGGCACTTAATAAAATCTTTGGCATATGCTGCTCCATTATAGTAAGCTTTTGGCCGGAGCTATAGCATGGGATATTGATATACTATGATTCCGTTTCGCTGATCGCTGTTGTAAGCATAGCTTGACCTTTAATTTTGCATGTGACGACAAATAAACTTAGTGGTGTTAGTGGAAATCACAATCTTGACTATAGGGTGGATAAACAAGATATATATATTTTCTAAAAGCCTGGCAAGTCTCTTTTACAATATGTAGACCTATTTAAACATTTCTTTGACGATTGGCTTGATGTTTGAAGTTTTCCTATACGCCCTAGGGTAGCCAATATCACGACCTTGGATCAAGCAAAACTCGTTCAAACAAGGTGGATACAGCTGTCTGTTAATCTGCTAACCTCAAATCCTCTAAAGGTTATTGGCTCTATCAACGCCACATCCGATAATCCTTAAGTTTAAACCAATAGTCCGCCATGTAGATCAGCTAGCGCTGTGTACCGAAATTCAGGAGGAATTTCTTTAACCAGCATAATGTTATTTCTTCTTAGAGACGCCCACCACTTTGTATTTTCTATCTTCACGATTTCTTCACCCTTACAGTCATTACCTGGAACACTTACTATGCGAGCTCTAGCTCTTCAGATGCTGGCGATATGCCAACTTGCCTGTGCATCGCCATGCAAGCCTTCTTCCTCTGCTTCAGTCACTTTATCTACGACTTCCGCTGAATCTACGTCTGCTCCCGCTGTTTCGTCCTCAACTATCGCCGATGAAATCGAGACATCTACCACTTTCTTCACTGGATCAACTGCTGTGTCAGACACTGAGACAGCCATTATTGAGATAGCTACTAGCGAGACAGAGACGGAGACCGTTTCGGGCTCTACTACCGAAGTCGCCTCTGATTCGGCTACTTCCACTATCCTGATCACCACTTCAAGTGCTGAACCAACTACATTCGCGACCTCCACCGCAGACCCTACAACCACAACAGCTGCCGCAGAACCAACCAACGTCCTCACAAACCCCGGCTTCGATTCAGGCACCATCAGCCCCTGGTACACAATTGGACAACGTGGCACGCTCTCCCTCTCCGACGAGGGAACCCACGCAGGCGAATTCTCTGGCCACTTCTATGCGGATTACAACGGCCCTGTCGTCCTAGGCGTCGATCATCCCGTTGACCAATCATTGATCAAAGTTGACACTGAGTACCATTATTCTATCTGGATCAAGACGACCACGGCTGTTGATTGCCAGACGCGAAAGATTACCTGTGGAGCTGGAGGCGGGTACATCTTGGGCACCGATTGGGCTGGGCCGTATAATGAATGGACGCAGTTTACTATGAGCTGTATTTGGAATCAGAACTTCTTAGATCTGGTACCGAGTATTCAGATTCGGGCGGAGTGCCAGAATTTGGAGTTTTATGTTGATGATGCTATTCTTATTGAGGCGAACTAGACTCTGGCAGAGTCGGCTTTCATGTATCAAGATATAGAGTGCTTAAAGCTGTTCAGTCCAGGTCTGGTCCCTTGTTCCCACCAGTTGGGGCAAACTTGCTACAGGACGCTTCATTCCTCCCATCAAAGCTGCCTCTTGGTGGATCAAACTTGTCTGCTTCAAAGAAACGTGGTCCGTTTTTTACTTCTTGTCTAATTTAGAATTTATCATAGAATCGCTTTTGTTCATTTCTTCATTTGAGCCAGATAAGACTCGACATCAGACTCCCTCAACCGAGTAGCCTTACCGTTCACCTGCTCGCCAATGTCAACCTGATAAGCCCTCATCTTCTCAAGATACTCTGGCACGAAAGCACCCAGGATTCTGATGGCGAGAAGAGCGGCGTTGGTGGAGTTGTTGATGCCGACGGTGGCGGTAGGAACGCCGCGCTGTATCGAGTCAGTCTGTGCATATCTATGGATGGGGTAGTTACTTACAGGCATCTGGACAATGCTCAGAAGAGAGTCCATTCCATCTAGGTGAGTGGCCTTGACGGGAACACCAATGACGGGAAGAGGGGTGTAGGCTGAGACCATGCCAGGAAGATGGGCAGCTCCTCCTGCGGCGGCAATGATGACTTTGATGCCTCGATCAGCAGCAGCAGTCGCAACATCACCCATTTTGACAGGAGTTCGGTGAGCAGACGTAATGTCAACCTCCCAAGGCACACCAAACTGAGTGAGAATATCAAGACCAGCCTTGAGAACGGGAAGATCAGAGTCAGAACCCATAGTAACAAGAACCAAAGGATCCTTAGTAGCCTTGGCAACAGCCTGTTCAGGACGAAGACTCTTGCTCTTTGCTTGAATGCGCTCCTGTCGCATATCAGCAGCCAACTTGACAAGAGGCTGAGCATACTCCTCAAGCTCCTTGATGCTGGCGGTCAATCCGGTGAGGGTGATGTGACCGATCTTGCGACCGGGCTTGGACTGCTTGCCGTAGAGATGGGGGTACACGCCGATGTTGCTGGCGAACATGGACTTGGCCTTTTGGACGAGAGGGATGTGAGATTCGGGTTCGGCGCCGCCGAGAATGTTGATCATGATGCTAGAAGCGACGTGGTGTTCCAGCTTTTCAGGGAGGGGCTCGTCGAGAATGGATGTGAGTTGCGCCTTGTACTGTGACCTGTACATGTCTGAGCATGAAATCAGTTGAGCAATATTGAACACTTACATGTAGGGAACGGCCTCGATGGTGAGATGACCAGAGTTATGAGGTCGCGGCGCAATCTCATTGACAAGAATGTCATTCTTCTCCGTGACAAACATCTCAACGGCAAAAACACCTCGTCCCCACAGCTTTTCAACAACGCTGACAGCAACCTCCTGGGCGCGCTTAGACACCTCATCGGGTGTATCGCGGGGAGGCATGTAAACCCGCGAGCAAACATTGTCCTCGTGAACAGTCTCCACACAAGGGTACGGCACAAGACGCTTCGTTCGGCCCTCAGTGTCCTCTGTGCGAATAACAATGACGGAGAGTTCGCGCTGGAAAGGGACGTACTTCTCAGCGTAGCACTGAAGCTTTCCAAATTCGCTCACAGCAGTCTCGATATCCTCGTCATTAGCGATCTTGATATTTCCACGTCCATCATACGAATCCTTTCGCGACTTGAGCATATAAGGAAATCCAAACTTAGTCGCGACATCCTTCAGCGCCTTACGCATCTCCTCCGCGCCCTGAGCCTGAATAGCGACCTGCTCAGCGATAGGAATACCCTGCTTGCCCAGATAATCCTTCTGCTCGAACTTATCCTGAATCAAGCGCAGCGTCTTCCACGAAGGATAAACAACAACCTTTCCCTCAGTAGCCAACTCCTCCAGAACAGCAGTCTCGATATGCTCAGTCTCAACGCTGAGGACGCTGCAGCTGCTGGCGAGCTCTCTGATCTTCTGGGCGTCTTTGAAGGAGCCGTCGACGTGGTACTTGCTGCGGCTGACTTGCTTGGCGGGTGCGTCTTGGGCGTCGAGGATGGCGATCTCGACTTCGAGAGGGGATGCGGCTTCGCAGAGCATGCGGCCGAGTTGGCCGCCGCCGAGAAGACCGAGCGCAGGTTTTCCACTCATTTTGGCTGCGAGGGATGTGAGATATCCTTGTTGGAGTGAGTGAGTGAATGAGTGGGTTTGTGCGATGAGGTCAACGGAAAAATTTAGATCGGAGCTGGAGATGTGGGGCTCCGAGTCGGACAGGGATGACTAATCAGTCGTTTATGCTCTGCCAGATAAACTTTACAGATCAGATAAGATCAAAGGAGGAGGACGCCTGGAAGAGTCAATCTCTGTGGTCAAGATGATTCTTTTTTCGTTCAAGTAGTTGGTCCCAGTTGATCAATGCTTTGAGCCCCGGCATTTGGACCCCGGATGCCGTCTTGATTCGGAAACGGGACGGGGCACGGCTCCGACCTTATCGGGTCGACCTCCGATATCGTCAACCCCGCTTATCGCAACCTCATGGCGGGGTACCTCAATGGTGTTGCTGCACATACAAAACGATGAAATTGGAAACTTGATCCCGATATGAAAGTCATTCTGCTTCGACAATTTTCCTTCCTTTCTCTGTTTTCCATCATTCACTATTCATATCGAGTCCTCGAGTTGCTCACGCACCTACCCTTGATCTTTAAATGACCAGATAATAAAACAGTTCCTATGTTGTATTTCGAGCCTTTTGACGCAAGTCAAACTCTTTGTCGAGGCAGAAGTTGAAATTGCTGACATCAAGCGAGAATCCAACTATCATCTAACCCCTCATTAAGCTTTCCTCTGGTGCGGTTATGTTTTGCCTGTTGAATCCAATAATATAAAACCCAACACGAGATGTTAATGAACCCTCTGTTCTACCTGTTAAGGCATTCTCTTAAAGGACCTTCCAGCTAGGCGTTGAGCAAAGCGGGGTAGCAAGATAAGGGCTTGATGGGGAATGGCTTAGCTTACTTTTCAGGCTGTGTTGTCTGGTATCTGCTACTGATGGACGGCCTCAATGCTGAGTGTCAAGAGTTGGCAGCTGAAACGTCGCATCAGGTAGCTTCTCCCTGCACCATCTCGTAATGGTAGACTCGCTCAGTATAGCCCGGCGCGGCCCGGTAAAGATGCTCTAGCAACTGATTGGTGAGCTGCTAGTTTAATGGCCATCACACCCTGTGTTTCTGCTGCTGCCTGAGGCTAAGTAAGCACAGCCTAAGACGTGTTCGATGCTCAAGCTGCTCTGCCGGGTTGCTCGATTGGCTCGACGAGAGGTGCGGCGCTGGCTATATAGCATGATTACCCCACGGTGGTAACGTCACGTCATGTGCCGTGCTTATCATCAAACAGTCGTCAGCAGAGCTGAACAGAATCAAAACCTCACGCAGCAAACCTGAATAGAAAGCCACAAAAAGTAACCAAAAATACGCACGATGAAGAGCAGTGATCGCTGGGCCTCGCAATACGCCCAGGGCATGGCCGATTGGTCCTTCGGCCACGCATGCTATCACCGAACGAGCTCCAAGGATGTTAAACCGGGCTCCGTTGGTTACTTCGACCGCAATGGCAACTGGAAGAAGATTCTCTCCCTTCATGACGTGCAGAACTCTGGAGAACCTGCAGCTCAGGGAATTTCCAAGAAATTCACGCGACTGGCAGAGCCATTAACGGTGCATGATGATGTTGAGATGGAGATCGGGACTCTTACGTCTTCACAAACCGTTAGCACAGATGCAGGCTTCAAAATTGAAGTGCAAGTTGACACCGCCATGGTAATCACTAGATAGAAGATTGAGCTAACATATACAACGTATGGCTGCAGCCCAATCTTGGCCCAGACACCTATCAATGTGGGTACGGATAATGCCTACCGAAATAGCAACACCCTTGGCGCCGTCCTAGTAATGAAGAACCCCGTGGTGCGATCGAGCATTGAAGATGGTGACTTTCTTGATCGCTGGTTCAAAGAGAACCAGAGACTGTTTCCAGAGATACGTTCGGCCGTGAGAGAACACGGTGTCTGGCTGGTCACGACCACTTACACCACCGAGGAAATAGCCTTGAATGTCTGGCAAGATAAAGACAAGGTTGTTAAGCTAGGATTCTCGGCCGGTATAGATGGTATCGTGAACCTCGAGCCGAGCATTGAACGTGGAGAGAAAAAGCACGCAGATGGCTCGTTCACATATCGAGCAAAGGTACGCGCCTAGTACACGCTATTAGGGGAATGCTCTGTGCTGAAATGGCTTATATCTAGAGTGACGAAAGACTTGTCAGCTTCGTCGGGGGCATTCGTTTTCATTATAGGAGCTACGTGGTACGCAGTCTACCCCTCTCATACCGAGCTGCACTGACGAATCTGAGCTGTAGTGGACCACCGGTAAATTGGAACCAGGAGTCGCGTATGTTCAAGACCCGCGGACCTACCACGTTCAGACGTGGACCGAGGCGGAACGAGTAGGAACTGAGGGTAAGTTGGTTTCCTTATGTGGAATGCCGAGATATGGACCAGCTGCGTTGATTGACTTGCCCTGTTACTTGAACTGACATTGGCTTAGCTCAAGGCAAGCATGTTGAAGCTCAAAAGTCTGGCAAGGGAACCGTCACAAAAGATACCGAGGCGGTCCACGGCGTAAGCGACGAGAAAGACGCTGAGCTAAACATGAAACAGACCGATGAAGATAGCACGTCAGAATCCTCCGCTCGGCCAGAGGTCGAGACCGACGACGACGCTTTGCAGGATAAGGAGGATGAAGAGTACAGCCTTACTGATGCGGTTCACGATGGGAATGCTGACAGAGTCCGTGACGCTCTTGGGCGAAAGTCAGAAGACATCTCGCAAAAGGAAGACTACAACGGGTTGCTCAAGGACGCTTGTGCTGCAGGCTACGCTGACATTGTCGATCTACTCATAAAGGCCGGTGCAGACACCAACGCACTCGGCGGTTGCGGTCTATACACCCCGCTCATTGCAGCGTCAAAGAGAGGCCACGCCCGAGTGGTTCAGGCACTCCTCGGAGCAGGAGCAGATCCGGATGTTTCCGACGGCCGCTCTAATGCCCTGTTTGCTGCCTCGGAAGCCGGCCACGATGATATTGTACTATGGCTCCTGGCGGCGGGGGCTGATGTTGACCAGCTTGCTTCGAGGACCAGTGCGCTGCAAGTTGCTGCGGAAGGCGGGCATGACAAGTGCGTTCGGTGGTTGATAGCTGCTGGTGCCGATGTCGATCAACAACACGGGGGCACAGCGCTGCATCGAGCGACCAGGAAGGGCTATCTGGGTATCATCCAGCAGCTCCTTGTCGCTGGAGCGGATGTTGATCTTCAAGAGGAACGCGGAGAGAAACGCGAAGAGGCCCCTCTTCACGCAGCAGCGGGCTCAGGGAGTGTTGATGTCGTCGAGTGCCTGCTCAATGCGGGCGCTGACGTGAACGCCTACGGGGGAACCAAAAAGACCCCAATAGCAGTAGCTGCTGCAAGCGGGTGTGTGCCGGTCGTGAAGCTACTCCTCGACGAGCTGGAAGCCAGCGGTAGAAAGAGGTTCGGACCTGCTTTAGCATATGCCGTTCAACATGGGCATGTAGAAGTCGTGAGCATGCTCCTCACAGCTGGAGCATCACCCGGTGGTGATCCAGAAGAGCCATTGGACTATCACAGCTTGAAACCTCCTCTAATTATCGCAGCCCAAGAAGGAAATGAGGATCTTGTCACCCGCCTCATCAAAGCTGGCGCTAACGTCAATCAGTTCTTTAGCCAGTACGGGAGAAGCGTCACGTCGCTGTATGCGGCTTCTTTGAAGGGCCACCTGGCCATCATGCGGCAGCTCCTGGATGCTGGTGCTGATATCGATGGTAAAGCAGGCTACCTTGGGACCCCGTTACTCGCTGCCGTTAGTGAAGGGCAAGTCGAAGCCATGACTCTCCTTCTTGATGCGGGTGCGGATCTACAGGCACGGAGCACAGTGAATAAATTCCCGGCATTAGTGGTCGCCTTGGATAAGGGGCATCCTGAACTCGTAGATCGTCTCATCAACGCCGGTGCAAATGTCAACGATTCGACAGAGTACTACGGCAGCGCGCTACAGGCTGCGGCATTCAAGGGGTATCGGGATGTTGCTGAGAAGCTGCTCGACGTTGGCGCGGATCCGGCGATGGAGGGTGGACGCTACGGACTGGCGATCGTTGCTGCGGCGGCGAAGCAGCATGATGATGTTGTGAAAATGTTTGTTGACCGACGTGCGGTGACGAAGGAGCAGGCTAAGAAGGCGAAAGACCGGGTGGAGGAGATGATTGAGTCGGGAGATGAGAGATCTGACGAGTTTCATGAGATACTGGAAATGTTGAGTAGCGTGCTCTAGTATGCCAGCCGTTAGCGGACGCCTGCTGTGACGATTAACACCCATATCAGGTACCGATACACAATTTGATGGTTTATCAGAAGAGAATCTTGAGTAATTAGGTATATCTTCTCCTCACTTTCACTATCCTATCCTAAATTTCCATAGTATACTTAATATCTCCGATGGAACGTAGGATCCGAAAAGGTGCCAAAGATCATGACTGCCTGGTGCAGTACAGGCGCTTATCCAGCATACATAGTAATTACTACTCGAAAATTCGGATATGACGAAGCACTTATATCCGAGATATCCCAACTTATAAAGAGGAATACTAAGGAAATCATGCGGATCCCACGTTAAAAGAATGAACCAATAGATAATGTTCCGAGCTCAAATATAGTCTGTTCATCGGGCCGTCGGCTCGATCGGTTCCTGAAACTGTAACATTAAAACGGACATTATTCGATCCAAGCTTCGGCTCTTATAAAATCTTATGCAAACTGCTACAAAACATGTTTCAGACAGATTTAGACCCATTCAATCCTAATTACCCACCAATACCCCATCCCTGTCGGATGAAACCTCTCAATCAGGTTGAAACAACAGCGGGGAATGGTTTGGTAAACGACCTATGTCAGTCGATTAGCTCTTGGAATGTTCATGCGCTGTGGTATCCCTGTTTATCTCCCGCGCTTAAATAGCAGACGGCTAAGCTCGATATTCGTCCAGCAACATAGCTAGTCATCAGTATATACAAGTCATTGAAAATGCGCGCTTCTCTCGACTCCACTCTTCTTATCCTCGCCAACGTCTTGGCAGTCAAGGCTCAGTCATGCCCTGATATTCACATCTTTGGCGCCCGTGAAACTTCAGTTGCGCCAGGCTTTGGCTCAGCTGGTCAGCTAGTTGATATGATCAAGGCTGATCACCCTGGCGCAACTTCAGAGGCAATTGACTACCCTGCTTGCGGTGCCCAGGCTTCATGTGGCGGCGTTCAGTATGGTGACTCTGCGAAACAGGGTACTCAAGCTGTCACCACTGCTGTGAATGGTCTCAATCAGCGCTGCCCTCAGACAAAGATTGTCCTGGTCGGTTACTCTCAGGTACGTCATCTACTATCACTAGCATTGGTGCCTGTAATTGATAAATATTGCTAGGGTGGCCAAATCATGGACAACAACATCTGTGGAGGCCCTGACTCTGGGGCTGGCATTTCTGATTCATCTGTTCCTCTCTCCGCTAGTGCAGTTCAACAAGTTAAGGCCGTTATCATGCTGGGTGACCCTCGATTCGTGAGCGGCCTATCTTACGGAGTCGGTACCTGCACCGCTGGCGGCGTAAGTCATACTACCGTGATTTTTATGACGTTACTGATAATATTTAGTTTGATGCACGACCTGCAGGCTTCAGCTGCCCTAACGCCGATAAGGTCCAGATCTACTGCGATTCTCAGGATCCCTTCTGCTGTAACGGAAACGACTCCAACCACCACCAACAATACGTCAACATCTACGGAAAAGAGGCTTTGGCATTTGTCAACAGCAAGCTATAACGGAGTTCTGTGCATGAGGAGAGCATGCCCGTGGCTGCACATGATGGTAAATTGATTTAGTGATATTCTTGGTAAAGACTTCTTTTATAACAAAGGTTAAGACGATATGCCAGCTATCTAAGTACATTGCGTGTTTGAGTCTACACTCAGCTAGTTGAATGCCACAAGTCTTATCATATATAATTATTAAGTTCCAAAAAGAGGAAATAGTATAGGAACAAGACAATCATACGAATCGAGACCAGCTGGAAAAGACATGAATAAGTTAGCATGAGCTCTATTTTGACATCCAAATGTAAAGTTTTATTATCCTACCCCACTACTCTTTTATCTCTGAGAGCATTATCTTAGTCCCTGCCACTAGCTTCATACCTTCACTCCCATCACCATTCGCGCTGTAGATAGCTTGGTGGATTAGCCTCTTATCCGTCCTGACTAATACAGGTAGACTTTGCCCTGATTTATCCAGCATATTATAATCGTCTTCTATTCAGTTATCTACTAGTACCGAGAGGTGGTTCTTGTCTTACTTCGGTATGTATAGCGTTATACGACTGTTTGCAGTTAAGATCGTGCCGGGTATCGATTAGGCAAAATTGTATTAAGTTCCCTCAAAGAGAGTTAACTTTGTTACAATAGGTGCAAGCTCTTATGGATCTGTTATCTTACCCTGTTCCCCGAGAGATCAAAATATACTCAAACCCTCATGATAGAACTTTTGAAATGGAAGGACGCAGAACCTCTGTATAATCCTACGGTACTTCGGACGCTGAAGGTGGCACAACATATGCGCGTTGATTGTGCGGTAGCTACTAGCTAGCCAGCCACCCAGGGGGAGAGGTGCATTGACGGTGCCCCAATGAGGCAGGGCGCTGCGAATGGGACAGAACTAAACTGAGTCGCAGAGAGTTAGGCGGAAAAGCAGATCAGAAATATTAAGAGGAGTTATTGATCTAATCTAAGTTTACAAGAGAACATAATCAGTCTAGTTGTTTTCTTCTAATCCGTCCCATGCTTTAGCTCCCGCTCCTTAAACCCCTTCAACATCCCCAGGCTCTCGCATCCTATATGCCTTTATCCAAAGATTGTGCCTGACACATCTGGTAATAGATCCCACCCTTCTGCATTAGTGATGCGTGTGTACCGGACTCTACAATTCTGCCGCCAAGGAAGACGAAAATACAGTTTGCATCCTTGATGGTAGAGAGACGGTGAGCGACAGCGATAGTAATACGTTTCCCACAAGCTGCAGCTTCTGCCAATGCTTCTTGAACAATCTTCTCGCTCTCTGTATCTAGTGCTGATGTGGCCTCATCCAGAAACAGGATATCAGGGTTACGCACAAGAGCCCTAGCAATTGCTATACGCTGACGCTGGCCTCCAGATAGTGAGAGTCCTCGTGAACCACACTGCGTATCCAGTCCTTCAGGCAAGGACTCAATGAAAGTGTATATATTAGCTTTTTTGCAAGCGTTTATAATCATGCCATCAGTGAGAGCTTCTGTGTTCTCAAACCCCAAGGAAATGTTCTCCCGGATAGTGCCCTGGTAGAGCATTGGCTCTTGCTGCACTAATGCAGTATGTCCCCGGTAGAGACGTGGATTGAGCAACGCAATATTCTGTGCGCCGAGGTTAATAGAACCGGAAGAAGGATCGTAGAATCGTTCGAGCATGGATATCATGGTGCTTTTACCACATCCCGAGCTGCCAACAAATGCAACAAACTCTCCAGGTTGGATCGTCATTGAAATGCCACCCAGTACTTTCGTGTCGGGTCTTGTGGGGTAGGTGAATCTGACGTTATCCAATATCATGGAGTCTGGAGAGTCTGAAGGACCTTTGTCGTGGTTGTCTGGTGTTTCTGTTACGATTGGCTTCAATGACCTGACCCAAGCCATGTAGTTGCCCGCCGAGACAGCCTTGGTAATGCCTGCAAGTCAGGGTCAGTAAGTTTTTTTTCCATGGAGGAGGAGAAGGACATCACTCACTGGTTGTATACATGAAGAATTGTGCCGCTCCCTGGCCACTGAGGAAGACACCAACGAAGACAATGTAGAACTGACGCATCGTATACTCGTTGAAAGACAACAAGCGGCAACCGTACCTACAAGAGCATTAGTTGCGGTCAAGGTAGAATAGCAGAGGGCGACTCACCAGAATCCTAGAGCAAGTACAAGTGAATCAATAGATTGCGAGAGGGCGAACCAGAACATGGAATGCAGGATCGACGGGATAGAAGTTCGCACAATGCCATTGATCATGTTGCGATATTGATCCAAGATCTGTCGTTCGAGTGCCAAGGAGGCGACGGTTCTGATTGCAGCGACAGCTTCCCCTGCAAGCGCCGAGCTGTTTGCAAACCTTTTTCCTGTTTCCTCGTCGAGCCTGAACTCAAGTCGTATGCGAAGGTAGCCAGCGAAAAGAAGTGGAGGAAGACCGCCCAAGACGACGACAAGGCCCAACTTCCAGCCTGTCGCGATTGCGAGGATACTCATGGCGACAATCTGGATGATAACGATGAAGATCAATGAGAGATTGAAACCCATGAGTTCCTGGAGTTGCGTCGGTTGAGACGATAGGCGACTTGTAAGTGCTCCAGTTGTGTTCTCAGCACGATCAAAGAATTGAATGTCCTGAGAGAGGATTGCTTCAAGCATTTCGCGACGATAAAACTGGGTCATTCTCTGTTTCCTCGTCAGCTTCATTACCAATCACTGGCGTATGGGCTGGTCATACCTGGCCGATGGTGTTACAGAACCATCCAAGAACGAAATAAATGATGAGGTTGCCGATGGCAATGATGAAAAATACGAGAGCAAAGAAATCTCCTTTGGACCGTAGTTTTGAGCCAGAATAGGTGAATACATTCATCAGCTCTGCAAAGACGAGGGCTTGGCCGGGATACACGGCACCTAAATGAGTCAGTCAACCCAACTCAACAATTGATAAGAAACCTACCTCCTGCAAGACACATGAGAAACATGAGAAATAGCGTGGGCCAGAGAGATCTTTGTTCCACAAGTGATGACCAAACCACCCTCACAATGCCTCGCTTTTTCCAGTTGCTGTAGTCAAGGAGCTCCTGTTGTTGCAATGCTGAAGAAATGCCTATTCGATGACTCGCTGAGGTGTGGACCTGCTTGAGCCCTGTATCCTCCTTCTCGCCTTCGTCTCCCGTTTCAGTGGCTTCAGTATCACTGTGTTGTTTCTGATTGGACTCGAGGTCTTGGGCCTTGACTAATCGCGCGTATGCTCCGTTCATACCAAGTAGCTGGCTATGGGTTCCTGACTCACAAACTTCACCCTTCGACATGACAACGATGTTATCGGCGTTTTTGATAGTCGCTAGCTTGTGAGCGATGACAATCGTAGTACGCCCTGCTGATGCCTGATCTAATGCCTTCTGGACTAGGCCTTCCGAGGTTGGGTCTAGGGCGCTGGTAGCTTCGTCGAGTAACAGGATCTGGGGGTCGGAAATAGTAGCACGAGCAATAGCAATGCGTTGCTTTTGACCTCCAGACAGTAACCCAGCTCGCTCACCCACTTGCGTCTCATATCCCTGCTTCCGTCAGATTACTATCTTGAAATCAGCTGATTTGCACTTACTTCTGGAAGCTGGGAGATGAACTGATGGGCATTAGACATTTTGCATGCTTTGATGACGCGTTCCATCTTGGACTCTCGAGGCGAATCTTGCCATTGTGTGCCCGTGAGACCATTGCACACATTCTCAAATACAGTACCATTAAATAGAACAGGTTCCTAGAAGGTGTGAGTGCTTGGGGGAGGGAAAAACGGCAGATAATGACACACCTGCTGAACCATTCTAATGCGAGTTCGGAGCCAATTAATATTAAGTGTCTCGATTGGCCGGCCATCGATACGTATCGAGCCGGACGTTGGAGTATACCACCTCTCTAAAAGGCCAACGATAGTGGACTTGCCACTGCCGCTCGCGCCTACGAGTGCTGTCGTCTTTCTAGCCGGGAAGGCCAATGTGAAGTCACGAAGCACTTGCACATCGTGCCTGGTAGGGTAAGAAAAGGAGAGGTCAGACACTTCGATTGCCCCATCGACCTTCTCAGGGCAATCCCCAGATTCATCCAGCGCGTTGATGAGTGGTTGCCTATCGATCGTGACAAACAGGTCATTTGCGGCTGAAGCAGCCTTGGCGAATGCGGTGAAGTACGGTGAGATCTGCGTCAAGGAAGAGGCAGCGATGACGATAGAGAACAGTACGCTACATCGTCAATTCATCTCACTCACACTAAGAACTTGTGGAAACCAACTTACGTGATGACGGTTCCGGGCCCTTTAATCTCTCCATCGGCATACATGTGCACCCCTCGCCAAAAGCACAGTGCGTAGCCGCTAAAGATCATGAAGAACTCGGTACTGTAGAGGAGGCCCCAAACAGGAGACTTCTTGTCGCCTAGCTTGAGTGCTTGCGTGAGGTAGTTATCGTATTTCTGGACTAGACGGGGCCGCATCTAAAAGGCGTGGACGTTTCTGACTGATCCAATGACATCTTCGGCGAGTGAGTTGGCTGCTGAGTAGACCTTCATGATCTTGAACTCGATCTGTGCATCGACACCTATAGCAAAGCCAATGCCAACGACCATGACAGGTGCGATAGTGATGGTGATGAGCGCCAGCTTCCACTGTGTTATGATCGCAATGACTATAGCGGTGACGCAAGTCGACGCAGCTTGAACGCCAAGACCGAACTTTTCACAAATGCCTTGTTGGATAATGTTTCCGTTCGTGGTGGCTTGAGAAGACACGGAACCACCGGAGCCGGAGTCGAAGTAGGCGATTTCTTGGGAAAACGTGGATTCCAGGAAACGGTAGCGTATTGTTCTCGTGATTCGCGTTCCGGCAACCGTAAGACAGACCTGTTGGGTCCAGCACATTAGTAAACTCGAAAAGCAACATTAAGAAACTCGTACAGTAAACACGTAAGTGCAGACAAAACGGCCGATGAAGATGTAGATGAAGCGCAAGATATGTGTCCTGACACTACCGCGGAACTCGGCAGGGGATTTATCTCCTTGTGTGAAGTCATTGATGATGTCAACAAAACCGCCGAATATGACATTCATAAGCGCCATGGCAATCCCAGACCCGATGGCTCCAATGGCAGAAGCGGCAATGAGAAGGTAATCGAGAGGTTCGGCGTAGGAGAATATCCTCTGATATCAATTAGCGGATACCCAACCTCAATACAAGTGCAACTGACCAGATAGGTAGCAAAAGCTCCATGTTGGCTCTGTTTCTCATCCCGTTTTGCTGTTGGCGGTTTCTTCTCGCTTTGCGATGCATCTTCAGACTCTTGTGGAGTTGTCATGATGGAATCGGATGGGGAAATATGTTGTGAATAATCGAGGGGCGTTTTCAAAGTGATGTTCTGAGAAAGGAATTAAGAACACGCTTGATTAGGCCTGCCTTTATATCTAATTAGTATCGCTGTACATATGATATCATAAGAATTTGTTTTTTTTATAAAATTATACACTCAAGGCAATACATCAAACGTATCTTCCGCTTAAGACTCCACTCTTCCGCCCGTGGGCTCCGCCCGAGGACTCCGTCCGCGGCCCCCGACTCTTGAACACTGAATTAGGTCTAGGACTGTTTAGTGGGGCCAGTGGACTAATTTGATTCATCGAGGAAGAAAAGTGGAGTCCATGTCACTAGTTTGCTTTCAGCCTCGATAGCTCTCTCTCGTAGTCCCGGTCACTTCACCATCAATTCTGCATTCTACTCTACCTTTTCCCTACATCAGCACCGCAGCCGCGTATGTTGGGACCTCAACTGCCAATGGATTCCACCCCACCCAACTTCGATGACTCAGCGTCCCGCCGTGGCAACCTGAGAGCGGTATGTTCCGATGGAAAAAGCGACAAGCATAAGGTACTTACTTACTGACTTATTGTCCAAAGTGTGATCAATGCCGTCAACGTAAAGTAATTCTTTCCCTTGGTACCTTCATTCAATTCTCTTATCCCGTGCCACAATGAAGCTGACGCGGACTTAAAAGGTTCGATGTCACAAAGCATCACAATCTAGCCCATGCGACAACTGCCACGCCTCTAACTTAACATGTAGCAGCAATGGGTCTGGCTTGCGTTCCAGAGAGTCTAGGACGAGAGTCTTGATCTCCTCGCAATAGTAAGCTATGTTTATCCCTTTCATCAAGTCGATTAATCCGTGCTGATAGAGATCAGCGAGAAAAAGATCGACCGGATAGACAATCGGCTGGATGGCATCGAGAGATTACTTCAAAGACTTGCCACAGGTAGCGATGCGGGCGGCTCCAAACTGCATACACATTCAACAAAGTACAATGCATCAACAATCTCCCATTCCGAACATGCCGTCGATGCACCCGATAGCCTTGAATCAGGTCCTCTGGACTCCCAGGGGCCCGAGTTCGAGGGAGACTCGTCCCTTGCAGCGCACACCGCCGTCGCAAGCGAGTTATTCATTCAAGAGGTTCAGGAGAACTCTCAAAGCTCTAACCCCGCGATACAAACGGCATTATCCTCCCTCCACGAGATCGTCAGCCAGGTCAACAAATACTCGTCATCCCAAGGGGCTACCTTCCGAAACGCCAAAACGTTGCCGCCCGGGGGCCTCTCCGAACTTCCCATGCCGCCTATGCAGGCTGTAATCGCTGCCTTACATGGAAGCAAGGGTGATTGATTCTCCATTCAGCCTTTGTTGTCGCCTGATCCGGTGTGCTGACTGACGATAGGTCTCTCACAGCTCCACTCCTCGGTGATATGCTGCTTCAGGTCGATTGAAAGCTTCACCGAATTATGCCTCAAGGTTTACTTCACCTATGGCAACTTTAGCCAGGCCGACTTCATCATTGTCAACGTCGGGCTTTATTATATCTTCCTCGAGTGTCGCTTTATCACGTCGGATGACGCTACTCGTAATGAGTATCGAACACATGCGCGACTTTGTCAGTGTAATCTTGAAACAGCGCTCTCAAATCTCAGCCTTATTCTTCCCCGGACCTATGAGGTAGTCGAGGCACTACTGTTAGGTGTAGGTTACCATTCGCCATGCCCTTGATACTATTAGGATCTGACTCATCTATATTTGCAGGCAATGTACGCCAGTGAGGTGTCTAGAACTTCCCTAGCCTGGCGTCTGAATTCCACAGCAATCACAATAGGCCAAACACTTGGTTTTCATCGCGCCCCGTCTCCCTCTTCCATCACCATCGAGGGTAATGACAGCCGTGACTATCAAGCCTTGCTCTTTTGGATGGGCTATACAATGGATAAAGGGCTTGCTCTCCGCCTGGGTTACGCACCCATCATATCCGAAGATGACATCAACGTCTCCGAGTCAGCCATCGACTCAGTTCACGATTCGTGGTCTGACATTTTACGCGCTTGGGTTGTGCAAGCAAAGCTACAGGGACGCATGTATACTCAGTTGTACTCTGCAGCGGCACTCGCCATTCCGATATCACAGCGACAGTCCAGAGTGCCAGCTCTAGTAGCTGAAATGCGCACTATGATCGCCGAGGCCTTGCAATTGGCCGCAATGACCGGGGATCTAGACCATAGTCGCTCGACGACTCCGGAAAACTACACCATACGTTCTATCACCGTACACTCCAATCTCGTCAACTTTCTCGGCTGCTTGACGTTAGTATACAGAGCAGGTGGAGATTTGTATGCAGAAGATTGTCTCCAAAGTGCAAAGGAGGCCATGGAGATGCACATCCGGTCCCTAGAAATGCTTGACAAGACCTCCGGCGTTCGAGACATGTATCTTCATTGGTGAGTATAATGCGTATATTTCATGTCTAAAATGGTACTGATTTAGAAAACAGGGCCATATTATATACCCCATTCGTACCTTTTACAGTGATATTTTGCCACATTATAAAGTCGCCTGATCGATCAGATCTGAACCTCCTTGAGAGATTTGTCCAATCGTTACAGTCCTCTGGCGAATTATCGGACCCAATCACGAAGCTCCACGCGGTTTGCGATACCCTCTTCAACGTAGCGCTAAGGTATATTGAGGTGAAGACACTACACCAGAGGAGGGCTGTAGAGGAGACGTTCGATAAGTATTTGAATGCACTAGGTCTGATGCCACCACACGAGGACAAGAGTGATGAAACGATGGAAAATGTTATTTCCGGTTCAGAGGTGGGGGATTGGTACTCTAGTAACGGATATATGATGGGCTTGCTGGAATGATCTAGTGAGGAGGAATGGAAAGGTACTTTCAACTTAAAGTCGAGTTCAGACATAAAGTTCTTAATGGTCAGGCTTTTGGTCTCATTGACGTTAGCGATGCTCCTGCTGATGAGTTGTATCAGGTTCCTGGCAATGGTGAGTGGGTTGCCCTCAGGCTCATCATTGACCATGATGGCTGGAGAGCGGCTGTCGCAAGGCGGCGGGAGCAGGGCAATGCTGCTGTATGGGGAGAAGCAGAGACAGAAACAATAGTAACAGCGAGACTCATCGGCATGGACAAGGCTCTTGGTTGGCTCGATCAGAGACTCTCCCCACGGGACCTTTTCCACCCCAGCCCCGAAACCCGGCATCAGCCATGCATGGTACTTGAACAATACGCAGTCTACCACTTCCTCGCACTGTTTCAGCCGCAGACTCCAGTCTTCCAGCCAATAATACAAAAAACAGACCCCAAGTGAAATCAAACAAAGGCCTGCTACTGTTCAAAGCCGACCGAAGTGGAAGTGGTGTCAACTCGTCATGGCACAGCAGGAGCTGGAGAAGAGAGACCTCTCAGAATTAACTGCCATCTGCGAAGATCTTCCCAAACAATACGCCAGTGTTGACCCAGGCTGCTCTGCACCACGGAAGAGCGCGGCGCGGCAACAGCAACGCTTCTCCACAATTACCTGCGCCCTTTTCACTCACTTCGATACGTCACTCGACCTCGACGTAATCCGGTCATTGGTACTGAAGCAGCTTGTCACTATACGAGTTCATCTAGAGTTCGGTACGTTATCATGACTAACTTGAGACCAATACGGAGATCTAGAAAGGCTAACAGTCAATCCCAGCTGCTTTGCATGACACAGATTTTCGTGGTACATCGGAGGTTTTGAATTCACTCAAAGATATCCAGGGGAGGAAGTGGATCCAGAAACTAGAAGGAATACCTTCTGAGGTGTTAGACGCGGTCAAATGCACCATGGATAGACTGGACGAGCTTGGAAAGGCGATTCGACAAGATCCGGATCCTGAAGTGCCAACAGACACCCCAGCCCAGATGCGATTCACAAGTATGTGTCGGAGGAAATTATCAGACGGACTACAGGAGGAGTGGTGAAGGAGACCAATCAAGCCATCTGCTTGCCGACAAGGATGAAAAGGGCGGACAGGAAGCAGGCTCACATCAGTTCCAAGCCCTCTATGCCACGCCGACAGATATCTTCATATGACACGGCAATAGATATGGGCAACGACTCGGATCAGAACAGAAATCCCTCGGTCCCTGCAGGTATGAACAGCTCCTTGATCAAATACGATTGGTCTGGATTCGACAGCATACATAAGGAGATGATGCACCTGAATTTCGTCAAATATAAAAAGGTAAATTAACCTATGATACAATAACATCATGCTAAACTCCTATGTTAAAAAAAGGTGAATTAGCCAGTTCACTATTATAATAGATGGTAGGGTTTACTGGGCAAATAGGACAACGAAATTCCGCCGAGTAAGTGGAAATATGAGGTGCGGGTTTCTCCCAAGCCGGCGCTGTCTGATGTGTGCGGCTGAGCAGTTGAGGCTTGCGCCAACAGAAACTAATTACTCAACAAGTAGCCAGCTTTCGATGGACAATTAGTAGGAGCTCCGCCTAGCTCGTAGTCGACTGCCCTGCCATCAAATACCCGCCGCAGCTGACAAGACAAGGTGGACATAGTAAGGTTCTTGAGTTGTTGTTCAGGCGTGATATGGAATAACTTGCTGAGACATTGAGTCTCACGCTCAACGTGGCTTCTGCCCCTAATGAATCTAGAACGGGCTTTCTTGTAGAGCTGAAAAATTGCTGTGGTGTTATTGGCGAAGGGTTCTCTTGCACAAGTCACTTTGGCTAAATACGGCTGAGCAAAAGCTGGTACCTTTTTCCGCGGCCCCACATCCTCCCCGACCACTACGGGATTGAATTTCCTGTTCCGTCCATCTTAATAGGGGGTTCGCATGGTGCACGGCAATTTATTTTATAGAGTGGCTGGCTACATGTAGCAAGCAGTTTACAAAACGTCGCGGCATTCAATGTACTAGCTGTTACAGCGCTAACAGAACGGGGAATGTTCGACGGCCCTTAAACGGTCAGACGGGCTTGTTCATCAGGCTAGAGTTGGCTTCATCCCATTCGAAGTATATTCTACTTCATACCAACATAAACTCGGAGGTAATTTAAGCTTAAAAACTACAGTTATACGCTTAGGTAGATAACCCAGCTAAAACTTGGGGCTAAAGGTTGTCCTCCCGCAGCTCGTCGTCGCGGTAGAATGAAAGAACCAGTGCTGCGAAAGAACAGGACGTGATACCTCAGATGTCTGATCTTTGCTCCTGCTCGGGCCTAAGAATCCATGCAAGCTGCAAAGCTCACGAGAATGACGGTCAAAGAGTTCCCCCCATGCCCCGCCCAGCTGTCGAGGGAAACCAATAGGTACCGTCTAATCCGGAAAAGATGATCAAAAGTGGCGCACGCAGCTTGCTGGGTTGAATAGGATTCATTTCTCAAATTCAGGTGGTGTTTCTACTTTCTTTGTCGCTAACCTTCGTATATGTATTTAATATCTGGATCCCTCCCTCCCTCAGCGTCCCTCAACACAACAATCGACAATCGGCCACCATCAATATCAACTCAAGATGAAATTCATCGCAGCTGGAACCTTCTTTCTTCCTTTGGCGCTCGCCTCCAAAGGTGTCTTTGATGGCGTGGACCCATTATGTCGCCCTTGTCTTAACGAGGCCATCGCCGATGGCCCTGGCAACACGCAGTCAAAGAAATTTGCCAATTATCTTTGCATGGGTCAAGGCGCGTCCGCAGTATCTCTCTGTATAACTGAATGCGGAACATCTACCTCCGGCGACATAAATGACATATCAGCTGCGGAGGCCCGAGTTGATCTTATAATGGGTATAGTGTTCGGCTATTGGTATGTATATGCCCTGATTAGAGTTTACAAATAGTTCCTAATCTATTTGAATAGTGTTCAGTACTATCCGGAACAGACGTGTGCGGCTTTCGAGGGTACAGACTTGGCCCAATTGCCACCATGTCCCGAGATTCGGAATGGTGAGAAAAATGGTGGAAATGATTCGCCTCGTTCCAGCTCGGAAACTTCTACCACTGAGGCTCCAGCCTCAGAGACCACCGAGGATCCGGCCCCTGACGCCACCGAGACCACTGGCTACTCCCACGTCACCTACTCCGCTTCGGGCTCTGACAGCACCGGCGCCAGCCCTCAGCCTACCAGCTCACCAGGCTCTGGCTCATCAGGTTCTGGCAGCTCACACACTTCGGCCGGAGGTATCCCAGCTGCCATGGGTGCTTTTGCTTCCTGGGAGATGTTAATCGGGCTAGTCATGTTGGCTGTAAATATCTAGCTTTGAAGCTGTCTGCGAGAGGAATCACTATTCTGTCATAACTCTACTTATTTTCACCATTTATCGGGCAAGGCGTGCGATGCAAGCATCAGCTGTCAGGTCTACTCAAAATAACACTCTTAAAAACACACCTCAGGCAGCATACCAACTGCCCACACAATTGCCCAAATTTCACCATTTATCTACCTCTGAAAACAATCTCTTCGTCCCTTCCACTAGTTTAATTCTTTCGCCCCTGTCCCCAGTAGCGTTATAGATAGCCTCACGGATCAGCCGCTTATCCTTCCTGACCAAGACAGGCAGACTTTGCCCTGATTTATCCATCATGTTATACCCATCTTCTATTCCCTTATCTACTAGTACCGAGAGGTAATTATCATCTTCCTTCGGGAGATATAGCGTTATGCGACTGTCTTGGGTTGAGATCGTGCTTGGTATCGATAACAGTTCCAGGCTCTTGGCGGATGTATCTCCGATGCATGGCGGAGCGGTCAACTTGATCTTTCCAGCATCAATTCTCAACTGACACCCGATTTCCTGAGACCCGGCGTTAATGATGGCGGAGGTTCCAGCTCCTTCAGCAAGAGTCAAGTTGGACCCGCTAGCTTTGGTAATGTCCATTCTAGTTTCAAGCCTTTGCATATATTCTTCGTGTGAGCTATGAGTCTTCTGTTGTTTCGGAGGGGGCATCATTGATTGTGAAGACCTCACGCTACCGGCAATTCTGTTAGCAGTCTTTAAGTCACGTTTTGTCAAGTCGTAGACTTCATGGCTATCTGAGTGTTTCCGCATGACAACCACGTAATTCGCACACGCCGATATCGACAGGCTTGTAACCTCGGCTCCATCCTGTGAAAGATGGTTCATAATGTCTGCCTGTTGTCAGAATTTGCCAATTAAGTTGGGGGTGTAGGTCTTACTTCGTGAAAAGTCCCATGCCATAACACGACCCCTAATGGCAGATACAATGAGGCTCGACTCGGGGTGAAACCTTGCTGTTGCTAAAGGCACTCCGGTACAGCCTAGCCATGAACTCATTATCTCCTCTGGTGCCACGGCGACAAGCCGAACTTGAAGCTCCCCACTCGAAGTGTCTTTGATCTCAAAGACAGCTAATAGAGGCTCCTCGAATTTCTTTGCATCTTGGAAGAAGATGTGGTGGCTGTGCATGTCGAAAATAGTTCGATACGTGTACACCTTTCGTTGCAGTAACTGCAATGTTGGTGGCAACCCGATACTGAGTGAATAACTTGGATCATGTATCTTGAGCCTATCATCCCAGAAGTGCTGGATCCTCGCAATTTCCTCGAGAGGCATACGACAAGATCTGATTCGAAGTTTCGATAACACTGGGTCGATAGTGACACGGTAAATAGTCCGTAGAACGCAGATGGAATAGCCGTTGAAGCTGATAGAGAACGGGAAAGAAGCCTTCCACGTCGAGAAATGCTCTTGTCGGAATGCCTGTCTCATCTGCAACGCCACTTCCGTCGCCTGCAACGGAATAGAAACGGTGCCAAGCCTCTCCATAGGTTCGCCTACACGGCTGAGTTCATAGACCGCATGCCAATTATCACAATAATTCTCGACTTCGATATATGCAGTACTTGGGTGGATCGTTTCCCAGAACTCCTCAAAATTGCGTGATGGCCAGATACTAAGAATACCAAGTACAGACCCGTCAGAAGAAGTCGCTGAGATGTGACAAAGGCGTTGAGAAGCCCCGGTAGGGAGGTTTGGTGTTCCTGAGTTAATTGGGACTTGGTATGTAGACTGGGCTGCTGGAAGATACTTGCTTGATGTAAATGCAAGAACATCACTCCATATAGCAGCTGGTGTTTCGTTTAGCTTCAAGTCCCATTTCTTGCATATATCAGTCAAGTCTTCCATTAGTCGAGGTAGATTGTCAGACAAATGAAGAAATATTTTGCTTGCAATGTCTGGTAGCTGGAGCTTCTGTGCCCAGTCTAGCCATTCTAGTGCTTGTGAGAACTCCTTTAGTATCATTGCCGTTGGAACATTATTGTCGCTGTCGAACTGAAGTCGACGCACCCCTGCCCAGGACCAAAATGGAAAGACAGATGGGCTTGTATAGAAGCAGTCAATCCAGTGAGCAACCGCGAATGGGTTCTCAAGGAAGCGCCTTAGCAGGTCAACAATCCCCGTGACGGCGGTTGAACACATTTCTTGATAGCATACGCTGCGCCATGCTGTCCTGGGAGAGACGGCTTTGCCGAGATGATAGAGCCAACGGACGGAGCAGTAAGAGTATAGATCAATGAGCCCTCTGTCCATACGCAAAGGTATCGAAGTGGGAGCTGAGTCAAGCAAGTGATCCAAGCACAGTTTCGCCATATCCATATGCGAGATGATCGGAGAAGGGGACAGCATCGCAATAGTCTGATCTTCCGGTGTCCATTCCAAAAGATATTCTCTGACAGAAAGATGAACAAAGGCACAGTTGGCCGAGTTGGAGCCACTTGAGCTACATTTTTCCAGAATACCTAGGTGGAGCGCTGAGCCTCGCAGGATAACTAGTCCGCAAGTCACTAGACTGATGAGCTCGGAAAGGTGGGAAAATGCCGATTGTTTATCATCTGGCTCCTCAGCACCGAGTAAGTGATGCCAAGAGCTGGAAGACAGGAAACACTCTTGATGACAAAGAAGTGTCCATTGGATAACCTTTTTGGCCATTTGCTGTTGCGCCGAGTCCAGGAGGGATATCTGTCGAAAGATTCTCATATACATAGACCCGAGGCCTTCTGGAAGCGTGATGGAGTGAATCATACTCTCCCTTAGCCGTCGGTTCAGAGCAGGAGATCTCAAGAACGAGAGCATTAATTTCGCCCAGAGAAACATCCTATCAGCTCCCAGCACTAGGCTTCGCGTGAGCTGCTGAATATTAGAAGACTCCAGGAGGAGGCCCTCCTCGATAAGGTCACTCAGATGATAATGACAATAGGTATGAATGTCATGTTCTACGCCAACTTGGCCAAAGCTCAAACGGTGTTGTAGTGGAACCAACTTGGTTAATGATTGAACAGTAGGTCGGCTCGAGAATAAAGCGCGTAGATTTGGTAGATAGAGAAGCGTCTTGAGATATTTAACGAATCTATCCGGCTCTGTACACTCATCGATACCATCAAGAATCATGATGGGGTTTTCAATGGAGCTCAAACACAGATGAAGCAGATCTTTTAGCTCAGATGGCGTTGCAATCGATTGACCGGATGATTTGTCGCCATGATTGGAAGCAAAGATAAACTTGTCGAGTATATCATCGCTGTGTTTATGCTTGTGTAGGACCTGAGCTAGAATAGCGCGAAAAGCGAGGTCGGAAGCTGTGTGGAATGGAGACTGCTCTTTGAAGAAGAAGTAAACCAGGTTTTGATTATAGGCAGATAGTTCGCGGACGATTGATGCTGCTAGAACACTCTTGCCGCCTCCAGGGTTACCTTATAATGTCAGTCCGAGAAAACTATATCAACTCTATCGTCTCTTACCATGAATCCACAAAATTTTGCTATCTGGCACAGAACTTCCTCTTGAGCTGCTCTCGGACCATTCTTGAAACTTATCCACTTCAAAGATCCACTGCGCGGTATCGTCTTGGCATTCATCGAGAGTGTTCCAGTACGTGCTCGCAAAGTTTGGTGCATTTAACCAAGACTGTATCCTAGCGATTGCTTGTTCTAAGTTGGCAGATTAGCAAGACACGAGACGACTGCACCTGAATACGTACCTCGCGTTTGGAGTCGCATCTGCTCTTGAAGGCCCGAAACACTGGCATGGGTGGCTTTTGTGTCTTTGCAAATCTCCTCTGAAGTTGTGGCGACGTCTCTTGTGAGTTCAAGCTGATAGATATTGACTTCGTCGTTCAGTTGCTGCTGGTGCTTAGATATGCTTGATAAGATACCACCGAACCTCTCGTCAAAGGGTCGCCATATAACACTGGCGATCAACTCGACTGGTCGTCTGACCTCTGCATAAAGGTTAGATCTGAAGACAGGCCCGAGTATAGTACTTACTTCCGCTGCTAGCCGTGAACAAGGTTGCTGCACTATCGAAGAAATCGAAGAGATCCCGGTAAACTCGCCCAAGGTGAACCAACAGTCGAGAACTCAGCTTTCCGCGACAGATATCCTCCAGAGCTTCATATCTAGGAAATGACTCAGTAATATCTTTGATGCACTGTAGAAGTTTTGTAAGTAGCGTTGGAAAGCAACTGGCCAACTACACCAGAATGATTAGTATGTTTCTCAGAGCCTTGTCGTGTCGTATCATCTGACCTCAAGAACGAGCCTCAATGCGCCTAACGCCGCACCCGCGTAAACAGAGCTTTGCGTTACGGGCCCCTCAATAATGGCAAAAAACGGGCGCATTCTCTCATTGAAATCCCGCACGATCGCAAAAGGCTTCTGAGAACGCCTATTCTGTGTCCCCTTCGCTAGGCTAGATATCTTTTTCAAGCCATCCAGTAGGCCTTGCGGTGTACACTTGTCATCGTAGCGTGCCCGGTCATTGTCACTGAGGGTGCTGAGGAAGCTGTAATAGGCGGAGGCAAAAATATCAGGAGAAGCCATAATAACACGCTAGGTGAGATTGTGGAATTGTTGACTGCATGTCTGACTTTGGAATTGAAGAAGGAGAAGGAATGGACGTCGTTTGAGGGGGATTGTTAGGCAGCAAGGCAGACTTACTGGTGCGCCTATTCCCTGTCGCCTTGTGCATTCTCCACACCGCCACTAGACAAGGCAAACAACAGCTGCATTAATGGTCCGCATCAATTAAACCCCTGTCATCAGGAAGATCTCAAAGATTTATATTTTACAAACTAATCTCAGAAGAACTATTTATAATACTTTTTTCGTTTTGGTCACCTGGTAGTCTGATTGAGATATGGTCTGTATGCGCCTTTAAGCATTCCCGCAGGACAAATATCCTACATCAATACCCCAGGCAATTCCAAGAAGGAAGAGAACAAGGCCCGAGACAAGAATAAAAGTGCCAACCCAGTCGATAGTTGCAAGCTCGGCCTTTCGGCTGATGCTTGTTCCGTGAAGTTGCACAAAAGAAGGAGGGTGGTAGAAGAAGTACCAGAGGGTAGTACCGATTACTGTGAGATATTGTCAGCATGGTTCTAATTATCCTTGCGTTGTGTCAAGTTTGCAGGCATACGCATTAAGATGATGTAGATGTAAAAGATCCATCTCCATGAACTAAGAATGCTAAGTCGAAGACCTAGGTACGGACCGAAGCCAGTGGCGATGATATTGGGCACTACAACAACGATAGTACCAAGAAACTTGAGCTTGTTCGTCATAAGCTCGCCTGTCAAAAGAGGATATGAACCTGGAATGCCCGAGGCAAGACCCAAGAGAACATTGGCAGCAATGAGCTGGTTGATGCTCTGGGAAGTGGCAGCAACAATACCGCCACAGATACCGAGGACATTGGCACCAAGAGCAAGGTTTCGGCGACCAAACATGTCAGAGAGACGGCCAAACAAGAGCATCGAGATGGGTTGAGATACCGTCCACACAATTGAGAATAGGTAGTAGTTCTCACTGGGGCCGATGTGCTGGTTGATGTTTATGAGGGCACCGGCACCAGCCTGGAAGGCAAAGTATGTCGCTGCAAGACTGAACGCAATGCCGCCAAACGTTCCAACGAACTCGCGGCTGAGAAAGTAGCCGTCTGGGAGAGTTGAGCGCTCAGCGGTCAAGATCTTGGAGCGAAGTTCATCCTCGTTTGAGAGCGCAATGCCCTGGTCATTGTGACCCGGAGAGATGTCATCTTGTGATGCTTCTTGTTTCGTCATGGTGAAAAGTTTAAGGTGCTAAAGGATAATCAGATCAATTTGGAGCGGTGGAGATTGTAATCTGGCAATAAGGAGCACTGTTATACTCCACAGCCAGCATACAGAACGTTATCCTTTCAACTCCCAGAGGATCTCACGGCAAGCGGGACGCTATAATGATCGACATTATAACAGCACTATCGATTGTAGCATGCGCAAGTTCGTCCGGCGCTCAGTCCGTCCGTAAGGGACATATTATCCCGAAGTGGTCACGGAGGTACCTGTAGATCGTACGAATTCAAATCCTACACAAAGGAAAGGCGCTAGTCAAGATACTCAACTACCACAAGCCAGCGATCCAACCATCTATTACCCATGCACTTCATTACCATTCTCGAAGCAACCTCCAGTACGTCTCATAACGTGATCCATACAGTCCGAGTATTTGCATTGCAGCTTTCAAGACATCATGAAATCTTACAAACTAATCGCCTGGGGGCAAGAAGGCCAATATGTCGAGTCACCAAAACCACTTCCGGGGCCTGCAGATGTTCTCATTCGCGTCCAAAGCGGTCGGTCTCTGCCGTTCAGATCTCGACATGATGGAAAGCCAACCCGGCAGCGACCCATATGCCTCCGCCATAGACGCAAACTACATTCTAGGCCACGAAACATCTGGCGTCGTTGAAGCTCTCGGATCTTCCGTCACCGACTTGTCCAAGGGAGAGAGCGTCGTTGTACATCACATGCGGCACTGCGGATTCTGTAATTTCTGCGAGGCCGGGGTTGAGCAGCACTGCAAATACTTCAAGCGAGGGGCTATCGGAATGACAAGGGGCTGTGGCTTTGATGGTGGCTTGGCTGAGTACCTCGTTGTACCTCGTACTGAGCTCGTATCTATCGGTCACGAGGACCCGGTTCTCTACGCTCCTCTCACCGACGCGGGTGTGACTGCCTATGCTAGCTGTAAGGAAATTATCAGAAATGCACGCCCTGGCCAACACGTCTTGGTCATTGGTATTGGCGGGCTTGGGTCATACGCTGTCCAATTCCTCCGACTTCTCACCTCTGTTCGAATCATTGCTGCCGATAACTCACGTCAGAGGCTAGCCATCGCTAAGGATCTGGGAGCAGACGAAGCTATCCTTTCTGATGCAAGCTCAAAGGCCGAAATTGCTCGCATTACTTCCAGCCGAGGCGTCGACGGCGTGGTTGACTTTGTTGGAAGCGACGCAACCTTGCAGCTAGCAGTGAGTGTCGTTCGACCTCAGGGATTCGTCTCTGTGCCTGGAATGCAAGGCGGATCTGTGCGTTTAGGTTGGAACCTGATGGCGACGAGTGCCAAGTTTTCACTCTCCCTTGGAAGTACACGACAGGATTTGCGGGAGGTGTGTCAGCTGGCGAAGGAGGGTAAGCTGCGTATTGAGGTTGATAGGTTTAGCTTTGATGACATTCCTAAGGCCTACCAGCATTTACGTGATGGTAAGCTGAAGGGTCGTGCGGTTATTGTTATGGACTGAGAGAGTTAAGGCACTGGCGAGGAACACGAATAGTAAACAGAAGCAGAGACTATACCAGTCCAATTGCTGTTACCGTTCAGTTTTATGAATGAGAAGTTCAATGTTAGGATAACTTTGTAAAGCCTTGAAGAGCAAAGCAACAGCCTAAGCGTGTATACTACTCAAGAGTTTAGCTTGTTATCTAAAATGCACCGAATCGCTTTTAATCCTTGCTAAATGAATATGGTGGACAACAAAATGAGCATTAAGATATAGAGGCAGATAGAGTATGCCATGTCCTTCCAGCTCGTCCTCTTCTAAATAGCTCTATCCGAATACGCGCTCTGTATCTTCATTTTGCGCCCAGATCTTCTTAAGCTGCATTCTTGATATCTTCCATCCCTTGTCTGTTCGCTGAAACTTGAACCGATAATGTCCTCCAAAGGCATGGTACTCATGAGGCTTGCTCGTATCCATAGTCGCAGAAAACCAGAGATAACATCTCCCCTCAGCCGTGTCTCCATTGACTGTGAACTGTAGATTGCTCATTGAGTGCTGTAGACCTTGAAATCTGTCTTCCGCACCGCGGGCAGCAGCAGCGATATTTTCAACACCCACGACATCGCCCCAGCTCTCGAATCCGAGAACACCGTTGGGAACGAAACAGTCGGCGAATTCGTCCCATTTGTGGTCGTCAGCCGTGTTGCAGTAGCGGTTGAGCAGTGTTGCTAGTGTGTCTTTGTCTTCGAGGAGTTGGAGACGTTGGAGAAGTGCTTCCAGGCTGGGCGTGTTGTCGTTTGAAGCCATGATTGAGTTGTTATCTGAGATGGCGGTTGTGAATGAAAGTGCTTGCAAGTTATCTCTCTCTAAAGCCCATAACTTGAGTAGTATTGGACAGCATTGCTATCAACAGACATAAATAAAAGCTAGAATGGCGCTACCCCGCCGGCGACATGAGAATGGTGGCTGAGGGGCAATGATAGAAAGGAAACGAGGGGTTAGCGGATGGATTTCGGACGGTCCAGCTTCGGCTTGAGAATTGGCTGCTTGATTACTCTCGTGAGGCTGTCGAGAATATGGAATGCTATTGCCCAGCAATTGGAACTTCTCAGTTGTTCCAAGTTGAGCCTTCACTGATTGTGCTTCATTGAGAATCGGAGTAACACGAGACTGTTCCCGTGACAACGAGAAATTCTCTGCTTTGGGTTGAGGTTGTGTACGTGCTTGAAGAGCTCAATCCATCGCAATTATTCAGAGTGGGGAAATAGCATATCATATTACACGTTTTAAGACCAATTGCCTATGATGGTTGTTTGCTAGTGGTTGGTATGATGCCCAATGATGGCAACTCAGGCACCTCCAGTCCAGACGCCAAGCGAACTCCGTACCGTACATGATCCAAAGTATCCTTGGGAATGTAAACATCCTTCTCATCACCCATAACCTTGCTCCAATTCTCCAGAAACCCCTCCGCTGTCGTTTCATTTGTATGTCCAGGAAACGTCGCAAGTGCAACACGAGCTGCCCTTCCAGCTCCCGTAGCGATACAAGCCCCGGATACAGGGCACTCATCAGCACACAAGGCAACGAGTAACGGCGCACATTTGCTGGTTTCGAAGTACGTCTGCGTAATCATCTTTGATGCCTCTGAGAGATCTCCCATTCGTGATGCACCCGACGGCAAGATGGCGTTGAGCTTGATTCCACATGACGGCGAGAACCGCCCAAGATCTTGGGTGATGGCAAAGACTGCGCCTTTGGAAGCTGAATAGGCGCAGTCGCCACCAGCGCCGAATCCAATGATGGCATCTGAAGATACGTTGACGATTCGACCGTGTCCTTGCTTCTCCATCGTAGACCAAACAGCACTTGTCATAAGCTGCGCTCCTAGGACCCCGATCTCAATGACCCTCATGAAAGCCGGTGCATCGAGCGCTGCATGAGAACTTGGCTTTCCCGAGATACCGGCATTGTTGACGAGGATGTCAACACGGCCGTATTCAGCAAGGCAATTGATGACGATGGCTTGAGCTTGCGTCTGGATGGAAACGTCGTGTCCGTCGGCAATAGCACTGCCGTCGGCTGCTCTGATCTCATCTACCACTGACTGGGCCCTGGAAATGGTTCCAGGTTGGCCTTCAAGTGTACCGCCGTAGTCGTTCACTACGACTTTGGCTCCAAGCTTTCCAAGCAAGAGGGCGTATTCTCGCCCAAGACCTCCTCCTGCTCCAGTTACAATGGCAACGCGGCCCCTGACAGACATTACGATGGATTGATTAGAAAATGAGGATAAAATGAGATGTAGCCTTTGTAATTGAGTTTGCAAATACCTGGAGATAATAAAGTGACAGGTTCAGTATGATGTTGAAGGTATAGTTTTATATGACGAAGTGATTTTGGAAGATCAGTGCCGGAAATTGGTGAGAGTAAACGACGTCCCTCGCCTTTTCCATTCATTCGTCGCAGACAATAATCCTGGCGAAAGCATCATTGTCCGTCGCAGGCTGAGCCAGGCCATGTCAGGCCGAACCTAGGCCGAATTCACACCTGCTCCAGGCCTTTCGCTTCCAAGGTGGTCACTGTAACCGAACACGCTAGCGGCGACAGAACCACCTGTATCCAGCTAGCCCCGGGCGGTGTCAGCGCTCATCAAGGCGAGATGGAACTATAAGGTATATACTCGGCATTTTCATTATCACGATTAGTAGTATCTACTCAAGTTTCCTCCTTGCGCACGTCACTGAAATGTCTGGTATCAAAGGAAGAGTGTATGCAATTACTGGCGCTGCGTCGGGCATCGGGCGTGCCTCTGCAATCCGCCTAGCGGAGCTTGGAGCTGGAGGACTAGCTATTTGCGATGTCAATGCGGAAGGCCTCGACAAAACTGAGAAGTTATGTAAGTCTCAAGTTTTCATCTCCCCCACCTCTATTGTGTGTTCGCATCTGAGGCGTCGTTTAGGCTCGCAGGCAGGTACTAGAGTAATTGCGTCCGAAGTTGATGTTCGAAGTCAGCAAGAGGTCCAGAATTGGATTGACAGCACCGTTGCTGAGTTCGGACGTCTCGATGGAGCTGCAAACATTGCTGGAATTGCAGGCGGCGCAGGTGATACAACTTGCGCAACCATTGTACGTTACGCCACGGCCATCTACCAGTCCAGAGGCTATACTGATCAATATCGTACCAGGAAGAGTCTGACTGGGATCGCATGATGAACGTCAATCTTAAAGGCGTCATGTGGTGCATGAGAGCCCAGATTCCGCACCTCCCCCGCCCGGGGGGAGCTATCGTCAACATCTCCAGCACCTCGGGCCTCAGAGGCTTCCCTCACAATGCAGCCTATTCATCGAGCAAGTTTGGAGTCATCGGCCTTACATCATCTGTGGCTGGCGAGTTTGGCGCTGAGGGTCTTCGCATCAACTCCCTCCTACCGTACTTCCCCCTCTTCTGAGTAATACTCACTTCATCCTAACAGAGCTAATAGGGGACCGATCCGAACTGAGATGTTCGAGGCGGGCGAAGCGAAGGGGTTGTTTGACTCGGAAAAGATCAGCAAGTTAACGTGCCTTGGTCGCATGGGCAAGCCTGACGAGGTGGCCAAGGTTCTGTGTTTCTTGTTGAGCGATGATGCGTCATATGTTACTGGGGGTAAGTCTTCTCCTCCCGCTTTTGATACGTAGCAGCAATTTGATACTTCTTCTTAGCACAATGGACTGTGGATGGAGGGTATGCTGCCTGCTGACGAGTGAATAATGGGCACCTAGCGATGGGAGAATGAATAGCTAGTTGAACAATGATTAACAACGAGGAGATATGCCCATGAAGTAATACCCAAAGGATTCAATCCATGCCTTGCTCCTTAGTTGGTGTCACTAGCTCTACTCAGTACCGTACCGGTTGCCTTCATTTGTGGCCAGCAGTATTGGATGTGTGGGATTTAATTATAAGTGCCTTAGGGCAGTTTTATCCAAGTATCATAGCGGGTTCCAGACACAGAACTTAGGTACTGAGGTACCATAGATCTACGGTCAATCGACAGTATCATGATTGGGCTACGGATCTGTTTAAGGAAGTAATGGTATGCAGAAAAATCGTTGGATTAATTTTTGAGAAGCACAGGGTGGTCTATCGCGCTCAAATCTTCTTCTTGGATATCAACGATATGCCATGGTACAACAAACTCCTTATAGTAGTCCTTGAGGGCATCAATACACTCCCTAAATCCCGGCCTTTTCTCAAAAACTTCGTGGTGAGCCTATCCTTCGGTCAGTCAAGTTCCTCCAAAACAAAACAACCAAAAGGTCTCAAGTATGTCTACTCACATCCACAGAGTCCCAGTTGATCAATAGTAGTTGATCCTCAGGATTCTCAATCAGAGGACTGATAAAGTAGCCCTTACAACCATCTTCCTCGTCCAGCACGCGAGTAACCACTTTTTTGAACTGAGAATAGTAACCAGAAACGCCGGCTTCAACCACTTTCGTCAGCGCAACCTCTACAGCTGGAGATTTCAGAGTGTCCGAGAGGTGTTGATGGTCACTGAGGGGTGAGTGATCCATGAGTGCGTGGGATGTCCATGTGACCTTGCGCCCATTCAGAGCTGGCTGAATGACGCTGTGGAAATTTCCATATTCAGAGCTTGTAAAAAAAGAATGGGATGACTCTAGATTGTCCCACAGAGCTAGAAATACTTTTGTATATCGATCTTCGAATTTTCTGCCTCTCCAGAAGGACTTTAACCCAGAAGCCCTGTTAAGCATGCATGTTAGTCATGTCGACGAGGTGATGGTTCAGCGTCTCTGTCTTACTTCTTGAGTATTGAAATAGCCGGCGCAAGATCTCGGTCGATTTCAGCATTGGCCGCTGGACGATGCGGGATGACAAGTAATTGGAGAGCTTGGTTGGTCGGCATCGCGCTGAGTACAGACAATTTGACTTGAGTAAGAACTACCAACAATGACTATTAAACAGAATCATCAAAATATCAATGAGATGAGGAGCAAAGCGACGATTCCTTCAAGGAAACTTATCTTTCTCGGAGGAAAGACCAAGTTCACGAAGATGGTGCTTTCACCGAAATTAGTGCGTCCGTTTATGGCCCCACTCTGTGCTGCTTCATCTTACTTAGCGATGAAGACGCCGAAATTCTGCCAACACGTACATCCAGAGCAATATTCTTATCTTGATCCAACTTAACCCATACGGTATCTTTCTGGCCCAATTTGCATCCTTATGTCTAGCAAGTAGCCATGAAACCCAGGTTCTTTGTTATCGCACGCGTTGTCGGGCGAGATGGGGCTATTGATCTTGTAAGCATAAACATTTGTCTTTGTAAATACAAACTGACACATTTCATCAGTGGAAAGACCGCCTTGTTGAATTATGCAAAGTGTCGGCTACAGAGCCATACGGCGACTCGTACTACTGGGGTCAAGATGCCGATGGTGAGCCCGACACGCTCTGGGGTCTAGAAGGATACACGCACCCAATTGGATTCTTCATCGACCATGTTTCATCAGACATTTTCAAAAGAGAGATGGCACTTGTTGACAAGGAAAGACTTCTAAGAACGGCCCAAGGCCTGGATAGCCCGGACTACGACCTCCATCATTACGATGAGTACGGAGGTTTTCTTAAGAGAGCTGATGATGTCGAAAGAGATTCTGTGCGGAGCTTCGTGGTAGTAAAGCACTATTGGGCTACGAGCGAGACTCTCAGAACCGAGATGCTAGACTCACTAAAACAATTCGCTGAAAGATTGTCTTCTCGCCCTCCTCAGGTTCAGAGTGCGCTGGTGCTGAAGGAATGTCGGGATACGAACATGGCAACGCTGTGGCTGAGGTGAGTTCAATGAAGTTTGCAGGTTCTTGGTGATAGTATCACTGACTATATCTATTTTCCGCAGGTTTGCATCGGAGGAAGACTGGAATTCGTTGGAGCGATCGGATTGAATGCAAGAGCTTGTTGAGAGTGTAAAGACGAACTGCGTTCGTAGTGAAACACATCGGTCTCGGGCTTTTAACGGTCATTTGGGGATAAAAGATTAGATCATGTAGCAGGGCATGCTGATATGAATTGTTATTTGTCCGAGCTCTTCTATTCACCCGTAAATCATGTTTTGCATCTAGCTGCTCAAAAAGATGCATCTAACCATGACACGTTCGAATTCCAGCTTGAATAGGTTTCTGTAACGAATATTAAAACGATTTGGCAATATCATGAAATAATTCCAATTTGTAAATCTAGTTCGTGTCTTAGAATTCCGACGGTCGAAAGATGACTGTCTAACATGAATTCATAATGTCTTGGTCCAAGAGGTATCATTATTGCGTTCTTTACGCCGAACGCCACAGTCATAGTTACAGGCCATCAGGGCTGCATAATCAAGGAGAACAGATCCAATTCAGTAAAAACTGCGGGGAAATACTAAATGGCGGACTTGGTTAGTGTAGAAGTCGGAGCTGAAGCCGAAGCTTCGCACGAACTTCGGAGGTCCCAAAACGAAAACAGAAAAAGATGATTTTTGCGTACTACACTAAGATCCGCTAACCTGGGTCTCGATTTCTTCTGTAGCTCCATCAGGAAAACGCGTGAGGGGGTTTTTGGTATAAGCTTTCCCAACCCAGATTGATTGGTATATGATGTTCGTTTCTATCTCATAGTCATAGCTATGAGCAGTTGCATTTTACACATCTAGTGCGACCACGAGCAAACAAACATTGAAATCACGATGGCCCCCTCCACTTTTATATACGGCCTTATAGGTGCCGCAGTCACCCTGGCGTTGTATTGGCTGCTCCGGATTGGCGGACGGGATCCTCGAATGCCTCCGGGGCCTCCTACAGTCCCGATCCTCGGCAACATGCACATGATTCCCACCACAGGCCTCGGAAAGAAGTAACAACACTGGATTGACATGGTTCAAGTGGTCACTAACAAGCCCCAGGTTTATGGAATGGTCTCTGCAGTACGGCAAGATCTTTTCTCTCAAGATTGGCTCGGGTAATATCATCGTCATCTGCGATCGTAAAGCCGTCCATGAACTTCTCGATAAGAAGGGAAGCATCTATTCAGATAGGCCTCCTAATATCGTCCCGCTCTTTATCACGAGAGGTGACCATATGACCATGGAGTGTCAGAGTCCATCCTGGCGAGAAAAGAGAACTGTCGTGACGCGCAATTTGAACCCAAAGTCTTTGGATGAGAAGCACTTTAGGGTCCAGGAGACTGAGTAGGTAGTCTTGCACCTTGATGGGGTGGACGAGAGCTGACTTAGCGGCTTGTAGGGCTGTTATTTTGATGAACCGTCTTTTGGATGATCCTAGCAATTTCTATTCGTACTCGCGCCTATATGCATCTTCTGTGGCTTCTATACTGGCCTGGGGTTTCCGGGCGACGACTCTAGATTCATTCTGGTACAAGGATGTCTCCGCCATGATTGAAAAGGTGAATCAGTGTTTCACTTCCCATCTACCTATGTCCTGTCTAACTCTGCTTGTAGTGGCTCGAGGCGATCGAACCCGGTGCTACACCTCCCGTTGACCTCATCCCATGGCTCTGGTACATTCCCGGAAGATGGAAGTCCCGCGTCTATAAAATGCGAGATCACATGGACAAAGTCTGGAGTCAGGCGCGAGCAATGGTCGACGACCGACGAGCTAGAGGTGATCGTCGTGAGTGTATGATCGACATGAAATTGGATGAGTATGAAAAGAATGGCTGGCCCATGTCACAGCACGCCTTCAACAACCTTTTCGGCGAGTTGATGGAAGCAGGTGCTGATACCACGGCGAATCAGATTCTTACTTTGATCTTGGCTTTGGCGAAGTACCCTCAGTTTCAGGAGAAGGCGAGAGTGGAGATTGATGCTGTTTGCGGTACGGAACGAGCTCCTGTCTTTTCGGATTTTCAGAAGATGCCTTATGTCAATGCTATCGTCAAGGAGGGTTTGCGATGGAGACCAACGTGAGTTTACCCTGGACTTGGTATCTCTTTCATCAGAGTGCTTACTGGTATAGTTCCGATCTAGGACTGCCTCACACCGTCACCAAGGGTAAGTCTTGATACCACTGTGGTTCGAAACGTTCACGCGGTAACTAAGCTTTTGACAGATGACTACTACGATGGAATGTTGATTCCCAAGGGAAGTACCATCTTCGTCGGCGTATGGGCGATGCATCACGACAAGGATTACTATGGAAGCCACGACACCTTCGACCCTGACCGCTACCTGTCTCATACAAAGCTAGCAAATGAATACGCCGTGGGTCCAGATTATGAGAAACGAGATAAGTCCATCCCTCAAAAATACCATATGGAGCTATGGACTAACTTGCATTTCCACATCACTATGGATATGGAGCTGGACGGCGTATCTGCCCTGGAATTCATCTGGCCGAGCGCAGTATGTGGCGAATCACTGCTAAGTTATTGTGGGCGTTTGAGTTCTCCGAACCGATTGACCCTGTAACCAAAAAGGTTCAGCCCCTGGATCCAGATGCATATACGTCGGCGAATTTGGTGTGTCCACTGCCATACAAGGTTAACATTAAGCCGCGAAGTGCAGCACATGTTGAAGCTATCAAGAGGGAGCTTGAGAGTGCGGAAGCGTTTTTATCTCAGTATAACTAGCTATAGCCACTGATCTAGTGAGGCTTAAAGACTCTAGCCGCTAATAATTGGCAATTAAATCTATTTTCTGATTTCAGGTATAATCGTACGTATGTGTTAGACATGCTGGCATCATGCTGAGGTCCTATATGTTGTCCCACATACATTACTTTCATGCTCATGAAAGCCCCACATAGATCCAGGGTAGGCAAGTCTCACTCAACGCCCGTTTAACCGAGCTATCAAAGCTGTTATTGAACTCTATCATCAGGATTGCGGGGTAGAGGTCATCTACTCAATTTAACACTATTTGATTGGTTACTTTGGAAAGGCTGAGCCTCTGTAATCCATGTACCCCGGATCTTCCGCTTCACCTTGTCGATCTGCTTCGGCAGATGAAGCGGTACCAGGTGCAGAGCCTAGACCGCAATTCTCTTTCTCAGGGGTTGGTTAGATGCCTTGCATGTGAGACAGAAAGAACAGATGAGATATTGATGTTTTCTTACCCCACGACAACCCCAGATTTCGTCATTGTCGCGACTGCACCTTCGGAGCCGCAGCTTCAGAGCATTATTGATGGACCTTTGCATGTTTAGAGTGTTTACTTTACCTTCCGGAATTGTTTAGTTCTCAGTCAGGCTTCGCCATCGCTGCCAGCCTGATATCATGAAAGGCTGCTCATACTGTCACCGAACGTTCCACAAGACCGAGCATCTTCTCCGGCACGAGCGCTCTCGTAAGATCATCCCCACATGGAACCATCTCAATCGCCAAATTGACCCATGCTTAGATACAGGGGAGAAGCCATACCGATGTGATACATGCGGTCGCGGCTATGCACGGAGGTAAGAAGCCATCTCCAACTTTTGTCAATGCTGGTATTGATGGCCACAGCGATGTCCTCCTCCGCCATGTCAGATACTTCCATCCAAACAGTGACGCCTCACAAAGAGAGCGCCGAAGATCCGATGTCTCAACGAACGAGAAAAGCCGACAGCGCCGACAAAGTGTACTGGCCGATTCCATAAATGTGTGTTCTATACCGCCACCGGAGCCAGAACAAGACTCAGAAGCCGACAACGATCACCAGGAGCATGAAAACAACCGCATACGCGATCATGGGCAGCCACAACAGCTGGAGGATGCCTCTATCGCCGTCGATAATTCGATGGCGCAATTCTCGACGTCTGACCTCGATGCGTTGGCGACGGTCTCCATGCTCCAAGCTCTCCACGAACAACCGACCGAATCAGCCAAATTAAACCTACAAGACCCTTTCGATCCTGAGCAGCGACCTACGAATCCGTCTCCAGCTGCAGGCCATCATGATAATGAACTATCACCCATGAGCTTCTCGCATCATATGGTGGAGACAACATTGGAGACCGCTACCCCAACCTTGTTCACCGCCAATGCCGAGTTTCTTAGTCCTGGAGTGTCACTGAGTACCAGGGCAAATGTCTTTCATTCTCATACTGCTGCCTCGTCAGCTCCCTGGGGTAATAATGAAGCGTCCCTCACATCGATGAGCAACACAGATCTGTTGCATTACGCTGGTGCTCTAGAGCTCTTACAACCTAACCTCAGTCATCTGGACTTCCTTGACTTTAGTATCGGCGAAACATCACCAGGGGTCCGTGGCTCGCAAGCCTCGAGTAACAGCATCGATCCTGTAAGCAGTATCCCGCTCGAGCGCTTCGCGAGGGTTGCCGCACTATGGCCTAGAAACCGGACGCATTCCGCAAGTCAAATTGCTTCGAAAGTCTGGGCGGACGTGGTGAACTATCGGGGTGACGGTATCTTCACAGATGTCTCTATTTCGCAGTCGTCGCCAAGCTCTACCATAGGTACTGAGAATGAGTCGAGATGGGGAATGGACGAAGAAAAGAGACAGGATCTCATCCGCGAGTTCGGTTCACCTGGTTCCAGCGTTGACTTTCTACCGGCGCGGCTACTAAATCTCGGTCTCACCATCGCCTTTCGACAGCCTCATTCTCTCGTCCCGTTTATACACCAACCGACGTTCTCAGCCAAGTCGGCATCTAATTCAGTCGTGTTCTCGTTATGCCTCCTTGGCCTGGTTATTCTAGACTCTTCATTTGTGAAGCCTTTCACGCAACACTACCTGCCAGTAATGTCGCTACGATTTCCAAAAGCCGGAAGAAAATGACTAATTGTTTACAGGCAGCGACAGAGCAGTGCTGTTCTCAATTAGCGACACCATCGTTTGGTCCAGAGGGGTCTGCACAGCTTATCGAGCGCCTTGCATCAGCGGCTTTGCTTCTGATGGCTTGGTCAATAAGCTCACCACATGTATGGCATCCTATGGCGCTATGGCTCAGGAGGTTATTGCTCACTTTAGTCGCAGGGTGCTCGTGACGCGTTCTTGTCCAGAATGCTATACCATCAGACCATTAATGTAATTTCCGAGTCATCCTGTTCCTGAATCACAAGGCTGACGACAATTGCTCTTACAGCGGGTTCAAATGTCAGGATTACTGATGCCACGTCCCGCTTCGTTCAGTATAGACAATCTACTCAATCAGGCGAACTCGGTTAGACTTATCCATGATCCAGCGCAGAGCGATGACTGGACGTGGAAGGTATGGGCTCGAACAGAGAGCTTCAAGAGGTATGCCAACGTTACTACCCGAGTCTTATAAACGCTGACAGTGAAACCTGTTTCAAGATTAATATCGACGCTGATCATGATTGACGCCTGGTGGGCTTCTAGACTCAACACGGAGCCACTCATCTGTACTTCCGTGGTGCAATTGGAGATGTCGACATCGATTGACCTGTATCGGTCCTCATCTGCAAAGTCATGGAGGAGTTGTCGTAATGCTGGCACAAGTGCAACTACAGACCCTGTCATCATACGAATGCATGACCCATCCATCACTTTAAAGCCGCTTCAAGAGACTTCGCCGATTGGAATGACTGGCTTGTTGTCTGTCATCTGGGCGCGGATTCTTCAACATCAGCATCAAACAAGAGCAGCTAGGCTACCAGAAGATGGCAATGGAGAGCAGCCAACCGCAAGTGTTGATGCTTCGACTGAGACGGGTAACAACATGTTGCGTGTGCTGGGCGATATCTACACAAACTACTCAAGGTTTCTTCGGTATAGGAACCCCAACTGTATCGCACAGTGGCACTTCCTGAACCTCAACCTACTGGCCAACCTTGAGATCTTCGAAATGGCCTCTGGTCGCAACGGAGCTGAGAGCGCATACGCTGCATTGCAAGAGATCGCCAATTGGAGTCAGACCCAGTATGCACGACGAGCTTGTCTCCACGCAGCCGGAATCTACATCGCCATGAGCCGCAGGCGTGCGAACGATGGCGTCATGCTCCATTCCGACATGTCCTTATTCACAGCTGCGCTTGTACTAGGACTCTCTGTGTTTATGATGAAGCCGAACGAGGTGCATAGTGACTCTGACACAGAGTCATTTGAGTTACTCAACGATATTGACTGGACTAATCTATGTGATCCAATGTCAGCAGTAGATATTGCCGGGGATACTAGTGCCAGTCAGTTTATACAGAATGGAGGAAGTATTAGCTTCTCCGGAACAGTTTGTGAAGCGGGATATAATGCTGCCAAGATGATCTTGCTCGAGTTTGCGAGCTTGCTAGAAGAGGTTGGGAAGTGGAATGCGAAAGAACTGTGCCACATACTCCGGATAATGAGCGACTCTTTGATCGAAGTCGACGACCGATTGGGCGGTGATTGACCTGAAGCGCTCAGAGCTTTTATATGTACAAGTAGCCTCGAACAGATATAGAGTATTATCACTAGATAAGGTACTATTCATACGCGAGAACCTACATGCGAACAAGGTTATTAAATACAAATACAACATATTCTTTGCTCCAGGGATAATCCATAACCCTGTCCTAGTTCCAAACTGCTGCATCGACTGCACTAATCTTTGCATGCCCATTAGTCTCATGAGGCAGGACCTGCATAGGCTGACCCTTGGCATCCAGCAACTGAATCGAGTGATAGTAGTCCACCGCCTTCTTCTGGTTCGCCTTGTCCTTCGCAACACGCTCAAGAAGCTGCTTGGTCAAAGGATGTGCTGAGAAGCGATCGGGAAGATTATCCCAAACTCGATAGTCGGTGGCCTGTTTGTGAAGAACACCGCAGATCTCTCGAGCATACTCTGTGAACAGAAATGTGCGTGAAGACTCAACCATGATGGTCATTTGATCTGGGTCAAAGTTAGCAACTGTATTACAGTTTCGCGCAGCAAGGATTCCACTCACTTTCCAAGATTCTGCGCGGTTCATTATGCTGCAAGATAGCTTCTGTGATATACTCCTCACCAAACCCACCATGGGGAGTATGTCCGCCCTCGTAACTACAGCCACCAGGCAGAAAGTCATCAGATCGCCCGAGACCTGCGCCATAGATACAAGCCAACATTTCCGTTGCGCTGTTTCGGTGATAGTAAGGTGCACGCAATGAATTGCTGGCTACATCCCATCGAGGACCGAACCATAGATAGTCCGCGAGCGGAACATGGGGGTCGAATGACTTTGCTGTCAAGACAGTGTTGATGCTGGGGTCAGTGTGATCAATGCTGGTACTGTTCTGAGACGCGAACTTGGTTAGATCGTACTGTGATTCATGTAGTTAGTACTTGTCTTGCTGGTATCGATGTGTCGGTAGCTCACCTTGTAGGGAACGGCGTTCCCGTGCCAGGCAACAACATCGAAAGGGCTATGATCCTGACTGATGACAACATGCTTTCCACTATTCTTGACAACAATCTTGAAAGGCACATGTAGGTCTTCATCGATATGCGCAACAGGATAAAGAAAATCTCGCGGGTTAGCCAGACCATGTCCTCCGATGGGCCCGAGGTCAGGAAGCTCCCACATAGATCCCCAGACTTCAGCGATATGGCCACGAGCAACAGGGACACCCTCTGCTAGGTTGATGCGGAATCTTACACCGCGTTGGATAACGCATATTTCCCCAGGCTGGACGAACAGACGACCCATTTCGGTTTGGATGTCTATGATGCCGAGTTGAGGAGTGATGAGAAAGTCGCCGTCTGTGTTACAGTACGCCTTGTTGATCATGGATGAGTTGATCATATAGACATACACAGCGATACCCTGACGAAGGTTAGGATCACCGCTTCCAGCAAGGGTATGCAAGCCATCCGTAAAGTCAATCGTCTCATCATCCTTCGGCAGTGGAAACGGCGACCACTCAGCCTGCTGATACAAAGGCTCAACCTTTGGGTTCAGCGATAAAAGGCAGTTCTCAATATGAGACTTTGTATCAATACTCGAGTATCCTTGATGAGCGGCCGATGGTCGGGCGCGGTACATGTAAGTGCTCATGTTGAGGCCGCGAGGAGCTGCGAAAGCAGAGTAGGTGATACCCTCAGTGTACAGACCAAAGCCTCTGTCTTGAGGGTTGTTTTGGCCGGCAGGGAGAGTACCGGGGATGACTTCTGATTGATGGCGGTTTCCCCAGCCTGCTTGATACTCGTAGGGGTCATTCTCGCGGGTTGGTTTGGTACGCTGGAGATCTGTGTAGTGGAAGACTTTCTGTGGATCTGTGGCGGGCTCACGTCTCTTGATAGCGGCAACCATACTGAACTCTGATGAGTAATTCTTGTTAGGAATGTGATATGAATGTAGTGGTTATACAAGACGAAGAAGTGTTAGATCTAATCTACTGCTTTATTTTCCTTTTATTCTCCGGGCGTATTAGTAGAGAGGTTCTGCTAGTCCCATGTTTATTACCGAACGGCAGATGCACAAATGGGCCAGTAAGTGGGAAATGTGATGTGACGTCGCATGTGGGGATATGGAGCTCCCACATAATGAGACGTATGTATGTTTACGCGCGCGGTATCATTCTTACCCCTCAACCTTATGAATAACTCGTATGTTTAATTAATTTACAACGTGTGGGACTGTCAATTGACATCAAATTACGGTAGTTGCCTAATTACTGTTCCTAAAGTATGATCATTGGGGTCTTTTCTGTTGCCAATCATGCTGCGCACAGTCCAATCTTACAGGGTACTCACTCAACTTACCTCTCAATCTCACCCACACCGCTGGAATGCCTGTATACGTCTGCCAACGCTTCTCCAACGCCGTGCACTTGGATCAATCAGTGCGATTGACTCTGTAATATTTCGGAACCTATTCGGTACCGATGAGATTCGCAATGTAAGTCGATCAAGCTAACATTCTCATTCGTCCACAATTGACTAACTGGGTTGATAGGTTTTTAGCGATCAGGCCTACATCAACAGATGCGTCGACGTTGAAGCTGCTCTAGCTCGGGCCCAAGCCCAATGCAATGTCATTCCCGCCGATGCTGCCGCCGACATCACCTCCAGAGCCAAGGCTACAAGCCTCGACATGGACCGTCTACGCAACGAGACTGATGTCGTCGGTTATCCCATCCTTCCTCTTGTGCGTCAGCTGAACGACATGTGCGGATCTGCTGGGAAGTACCTACATTGGGGAGCTACAACACAGGATATCATGGACACAGCCAGCGTGTTGCAGATCAAGTCTGGTCTTGATATTATTGAGACCAAGCTGACTGGCGTGATAAACGCGCTTCAAGATCTGGCAGTTACGTATCGCGATACGCCGATGGCTGGGAGGACACATCTCCAGCATGCCCTCCCCGTTACCTTTGGTTATAAATGTGCTGTGTGGCTATCAAGCTTGTATCGCCATAGAGAGCGGCTTCAGCAGCTAAAGAGTCGTGCTCTTGTCGTTCAGTATGGAGGTGCGGCCGGGACTTTGGCATCCCTTGGAGACGGACCGGAAGGTGTTGATGTGCGAAAACAACTCGCTGCTGAACTCGGCCTGGAAAACCCTACGATTACCTGGCATGTTGCCCGCGATGGTATCGCTGAAGTGACCAATTTTCTAGCCCTCATCGGTGGCTCCCTCGGCAAGATTGCCTTGGACCTCATCATCATGTCCTCCAACGAGCTTGGAGAGGTTGCTGAACCATTCGTTCCCCATCGCGGCGCTTCATCCACAATGCCTCAAAAGCGCAATCCCATCTCCAGCGAAGTCATCCTCGCTGCCTCCAAAATCCTGCGCTCCAACGCTAGTCTCGTTCTTGACGGCATGGTATCCGACTTTGAACGCGCATCAGGACCTTGGCATCTAGAATGGGTAGCCATACCCGAGAGCTTCGTCATAGCAGTCGGTGCTCTTCACCAAGCCGAGTTTGCGCTTTCAGGTCTTGTTGTGGACAAAGAGCGCATGGCAGCTAATCTGGCTTCTACGCGAGGACTTATTGTTGGTGAGGCGCTGATGATGGCGTTGGCGAAGTATGTTGGAAGACAGGATGCGCATGATATTGTGTATGAGGCTTGTAAGGAGACTATTGAGAGTAAGGATGGAAGTACGCTGCTCAGTACGCTGAAGAAGGATGAGCGGGTAACCAAGTTCCTGCCCTTGAGTGATTTGGAGAGGCTCTGTGATCCTATCAATTATCTGGGATCGGCGCAGCGTATGGTTGATGATACGTTGGCCGAGAATACATCATAAAGCGCTAGCAGATACATATCAATAGAATTTCAATACGAACATCATGGATTTGATCTTGAAGCATGAAAAGACGATGATTTCCAGATTACATGCTCATTGTTCCCTTCAAAGCTAAGTCTGGTACGGTATCAAGTCATCAGCGATCCTGAACGCCGCACCGGTTTTGCTCCTCAGCTCATCCATCTCAACCTCGTCCACCAGCTCCCTGAGCACCAAACCCTGAGGTGTACAGTCAAATACAGCTAGATCAGTGATGATCCTAGATACACATCGAGGACCGGTGAGCGGGAATGTGCATTCTATCAGTAGGCGTCAGCAACTCTGGCTTGATAGCATCACATCATCCTACTTACCTTCCAGAATCTTAGGGTTTCCATTGCGGTCAACATGTTCCTAGGGATGTTAGTCAGTCGCTCAAATCTGATCCAAGACAAGAGATGACGTACCATGGTGATGATGACCCTGGTCTTCTCTGGGCTGGCAACCAGGTCCATGGCACCTCCAATTCCCTTCACCTTCCCAGGCAGCATGAAGTTGGCCAAGTCTTCACATGTCAGTATCAATTACAAAACATCATAGTATCTGAGTGCTTACCTCCATATTGACTGACTTGTAGCGCACCAAGCATAGTCAAGTCAATCTTCCCAGCTCTGATCATACCGAAGCTCTCGTGGCTTCCAAAAGTCGAGGCACCGGGGTTCAATGTCACCGTTTCTTTACCGGGATTGATGAGATCTGGATCTTCTTCCCCGGTGTTCGGATATCTGCCCATTCCCAGGATACCATTCTCGGATTGAAGAATGACTTCTAGGTCTTCTGGAAGCATGCCCGGTGTCGCGAGTGGCATGCCAATCCCCAGATTGACGTACATGCCGTCTTTCAGTTCTTTAGAAGCTCGCTTGATGATACGCTCTCGTCTCTGGTTTGCAGTTGTAACTATAATCGTCAGCAAGTGGGTTGAGTCTAGAGAATAGGTCAGGTTTTACTTGCCTTTGCCTTCACTCTTAGCATCTTGGGCAAATGTCAACTTCTCAATCTTCTTCGGCCTCGTACTCTGAATAATAACATCGACATAAATGCCCTGAATATGAACACTCTCAGGATCAAGCTGGCCAACGTCAACAATCTCGTCAGCCTCGACGATGGTCAACTTTGCATTCTTCGCCATCGCTTCATTGAAGTTGTTCTGTGCTTTCCGAAATGTGCAGTTACCAAGTCTATCAGCCTTGTGAACCTTGACTAAAGCAACATCGGCGAATATGGCTTCTTCGAGTATGTACTTCTTGCCGTGAAACTCGCGAGTTTCTCGAGGCCGTGACATGAGCGCTACGGATCCGTCTCTGTTGTATCGAACAGGCAATTCGCCTGTCTGAACTGAACAGGCAAATATGTTAGCCTCTCGTCGCTCTGTGTGAGGTGGCAGACTTACCAACAGTGCCATATGCTGCTGGGGTATAGAATGCCGGTATGCCAGCTGCCCCAGAAGCGCATCTCTCAGCCATCGTCCCCTGCGGTATCAACTCGAGGCTAAGATCTCCACTCAGATACATCTTCTCGAACACTTTATTCTCCCCGATATAAGATGCTATCATTTTGCTGATCTGTCGGGTTTCCAGCAATCGGCCTGCCGATATTAACATGGTGGTCAGCAGCGATATTAGTGCACGTACCGAGCCCAACACCAGGCATCCCAGCATTGTTTGAGACAACGGTCAGATCTTTGAGATCCTTGCGCGCGGCAACAGCTTCAATAAGCGATTCAGGAACACCAGAAAAGCCAAAGCCTCCGACCAGAACTGTCGATCCACTTTTCACCTTCTGAATGGCATCGTTTTCTGAGGCACAGATTTTGTTGATCCTTCGTAACACGGTGGAGGTCGAGAAGCTGCGCTGCGCAAAAGTCCTTAGGCGATTTGGAGCCTGTGCACGAAAAGCTGAGCTCATCATGGTTCTCAGTTAAAGCAAGTCTAACAGTCGTATGAAGCGTGTCGGGATGTTAAGTTCAAGTTGTGTGCTGCAGGATTGGGCTTACAGCAGAATAAACCCATGTACAAACTTTGTCATGTCAGTTCTCTCATGAGTCAATTGCCTTGTTGTAAATGAATGTTCTCATCATGGACAAGGGTACGGTAGCGTCACTGCGTAAACCCCACATGCGAAATGTTACTGCTACCGTATGTGGGACTGTAACACCAGACGTGCCGAGGCGAAATGTTTATACATCCATGAATGATTATACAGCTACTTTTATACGCGTCAATTTAGCTGCAGTATTTCGCCAATTCGACGCCTCGTGAATATTGAAGTGAGTGTTATGACTTCACCAATATGTTAACCATGCGAAGAAAACTTGTTGCCCCGCTTTGGCGCTCGGCTTTGAGCAGAAGAGGCAATGCGACAGCGGCTACCCCAAGATTGCCTCTGACGGGAATCAGAGTCTTGGACATATCTCGAGTTCTCGCTGGTGTAAGTATTTCATGTGTAGGAAGCGTCTGAGCTAGTGCTAACACCAGAAAGCCATATTGCGCGCAGATTCTCGGCGACCTAGGGTTCGTAGCAACTCGCTTCTCGAATCCATCCCATTTCTGACTTTTCGACAGAGCCGAAGTCATTAAGATCGAACATCCGACACGAGGCGATGATACGAGAGCATGGGGACCTCCCTTTGCACCTTATAAAGATGGACGAGGCGGCGAGGGCGAAAGTGCATATTATTTATCGGTAAGTGTTGCGCTGTCTAGACTTTGGCGAGAACTCCATGCTTATCACGCCTCTCAAAGGTGAACCGAAACAAGAGATCCGTAGCAGTCTCATTCAAGGAAAAAGAAGGGGCAAAACTGATCCAAACTCTCGCCGCTAAGGCCGATATCATCGTCGAGAACTACCTGCCCGGAACTCTGGAGAAATACGGGCTCGACTACAATACCCTTGCCAAGACCAACCCTCGGCTTATCTACGCGAGTATAACCGGATATGGTCAGACAGGTCCTTACAGTAATCGTGCAGGTTTCGACGTCATGGTCGAGGCTGAAATGGGTCTGATGCACATCACAGGCCCACGAGATGGACCACCAGTGAAAGTCGGCGTTGCAGTGACTGACTTGACGACTGGACTATATGCAGTCAATAGCATTCTAGCTGCAGTGATTGAGAGAAGTCACTCTGGTCAAGGGCAGGCTTTGGATGTGTGCTTAAGCGATTGTCAAGTTGCGACTCTGGCGAACATGGCGCAATCTGTGTTGGTGACGGGGAAGAGAGATGGGGGACGATATGGAACATCACATCGTGAGTCGCTCCACACAATATTATTGAGACTTGAACTGACAGTAACTCCCAGCATCTGTCGTACCATACCGCGCATTCCGCACTAAAGACGGCGACATCTTGATCGGTGGTGCCAACGACCGACTGTTCGGCGTTTTGTGCAAATGTCTTGGTCAAGAAGAATGGGCGGACGATGAGCGCTTCTCAACAAACTCAGCAAGAGTAGCGAATAGAGATGCGCTCGAACAAATGATCGAAGATATTACGAGTTCCAAGCTCTCCAAAGAGTGGCTCGATATCTTTGAGGGTACCGGTCTCGCGTATGCAAAGATAAACGATATCAAGGACACACTGGAACATTCACATGGTAAGTGACGCTCATGTGATAGCGGAAAATGCTAACGGCGGCGATCCAGTTGTCGCGAGGGACATGATCAAAGAGATCAAGCATCCCGCATGTGGCCAGTTGAAAGTGCTGAACAGTCCGGTCAAGTATTCCAGAACCCAACCTTCGATCCGTACACCGCCTCCACTACTGGGAGAACATACTGATGAGGTACTGAGAGATGTGCTGGGGCTAGATCCAACTGAGATCAAGAGGTTGAGAGAGAATAAGGCTGTCGGTGGATAATTAGAGTTTGTACATACTAGTATAGTAATATTTATTTATCGTTTCTACTTAACACTCCGCCTGCCATGCTTGCGGTAGTCTACATGAGTCTAGTCGTTAGAAGGTGCGAACAAAGTAATTGTATGGCAAATGAATTGTCTAACTGAACTATTCCACAATTATAGCGGATGCAACACCGATTCCAGTACTAAGAGACCTGTCAGTATCAACTAAATCGAGGGAATATGGACGGTCTTACCTGGCACACATGCTAATAACACCAACCTCCTTTTCCCGTCTCCCAAGCTCAGCAATCAGCGTTGCAAGCTGTCTCGTCCCAGTCGCTCCAGTAGGATGTCCAATAGCGATAGCGCCACCATTCGGATTAACTTTAGCAACATCCAACCCAAGTTTATTAATGCACGCCAGAGTCTGACTTGCAAATGCTTCATTGAGCTCGATAACGTCAACGTCTTTCTGCCCTATTCCCACATATTTATAGAGTCGTGGTATGGCATAGATTGGTCCCATGCCCATTTCATCGGGTTCGCAGCCAGCGACTTGGGTTCCGAGGAATCGCGCTACTGGTTTCAGGCCGCGCTCGGTGGCCCATGAGCGACGAGCGAGGATGGCTGCTGATGCACCGTCGGATATTTGGGACCTGCATGCGGTGGTCAGTAAGACCTCAAAAGCAAGTGGGCTGCGCTATACTGACGAGTTACCAGCAGTGCTACCACCGTCCTCTAGAAATGCTGGCTTAAGTTTGGCCAACTTCTCCAAAGTCACGTTTGGCCGGATAGTGTCATCTGCAGCAACTCGAACTTGTGAAGTTTTCCCAGTTTCGTTGTCGTATACTGTATACTCAATCGGCACAATCTCCGCCTCAAACCTACCAGCAGCAAGAGCTTCATTCGCACGAGTATGACTCAGCAGCGCGTACTCATCCTGCATCTTACGATCAACTCCATATCTCCTCGCAACATTCTCCGACGTAATACCCATAGGCATGAGACAGTCAGAAGCTGCTTTGACCTTGGTGTTACGCAGCGTTGGACTCACGTCTTGGGGTATCCCTCGAGATTGGTAGTTCTTCGACATGCTCTCGACTCCTCCAGCTAGAGCGACATCAATCTGACCCGCTTGGATAGCATGTGCCATATGAGTTAGAGCCTGAAGACTGCTCGAACACTGACGATTGACGGTATGAAATGTCGTTGATGTAGGAAATCCTGCGTGTAACAGCGCCATTCTACCAGTTTTTGCAAAGCCTAGCTCCGCGAGAACATTCCCCATCAGAACATCTTGAACGTCTCCGGATTGAATCTTGGCTCGTCGTGCTGCTTTGGCCATCATCTAGAGGGTTTATCAGCTTCACGTTCTACGGTCAAATCTAAGAACTCAAGCTTACTGGGGCAAGAATATCCTCTGGCCATGCATCTTTGAAACCGCCTTTGAAAGCTCGTGTAATCGGACTGCGAACAGCTGATAAAATCACTACATCATTGGGTGATTTGGTTGTTAATGCCTTCAAACGCCGTGTCAGAGTTGCCATTTCTTCGTTTTGTTCGTGTGTATCACTATCTGCAACGAAGCAAGCATCCTACTGACGATACTCTCATACGGGCTTGGGCCATCGCTGTCATGCCTCGCTTGGGCAATATCCCTGTCTCAGTGTCCCACATAATGTCAAATTGGACCTATATCCGTAATTCCGTTGACATGGTCCCTGTCTTATGTGGAGAACGAGCTCACGCGTTCCACATGGAACGCGTATGTGGAACGTGTGTATCACGCACTAAGCTCACTTCGGTGAGCCGTGCCACGTGCCGTTGTCCTCTATCCTACCCTGTATTGTTGTCATCGAATGAGTTTTTGTAGATTCACCAGCGTTCTGCTGTGACAATTACAATTTTTGGAATGATCATGGCTTTCACATTCGGAGATGAAGTTTGCTATCCAGCTTACGAAGGCCGGGAGACACCAAAAGTCTCATACGGACTTCAATTTCCTGAAGCCTGCTTACGTCACTGTCGCGATACCCTCTCAACATGTAGGGTATACGTAATTTGTTCAAAATCTTTGGCTCAATCTACAGATGCACTCGAACGACTTCGTTCGGCACTGGGTAGTAGGATTGCCGGAGTTAGAATCGGCATCAATCCACATACTCCAATTGCGCAAGTTCTTGAAGTCGTCAATGATGCGTCAAACCTCAACATCGACTGCCTGGTAACGCTAGGCGCTGGCAGTCTAACGGATGCCGCCAAGTTGGTCAGGCTCGCCTTGGCCAACTCGGCTACAAGTGAGGAGGAGATGAATACTCTGTGGGGAACACCAAAGAGCAATCCTACGTTGCGAAACAACATATCCAAGCCGACTATTCCTCTTATCCACATCCCAACATCACTGTCCGGAGGAGAGTTTCAAGCCATTGCAGGAGGAACAGAGTCCCAAGGCCACGCGAAGAGAACATTTCACTGCGAGCGTGTCGACCCAGAACTCGTTATTCAAGATCCAGAGCTGTGCCTTACTACCCCCGAGTGGGTTTGGCTTAGTACGGGGATTCGAGCTGTAGATCATTGTGTCGAAACGCTATGCTCGCTTGTCTCAAACGATAAAGCTGATGAATGGTCGAAAAACGGACTCGTCAAACTTGTCAGTGGTCTGTTGGCAAGCAAGGCAGATCCGAAGTCTTTACAAGCGCGACATCTATGCCATCAGGGTGTTGTCTCGTCTATGTGTGCCGTGTCAAGTGGTGTGCCACTCGGTGCGAGTCATGCCATCGGACACCAGCTTGGACCCCTTGGAGTTGGCCACGGTGAAACGAGCTGTATACTCCTGCCTGCTGTATGCAGATTCAACTTCGATAAGAAGGCAAACGTTGAGAGACAGGAAGTGGTACGGGACTTGTTGTTGGAACAGGATGAAGTTGGGCAACTGCTACAAGTGAAGGGTCATGATAAGAGCGCCGTAACTTTGGCCGATATCTTGGACGTATTTATCTCCACTCTGGGCATGCCTCGATCACTTGAAGAAGTTGGAGTTGAAGAGGATAAGCTTGAGGTCCTTGCGCGGAATAGTCTCGACGACATCTGGATTCAAACAAATGCATTCCCAATCACAGAGACCAGTCAAGTCGTGGAGATACTCAACATGTGCGTCAGAAGACGATAGAGCTTATATATAAATACTTATATGCTTCAACTTAATACTGCTTATTGGTGAAGTACTCATACTTGCCCGCCAACCGAACCCTGAATGTGCGACCCCAGATTACCATTGGTACACAGGTCAAAGCAATGGCAGTAGAAATGCAGCCCAAGACCACATACATGTTGTACACACCCATGCCATTCATCCACGGTGTGACGGCAAAGACAAGAGCGGTTGCAATGACATTACGGATAAAAACAACGCCTGTCAGAGCAGGACCTATAATCTTTGCGAGAAGTTTAGTCGAGGGCAGTACGGTTGGGTTTCGGACAACTTACATGCTCGTGAGAATCTTGAAGATATGTGAGGGACATGTCTCCACCGCCTCCTATGGCGAAACCAATGAAGCCTGAGCCTACGGCATTGATGATCCAAGGCATTCCCTACGCAACATCAGTATATTCAAGTTGCTGAATGTCAGATAGAACTTACCTTTGCAATAGTGAGCCCATACATCAGACATCCGATAGTCATGCATAGCCCTGGAACCAAGAATAGCCACAGCCTAGTCTCGGGTTCATAGATACCTCCACGGCGTTTTGCGATCTGCACAATCGACCAGTCGACAAGTGGCCCTCCAAACAGAGCTCCCAGGATTGCACCAATGAATGGAGGGATGTTCATGTTTCCAACACCTGCAGTTGTGAAGTTGTAAGGGGGAATAGAGTATAGTGAGCTTTGCGTTACGGCCAAAATCGCAAGCATAGCAATACTCCAGCCATACTGTAACGCGGCGAACATGACGGCTGGGAATATGGCAAGAAGCTGGAAGGGCTCGTAAATGTCTCTCCAGATCGTGCGTTTCTGAGCGGACTCGTGCTTATCCAATGTCCACAGCGCATGGCGCTTCCAGTAAGAATTCATGGGAATGCTGTGATCTATCTCGACTGTATCGCTCTGCTGCTCCATAGAGTCGACGCTAGCTGGTGAATCGTTTGGCAAGGGTCCTTTCGCAGTGCTGTTAACCTTGAAGAGCTCGTTATCGGTAGGGGAGGATGCGGCGACTCGAGGGTCGTGGCCGTTGAGTGGTGCGGGGATGTATTTGGTCTCCTCCAGGAAGAAGAACATGAGGACGGTGATTATACCCGTGAAGACGGTGGCGGACCAGCATGCCCATCGCCAACCCATTGTCACGGCTACCTGGCCGCCGTAGACAGGTCCAAGGTAGTTCTGCCGTTGTTAGCAAGTGATTGAACCGAAGGGATCTTAGGACTGCTCACCCCTACTAGGACCATCATAAAGTAGATACCATTCATTGTACCACGTTGATGCACGAAGAAAAGTTCCGTTACCTGTCATATCAGTATGCGGTACCTCGTTACACCAGCTAGGTGAAAACTTACCGTAACCTGGAACAAGGCCTCATTGACAGCTCCAGCGATACCTGCGATAGCATTCATACCAATCATATCCCCAACAGTATACGTCTCAGCTTGCCAGGCCCCAGCAGCAAACATGATCAACGATGTAAAGAGATAAACTGGTCGACGGCCGATGCGCAGGGCGATGGGGATAAAGATGATACAGCCGGTTGCGAGGCCTGCCATGTTTGCTGCATATCCATTGTTCAGTGTGTCGTAGCTCATGCCGAGTTCTTCGTTGAAGTTCTGCCAGAATGGGACGCTCATGCATGGACTTGGGCGAGATAAATTAGCCATGGCAAGACGTACTGTAGGTAGGAGACATACATGCAAAACATCATCATTGAATAGAGCGAGAGAAGTACCATGTGGAGGGTCTTGCGCATCGGACTCCAGTTCTATAACTATTAGAGTAGGGTAATTGTTGGATGGGATTTTCATACCAGAGGCTGATTGGGATCTGAAGTTGGCCGAGGAGCCAACACGATATGAGTGGCTTGCAAGTCATTGATGCGTTGCGTGCCCGGAGGCAAGACGTCAATTGTCAAAGTGGTTTCTTCAGGCGGCATGATTGAAGGCAAGTGAGTGTATGTTTCTAAATCGCCAAGGCTAACGGGACATAGCGACATGTTAAATATCCAACCCATTCTCGTATCTCGACTAGTCACTGGCGAATGCGGGGTTGGCCGACACTAGCAGACGCTTGAAGATAAGCTTCCAGCCGACGGTCGCAGCATTACGACCTCGCTGATACGACATTAGCCAATCATTACACGGGAAACAAGCAGGCATCGGCTCCCGGCTGGGCGATCGAGCTATGCTCAAATAGGCTGGTCGAGCCCACGATAATGAATGACCATGCTACTGGTTCTAGACCCTACAGCACCTACGACAATCAGTGCCGCAAGCGGTATCGCGGCATTCTTGGACAGTTTTGTTTCCTTTTCTGGAATGCAGATGACATCGAGGGATGCATTGTATAAAAAGGGCAGCTGTTTGGAGACGACGGTCATTATCTTGAAGCATCATACCTTAATAACTTGCAAACTTAGAGTTGTTGATGTCACTGCTACCATGTGATTTGCGTCTGATCCTTCGACATATCGTCGATGCTGTTGAGCCGGCTTTCGTACTTTCTCATTGCCATTGTTATAGATGGTGCATTCTAACGGGCGGCTCTTGTTGATGGCCATGATATCAACTTATCGACTAGCAGGGCATGGGTGTTTGATTGACCAGATAACGAATCGATGTTCCGTTCCTGTATGCCTATCTAAGGTCTCTTCCCAAAATCCAGCATATCCTCCATTCTTCCCTGTCTCTGAATCCCCCCCTGCGAAAGAAGAACTACTTTCACCTCTCGACTGTCCCCTCCCCTAGCGATATCCTCGAAACCGGACAACCGATGGGTAATCTCGATCACAGTATGGCCATTATCCGTAAAGATCTCCTTGATGACGTCCCGCATGACAGATTCTGTTACCCCGTCAACTGATGATGTCGCCTCATCCAGAAGCAGAATTGGTTTGACTCGTGTCGCTGAAGAGTACTCTACGCGGAGGACAGCTCTGGTCAAGGCAAATAGCTGAGTTTGGCCGGTTGACATGTGAGGCAACGAACTGAGAGGCTCGTCTAGGATGTCTACCAGCTTTTCTTGCTGATTAGTGTCGAAATGCCCCCCCAGCCCAGTTCGTTCAAGTGCCTTCATGATGACAATGTCGGGAAGAGATTCTGAGGGCTATAGATAGGAGAATAGAAGTAATTCGTTAATGAAAGTTCCCGCCGCAGGTTTTAAGCGCGAATGTTTACTTACGTCCAAGTTGAACCGTAGGCTAGCCTGGGCAAGCAGAAATAAATCTTGCGTAACGGTGATAAAGCATTGCTCTCGTATAGCGGACAGTGAAACCTGGCTCAAGTTGATACCATCCACTTCGATAGAACCTGATTGGGTGTTGAGAAGACGGAGCAAGGCGAGGAGGAGAGTACTTTTCCCACTAAAAAGACCACTTATCAACAGAATGATGGGGTGGAGCCACAGAGTGAACTTACCTGCCAGTTCTGCCGCAGACCACGAGATGCTGACCCGGAGCAACGGATAGGTTAATGTCCTTCAAAGCAGGCGCGTGTGACTCATCATAAAAGACCGTCAGCTCACGGACCTCAACCGCTCCATGTGAAGGCCAGGTGTCAGGGACTATCGTTCCCAATGTCGGCTGTTCTTCCCCTTCGACATCTGCTTCCAATGTCTTCAAACGTGATCTGCAACAGTGATTCAGTAAGCAAAAACATAGCTCCATGAGGACAGGGAGAGCATTGTAGTCAGTCTGATAAAACTCTGTACCTGGACTTACATAGCACCGAGAGATATCTCCAAATTCGTCCAAGATGTGACAAGTGCTAAAAGCGTCGAGTTAGCAACAAGTACGATGTTCAGCGACATGCCGATCTGGCCAGCCGTTGTGCTGCCCTCCAGAAAGACTGCCAAAGTGATAAGAATCACTGCCATGGCAGCGATAAGTAAGTCGAGGACAATGTTAAGCCAGAGTTGCAGGCAAAGAAGGATGTAAGCTGGTTTCTGGCACTTATCGAGACAGGCCATATTAGAGTTCTCTGCCTGCTTCACCCACCCGAATGATCGTATGCTGACGACACCCTCGATCTGTGAATGAGTGGGACAGTCAGCCCCAGCTCATGAGATAGAGCAACTGGTACTTACGGACTCAAGGAAGCTTGAGTAGACAGCAGACTGGGATTCCAGCTGAAGAAGACGAAGCTGTCGAGACGTTCGCAGATACACCCGCTGCACAACGTAGACTACCAGCACGCAGATTGGCAACGTGACAGTTAGCAGCTTTTGGGCGCTGAAAAGCAGCGTGGCCTGCACTAGTAACTTGAAGACCTCTGTGATCAGTCAGAATAATCATCATCACTCGTAGAGTTTCCAAAGCTTTTGGGATACCGACGGTTTGAAAAAGAGAGGATCGCTGGAGGGAGGCTCTTGTCAACAAGTTGCATGTCTTCACTGAACCTGGACAATCATCAGCCAATTAGCAGTAGAGAAGGTAAATGGTGTAAGTCACCGATTCAGTAATGAACCCGTCTCTGTCATTGAGATGAACGACAAGGGAGCACTGTAACTCGTTAGTTCGGCCCTCAAAAAATTGCTGTACAAACCCAAAGATAGTTGTGAGTAACCGTCGATGAAGCTCAGCCCCCGACCTTGGCGCAATCAACATATGTGTAGACCTATGCACACCTTGTTAGCGAGATACTTGTTTGGAAATGGGATCGACGACTTGCCACATTGACCCATTTGTGGCTGCCCAGGCTAGGAGTGAAAGGATGAGGTATCCTCCGATATAGAATCTCGTCTGTGAGCCTGGTGATTCCGTCCACTTCTGCAGCCAATACTGTGGAAAGGTCACGAAGAATGAATACGAAGCTGTGCAAGTGAGTAGGAGGAAGAAGTTCCGCGGGTGCACAGCTCTCAGGTAATATCCTACAACAGTCAGAAACCTTCACACCGTTCAAGTTGTACCATTACCATATAGAGAGAAATCTCCTGTTGATCTACCCAAATCAGCCATAGCCTCAGTCACTTCGAGAGCTTGGCTCTGTATTATCTTGTTCTTTTCGACAAGATCAAGGTTGGCTTCAGCGACTGCAGCGTTGACATGCGTCTGACGTAAATGTGCCGCTTCTACATTTATTTCGTTTGGTGATCCTTGGCATGTAATTCTTCCCTTCTCTAGGACGATCAACGAGTCCGCCAGGTCAAAGTGTTTAGCTAAAGATTATGAGCATCGAGACGTCCGGAGAAACATTGCTGAGCACTCACAGGAGTTGGCAATTAATATGACTGTAGTTCCTGTCTTACGGAAGTGGCCTTGGGTTCCTACAAGATTAGAAACGACCTGTCTTTCTGTCTTGTGGTCTAGAGCAGAGAAGCTGTCGTCAAGAAGCACAATTTCGCACCGAGCATATATAGCGCGGGCGAGTGCCTGATGAAAAGTTAGCACCGTAAAGCTTCACAGATAGAGATAGAACTGGGTATTTACCAGGCGCTGTCTTTGTCCCCCAGAAAGCTTCATACCCTGACTGCCAATGAGAGTGTTGTCCCCGAGCGGCATGGTTAAAATATCCTCGTCGAGGCAGCAAAGCTTGACAACATGCCTATACCAGCCAGGCTCAAACTTTCCGAAGCCACAAACCGCTTCTTTCAGAGTTCCACTCGGCAACCAGGGCGATTGTTCGCAGTAAGCGATCCGCTTTGAGGATACGGAGATTGTCCCGCATGAAGCTGGGATTTCGCCTAGAATGCACTGGGCGAGGACTGTCTTTCCGCTGCCAACTGCTCCAGCGCATATGGTTATTGAGCCTTTATTGACGGTGAAACTGACGTTTTCGAGAACCGCACGGGACGATGAACGGGACTGAACAGTGACAGCTTCAAAGCGGATAGCTAGTGAGGAGTCCTCGTCTTTTATGTTGGACTGTAATAAGCGTCTCGGATCAGCTCTACTAGGCTGAACAAGATAGTCCTTGATTCTTCCAAAGGCGGCCAAAGAGCCAATGGCACGAGGCACAATAGTCATGATCATGTTTGCTGGATGTGTCACAAGTCCAAGAAGCGCTGTGGTCGTGAATGCAGTCTCGGCATCGAGAGTCGACCCACGCAGGTTAGCATACATCACAAATATGACAAACGTCACTATAGGAGAGAAGATTCCGAGTGCATTCGCTATCATGGTTAGCCGAGGTAGAATTGTCAAAGTAATCATCATGAAAACACACCACTGGCGTTATACGCGACCATCATCCACCGCACTTTCTTCGCCATCTCCAATTCTTGGGCTCGGAGTTTCTGAAGCAAAACCTCGGTCTCTCTAGAAAGTCCAAGCATCTTCATCACTTTCATTGATGAGAGCGCAGATGCCGTCAGGGAGATTCGGCTCTGAGTTGCTTCATTCCAGGCTTTCTGCTTGCTTTGCAAATTTCTGGCCAGGTACCGACTCATTCTAGAGCACACTTTAGAACAGAGACCCATTAGCTACACATAGAAAAACGATACTTGAACTGGAGATCTCACAGAAGATAATCACTAGAGGTACTGGGGCGGCCCAGCGGATTTGCCGAGCCAACATTGCCATCCCGATTATGACCTCAACGATATGTGCCCAAGTTTCATGGAACATACTCGCGAACCTCATCACGCTCTCTGTGTCTGTACTGATTAAAGTGAGGGCTATGCCATCGTTGTAGCTGCTTGACGACTGACGCAGAGCTGCGTTATTGATAAGCCCTACAAGTGTCCCTTTCATCATGAGGCTGAGTCGGTTCAACCGATGGTGGTAAACTGCTTCAAACACCTTCGTCTAGTCAGTAATAACTCCTAGGGAGGTAACTAAACCATACCGCTAAACCGAAGTAGACAGCAGCGGCTTTAATGATTAGCATATACCTACTTCCGTCAGATCGGCTCCCCAGCATGTGAACCGCAGAGCTAATGAGAGCTGGCTGCGCGTAACGAAAGAAGATAAGGCACAGTCGAGGGATGACTGGTGCAAAAAAATGAGATAGCATGCTCTTGGCGAGGCAGATGGGTAGGGTGATCTTAGTCACCGGTCTGGCTCTTTTGTCCCACGCCTTCAAACCACGATGCCGGAGCTGCTTCGATGAAAGTTGGTCATCTACTAGAGGAAGATCATCTCCAGACAGCATTATCCGGTTTCCCAGGGCGAGAATGGGGTTTATCCACCAGAAGAAAGTTCGGCTTAGAATTCCGGCGAGCTGCTCTGGAGCCTGGGAGTCGTAGGGGCTTTTGAGAAGGCCCTGTTTACTTCGGCTTTCTGTGGCGACTAGAAGAAGCTTCAGAGCAAGCTGCGTTGCGGGCAAGATCCATGTATCGAGACCTTCTTGTAATGCATTAGCTGCATCACATACTAAAGTTACGAGTAGAAAGATGACGGCGAGATCGGCTGGCCTGACAGATCGCATATGATCCATGTATAAGAGGGGACCGAGAAGCGTAGTGGCGGTGAAGGAAGCAATTGACGCTGCAAATTGGTGGCCCTCCTTCGGCGGGATATTTGTTGCCAAAGGAAAAGTTCTTATCACAAGAAGCAGGCCAACTGTCGTCTGAAAAGTATAAAGTGTCAGTGTCATATTGGCGCTCAAGTTCGGAGAGGATATACCAGCGATGAGGGGCCGTAATATCCTCGGATAGTCTTGTTATCCACCCTTCGAAGCCACCATATGCGCGACAGGAACAGGAAAGAAAAGATCGTGCTGAGAAAACATGAGACCAGGTCAATTGTGGCGCTGTTGTTCATAGTGCGGGCGTGCGAGCAGAAGATTGTGTCAGGGACTTGGGAGTGCTCGAAATGACGACTGGTAGTATCTTACTATCGGCTTAAGATATAAAGGAATGGACTCTGAGGGGTTTATTCTTGGTTTATATGAAGCAGGGAAATTTGATTGCTCCCAAGACATCTACATACTAGCTATGCAGATACGAGATGGTAAAAATAGTCGCCAGAGTGGGTCAGTCAGATCATAGAATTGCGCAATATGGCTTATCTCCTCCGGCGACCAACAGAATCAATTCCTGATGGGCGCAACGGAATTATTGCTGCTGGGAACACAGTAGAGAAGGACCTTTTGAATTTATGAGAGCCCGACCAACAACGGTAACATTTACCACCTTCTTAGATAGGTATGGCGGCATAATCACAGAACCAATATCAAATTATTAACGTCAGTTATCTGTCCATATTGAACCGGTTTTACTACTTAAGTAAGATAACTACACACCAATGAATGATGTGTGACAACAACTGTTATGGAAGCTCCAAAATCGCGCGGTCCAGAGCTAACAATATGAGCACGCTTACAACCTCTTCAACTCATATATCAAGCCATCTTCACTCCACCTGCAGTATTACCATCACTCTTCTCATCATGGCTCTCAGTGGGCTTATCATCTGTACTTGTGACTGGGGCAGCCCCATCAACGACACCGCTGTGACCTCGACCGACCATAGCAGACTGAACATGATTTGTCATGAAAGCAGTTGGGTCCTCCACGAATAGGGCGCAAATCACGGCAATAGTTGAAAATGCAATAGTAATGTAAAACACAAACTGAAACGCGCGGCCATACGCCTCTCTGACTGCATGGCGAAGGACATCCTGGATTTCCGGAGTCATACCGGGTACGGCGTCGAGGGCACCAGGGACACCGAGGTTGTGCTGAATCGTTCCCGGGATGATGAGTCCCAGATCAGTCGCATTGAGGCCACTTTGTAGGGCAGCACGAGCGATCTCTTCACCAGAATAGGTTTTGAACTTGTCCTGGAAGATTGTGTTGAAGATGGCATTTCCGACCGCACCGCCGGCTGACCGGAAGGTTCCAAGAAGACCCATGGCGAGACCCAGGTGAGAATGGGGCACATGTAGACTAGCGATTGAATATCCCAAGATGGTGCAAAGAACGAACATGGGAACACCAAAGGCTGGTACAAATGCCCAGGCGAGTTTATGGTTTGGGTTGACGGTTGCAGCACTGGCGCCGATGAAGATAGCCTGGAATGCTGTGCCGGCGACAAATTGCCATTTGATATGACCAATCTTGTGAGAGAAAAGAGGGACCAGAAAACCACAGACGCCTTGCATCAAAGTATTGGGTAGGGCGAGAACACCAATCTCAATGCCGTCAGTGGTGAACATGTAAAGAGAACCTTGGGGCAGCAGAGCAGAAAGGGAATTGTAGTTCATCCCCGAAATGAACAAAACAACGATGACAAGAAGAAAGCCGCGGATCGTAGAGAAGAGCTTGAGAGGGAACATGGGAGCTTTGGCGAAGAAGAAGTCGTAGATGAAAGCAGCGACGATGGTAAATAGTCCGAGAACAATGGGTACGATTGTACTGGCACTCTTCCAAGGGTGGGAAGCAGTGCCGCCCCAGGTCAGGCCGATCAAGAACACAGCGAGTCCGGCTGTGAACAGGCCAAGACCAATCCAGTCGATCTCACGGAACTGAGTCCAGCGTGATTTTTCGAAATCTCCCTGGGGGTGAGTCGTTGGCCAGTAGAACAAGGCTGTGCCGGCCAGGGATATGGCCTGGACGATGATGGCGAGGTAGAAGAGCCATCGCCACGTAGCGTACTTGTACATGGCGTTGGCGAGAAGAACGCTTACCACGGCCCTTTGATTCCGAGTCAGTTTAACACCAAGACTGAGACAGGTTCAGATTTACCAAGGAAGAGCAATTCCTCCCTCAAGAATGCCCAAGCCGAGAGATCGCCATTTGTTAGGAAGCATTTCAGGTACACCTGCATACGCCACAAACACAAAACCAGCTCCAAGACCCACGAGAGTCTCGGCTGCAATTATGCTTTGAGTGTTCTGAGCGGTTCCTCCCACAATGTTGCCGATTAAGACAATGATTTGGCCTGCAAGGATGATACTTCGGCGGCCGAAGATATCGCTGAAGGGGCCACCGAGGGAGAAAGAGCAGGCCGTTGAGAGAGACCATGCTCCTACGACCCACGGCAGTTGGCTCGCATCGCCAAGTTCATTCGTGATCTGCACAACAATACTAGCAACGCAGACAAACGGAAGACCAACAGCTGGTCCGAAGGATAATGCCATTGACTGTTGATCGGTATCAGTCAGTTCCGGTTCCGAGATTATATGATCACAGGGGTTTTCTTACAAAGATTGCAATCCATACTCGGGCTCCCGTTTTCGGCTGCGTAGTGGGATTATCCTCCAGCGCAGCGCGATGAGGATCATCCTCAAGTTCGACTTTAGCGGGCGATAGAGTATTCGGCTGAGCCATGACTATCACTTAACCGAGGTTTTTTAGTGTAGAAGAAGGTGAGATGAAACAGAGTAGTACTGCCCCTGTGGCGATAGTTATCGAGTTCATGCAGGGAGCTTGGTCCTGTTTTACTATTATACCTTATCAACGGAATAGTCGGGACTTGGACTGACTTAAACTGCCGATGCCTTACCTTTGTGGGGTTTGCTAGCGCTTGTGGGGTCCTCGATTTTCTGTGTGGGGATAGAGTTTGGCTTTTTGACAGAATGCGGGGAGACTACCCTGAACCCCTGCATGTGATATCATGTATCTCGTTGAAAGCAGAAATGAGCCATTCTTGATTCGGTATCGGACTGAGTTTCAGCCGTAATTTGATATACACACCTAATTACAGGGCAATTGCCGACTTTGATCGCTCGGCGGGGTTCCGATGTGGGACGGCCGATATGTCTACCGAGGTTTTGAGCCATCATTTCTTGACGATGCGAAAACTAAAGAGAGCGAGGATTGGGGTGATTATAACTTTGAAGATAAAAAGGCATGAGAGAATTAATTAAATTGCGTTTTGACTAAAGACACTCAACAAACGATAAACTTCATTCCCCATACTCTCATCTCGCGGCATATCAAGATGACCAACAAGACAGATCTCAGAGTCTCCATCATTGGAGCAGGTATGATCCCGTTCAATGACACAACCAATATCCAATGATAACTAACTCTTCATCCAGGAATGGGAGGGTTGGCTGCTGCCTTGGCGTTCGCCAAGAAAGGCTTCACAAACATCCATGTCTACGAAGACGCACCCGCCCTCGGCTTCGTCGGAGCTGGCATCCAGATGGCCCCCAACATGATTCGCCTCCTCGACCAACTCGGCGTCTGGGCCAAATCCTCCATCAAAGATGAAGCCACACAAGTCGAGGAAGTCGTCATCCACGATGGCGCGTCAAATAAACTTCTTGTGCGCGTGCCTATGACTGATATAGGGGATAAGTATGAGTATCCCCACTATGCGGGTCATCGTGCTTCGCTGGCTGAGGGGATCTATGATGCTGCGAAGGCGGAGCCGGCGGTCAAGTTTCATTTTAAGAAGACGTTGCAGTATGTTGAGGACTTTGGGCCGGGGAAGGTCAAGTTTATTGTTAAGGATGAGAATGGGAAACCGCAGATTGTTGAGACGGATGTTCTTATTGGCGCTGATGGGATCAAGTCCAAGGTTAGAGAGTCAATACTCGCTCACCTAAACTTGGCAGCAGACATTCTTGAGACCGGGACAGCGGCCTACAGAATTCTCCTGCCCCGAGAACTGTTGGAACCACATCCTTACCTGATGTACATGCTGAATAGCAACACCGTCCGACGCTGGATAGGCGAAAATCGGCACATCATCGCCTATCCCATTCACAACCACTCCATCTTCAACATTGCCTCAGTCCAGCCTGACGTCAACTTTGCTGGCGCTACCAATGCGACATGGACCAACAAGGGAAGCAAAAAGGCCATGAAACAGGTCTTTGAAGACTTCAACCCAATTGTTCAGCAACTTCTTGACTTGGTCCCTGGAGACGATGTTGTCGAGTGGCGGCTTCGCTGTCATAAGCCCCTCGACACTTGGACTTGTGGCGCAGTAACCCTCCTCGGCGATGCGTGCCACCCAACACTACCCCACCTCTCACAAGGCGCTGCAATGGCAATCGAAGACGCAGCAACACTCGCTGAGGCACTGAGCTTAATGCCAGGCGACGGCTCAGACCGCGAGGCTATTGAAACAACCTTGAAGGTATACGAGCTTTTGAGGAAACCACGTACTTCGACGTTGGTAGATTTGGCGGTTCAATCTGCTCAGGCTTTGCACTTGGGTGCTGGAAATGCTAGGGAGGAACGAGATCGTCAGTTTGCTGCTGCTGCGAAGACTGGGACTGCACCTGTACCAGATAGATGGGTTAGTCCGGAGGTGCAGAAGATGATCTATGAGCATGATTGTATCAGGGATACGAGAGAGCGATTTGAGCAGACTTATAAGTCTGTGTCGAAGGGGATTGTACCGAAGCTGTAGGATACGGAGATTTGCATCTTAGCATAGCGGAAGCCAGCGAAGAGAGTTTTATTGCATATGTGTTCTAAGCAGACACCTCGTCTGTAGAAGTTGTTTGTACGGTTATATATCCTACGTCAAAGCATCTTCAACAGCCAGTATACTCTCCCTAGCCTCCAAGATACGCTTATACACGGCTGTGGCGGTATTAGTCAAGGAATAAAGTATCTGGATAATGATCTTACCGACGAGTGGCCACCGCTTCCCCATGTGCGAGAGAAGCCAGCCTAGCGACTCCTTCTTCCTCTGCACGTCCTCTGCAAGCCATACTTTGCCCATTCGTAACAGAACCAGCATGCCTTGGTAGACTAGTTCAACCAGGAAGAGAGAACATCGCCCGTCTTCAAGGTGTTGCCATAGATCGTAGCCGCCTTCGCGCAGGGTCGTCGAGATGCGATCCAGAGTTTCGAGCGCTGAAATCGTTTCCGGGAAGATATTAGGCGTCGAATCATGTTCCAACTCGTGGCCAGCGCGTCGCCAATAGTGCTGCTGCAGTAGCAGGATCCCACTCGTCAAAGTCAGTGTTCCGATCCTCTGAAAGGGTTAGAGGTGGCTCACATGTATGAAACAGAGCTTTGACTACAGAACGCTAGTTGGCGGCTTGTCACTTCTAGTTCGTTCACACGGACTAGGGACTCGAGTGTGCGGCAGAGCTGTCCCACCTCCTCAGGCGGACTATTCTGTGGAACTTCGTCGCTGCCATTAAAGGCACCGCGACAGAATGCGAGAGATTTGCTGATGAGATGAGTGGCTTGACATAGCCTTGCGCAGGATCCCATCTTGAAGGTAAACCCCTCAGATATGCGAGTGGCATGTTCGGGTGAAGACGACTGTTGATGAGATATCTAGTTAGTTGGGCTAGGAAAGTAAGGAGGGGTAAGAAAACCTAGGAACTTTATCCTAGGTGATAAATATAAATGATCTAAAGGCCTCCTAAGCTTACACTAAGTCTGCCTAGATCTTTTTGTCATTTAGGATAGAGGTTCTAAAATTTCTTGCTTAGGGTAAAGGTATTTATACTTGGTTGTAAAAGAACTCATCGTCAGTAGGGAGGAACTCCTCGAATGAGGGATCAGCCGTGCTTAAGCCACGAGAAGGTTGAGACACGTTGAGCAGGCTTCGTGCATCATATTAGCACAAGACTGCGATGTAAGTTTGTAGCAATTGACATACCGGTCAAGGATCAATGCCCCCCACCAAACCCTCCTCATTTCCTCGATATCCGCCCACGATGCGCCTGCGGCTGCACCACAGTCCTTACCCAGCACATCCTGGTTGATCTTATCCATTCCCATAGCCATACCGTATCTTGCCAAGGCCCCGACAGTCAAGTAAGCAGCCGGGAAAGTTGCATCGCCCATCTCAAACACAGCAATGAAGACTGCCGACTGCATGACTTGGATGCAGGAATCCTCTTGTCTCTCAACCTCTGCATAGAACCTTTTCACGAGGTCGTATAGCACACGCTTCTCCTCAACTTTGTCAACCGGAAGGCAGCATAGCTTCATGCATAAAGCCAAGAGTGCCGTCGGACGGCGGTGCGGGACCAGCGGATTTAACACGGTAGCTAGGTGACGCTTCCCATTGACTATAGGCATCCATGATCTTGTCAGCTGGAGGAATGCCTTTGTCGTCTCTTGCATCTGCTGACGGCCTCCGAGTTGGGCTTCAATCTCAACAGGCATATCCCATTCCATACGTGGCAGTTGAAGATGGAGATCGCGAAAGAGGTCCGGAGCCAGAAAGCGAATGGCCCTGGCGTTGACCAGATCTTGTACCCTTTCTGGTTGAATTGTGCCATGATAAATGGTATCAGAAATACTGGTTGCTGTAACGTCTGCAATATTGACTGTGTTATCAATCGGTGAAACGGCCTTCTGACCGCGGCGTTGGGGATAGCGGCATTCTAGGCTTTTCCGACGACAGAGCTGACAAGCAGGTAATGATTTGTCACAGCGTCGCTTACTGTCGCGACAATGAAAACAAGAGACGCGAGCTCTCACTGCTGGTTCTAACGGTGTCGACATCGTGGCTAATGCCGGGACTGATTGTCTCAACGTAATGTGCGGACTATGGAGAGTAAGCAGACACGTCGGCGCATGTTGCGGTACTACAGCGGTACTTTACTGTGATGAGGTGGATGACTAAGAAGAATGCGGGCTTGATATTGGTGGTTTTGAGAAGTGCGGTAAATACTGCGGTCATTTCGGGGTTTTAGTGCGGCGATCACCATCGCCAATCAAGCTTGAAGGGTACACGGCTGCTGCAAGCTGATCACTAAACAGAATATTAGTGAGCAGAACGCTTATAAAGCTTCACAACAGATAGTAGCTATACGATACAAGTAATAGTGATTGAAATAGTATTTAAACTGAATGTTTCTTCGTTTTCTGCAGGAACACTATCTGTTCATTATCACATTCAAGCTACAACAAAAAGCATATCATCGCAAACATCTCTTCACTACAATCTTCAAACCCTCTTATCATAATGAAGTCAATTCTCATCGTCGGTGCCACTGGAGCTCAAGGCGGCGCCATTCTTCGTCACCTCGCCAGCACCGGACAATACAACATCACAGCCTTCACCCGCAGTGCTACGTCTCCCAAGGCTGTCGAGTTAGCCGCTCTGCCCAACGTGAAGATCGCTGTTAGTGACGCAGCTACTGGCTATGACACCAAAGCGTTTCTTGCAGCTGCCTCGGATGTTGATTACGTTCTGGTGAACACTGATGGATTCGCACTTGGAGAACAAGCTGAGATTTATTGGGGAATTCGACTCTTCGAGTTGTCTGCTAGGGCTGGGGTTAAGCATTTCATCTACAGTGGTCTCGATTCTGTTGGGCCCAAGACTAACTATGATCCTGATCTCTATGTTGGCCATTATCAAGGCAAGGCTAGAATTCAAGGTAAGCTGCCGCCCAACATCCATACTGCCACAAGACGACTACTAACACATCCTTACAGATTGGATCCGTGCACAGAAAGATGTGAAAATGCAGTGGACCATTATTAGATCAGGCCCATACATGGAACTCCTCTCTGCAGTCATGTCACCTGCCGTCGAACAGGACGGCTCACTCATTTTCCAACTCCCTCTCGACAATGGTTCAATCCCATTCATCCACCTCGACGACTTTGGCAAATACGTTGATTGGGCTCTCAGGCATCCTGAGGAATCGAATCGCTTGGACTTTGGCATTGCAACTGTTCTCGCGACTGGTGATCAAATTGCTAAGGCTTCTGAGAAGGTCAGCGGAAAAACAAGTCGCTTCGTCAACGTCCCCATTGATATTTGGAACTCCGTCGCGTGGAAGACCCTGCCGCAAGGCTCAGATACCAAAATTGGCTTCCAATCTGTCAAGGACGATAGTGGGTTGCTTATGACGTATGGCGAGAACTTCAAGAACTGGTGGAACCTTTACAAGGCTAGTCCCAGTGACAATTCGGGATTGATCCAGAGGGACTTTGAGTTTCTGGATAGGATCGTTCCGGATCGTGTCAAGGGTGTTGAGGAATGGATGAAGAAGGTTCAGTACACCGGCGCCAAGCAAGATCTCCTGAATCTTGAGGCTCATACTAAGTAAACGGGGATGGAATTACGTATTATGGATTAGGAGTCGCGGTATTAGATGTTCCCAGACGAGTATAGATCTTCCTATAGATGCATTTGAAAGCATAGTTGCGTTGAATCAACAACTTGCAATCAGGCCCCGAAGTGAGCGAAAGTAGCCCAAACCAACGGATCCCGAACATTACCTCCCCTCAGCTCCATAACCGCCGTATAATAAGCCCTAGCGACACAATCCTCATCGCCACCATCCCCAAGCATCAGCTCCTCATAAAACCGCTTAGCTACTACCCTAGCCGCCGTGTTCTTAGCCTGCCAGAACGTGCCAACGACCTGCCGAAACCCCAGCAACGAAAAGGCCCCAGCGATATGGACTACTTCATCAACAAGATCCCTAGCTGACACGTTTGCAGTGGAGCATGCAGACAGGTACGCAAGCTGCGCTTTCTGATGCCGCGAGCCTTGAATCTCTTGGATGGTCAAGTGCGATTTAGCATCGGTGCCGAGTTGGAGATAGCTCTTGCAGGGCTGGGTTGACGTTGATTCACCGTGGCATCCGAAGTACACCGCGTTGCACGATTCAAGATTGCCAAGGGTCTCAGGCTTTGTAGGTCCCACGAGAACCTGCGTTCTACAGTGCTGTCGTACAACATCATCGAGCTCGCGAGCAGATTCTTCCACTGTCAAAGGAGCTTTTGATCTAGCGTTGTCTGGTGAGGCGATAAAGGCAAACTCACAATCTGTGCCTCGGAGTGGTTTCCATTCATTCTCGCGGGCATATGCGAGGGCTCTCAGTGTCGTGGTATAGGACGGGATGACGAAATTAAATGTGTTCGGAGCGGCGTCTGAAGTGTGATCCCCTGCGGCGTGGATAGGCATCAGCGCCATCAGACCACTCGCAGTCCACCAGATTCGGGGTAGCTTCTTATCTGCTGGCGACTGACGAATTCCCAGTGCTTCCAAGACAGGATGCACTGCCACATTCCATAACCATTTCAGAACACCCAGCAGTGATGTGTTTCTCGTATTCTTTGTCCTTAGGCCACCATTCGTGATCGTTGGTTTGGGCCTCCAGATCGCTGATGTAGGGGGGATTGACCCTACAGGTGGACTGGCAGATATTCAGGGTAATCTGAGAAGGGGCAACAGCGCACAGCAGACACAGATATATCTATCGCCCACGGAACAGGTGTATGCTGTTGGTTACAGACGAATTGGATTCAAGTGGTTTGCGAGCAAGAATGTCGATAGTGCGTTTTTGGATGTCAAAAATAGGTGGAAGGTCATGGGCGAGGAGATGATGGGGGATGAAGATGAAGACGAGGAGGACATCATCGAGGCGGACTTGGAAGAGACACTCGACGATGATGACATGGGCGAAGTTGAGATAATACCGTATTAAATATTGCTATAACGAGCTAAAATATGCATGGTTGAGATCATCCACGGCTCCATCAGTAATCACAAATGATGTCATCATAACCTCAGGACATACATGGTGGTCTGAGTCACCATATCAACACCACCCAACGACATATAGGCCCAGGCACTCAGAACCATGTTTCTTCCATGTTAAATTACTGGTTTCATTAATCCCCCTTTACCTTCGGCAAGATGTCTGACAATACCTCCAACCCCCCAGCAATACCCATGACCCTATCTATCAACCCATTAAACTTTACGCGACGCTCCGAATCACTGTCCACTGCTACCATTTCTATCACAGCAACCTCACACGCTTCTGAGCCTACCACTATATTCACATGGCATATCATATTTAATCTCAGGCTTGCTCAAAGGCGTAAGACCTTCATTTGTACAGATCTTACGACAGGTTCACCACTCCAGCTCGAGACTACCAAGGGTCCAAAACGACCACAGTTTAGCTTTGCGCTCAGCGGCCGAGATGATTCCTACTTCATTACTCTGGAGCCAAACATCCCTATCGCCGTCACTTATGGGTTTCTTCGCTCTGCTGCCCTTAAGGCGATCGAGCCTTTAAGCCCGGCCACAGGTACCAACTTAAGGTATGTGAGGATGAGGAGGTTAAATGGTGGCGCTATGGGAAGAAAGAGGATGTTATGTCGCCTCCTGGTCAGTATTCTCCGAAGAAAGGGGTGCGAAGATGCGAGTGGCCCGCCGATTAGATTGAGTCATATTATGCCTGTTGAGTTCGAGGTTGAGTGAGGCTGAGGAGTAGGGGTACTGATCAGCCTACTATGATTGTTCTAGGTGTAAATTCAGCGTAACAGAAAATCCCAAATAAACCATATTCCTCTCTATCTCATTCCGTTTCAAAGCAAGACACTCAAACGGAACATGGTCTCACGTCAGATTTCATTAAATTCTAGCCCAAGAGCTAGCTCTCACCCCATCCAGCAGTAAAACCCATTCAAATAACACTTGACTGTCGTATATCTACCTGTCATTGTCTTGCCTTGTCACCATGATTCTAGAGTACTGTTTCTTCCAAGAATATCAAAACATTTGTGCGTGTATTCCATTCGTCGTGTTCCGCAATCCAATCATCCCGAAATATATACCCAAAAGACAAGATTACCCGTCATAATCGCCCCGGCACCCTATTAACCCCGAAAACAACAAATAGGAACTAGAATCGACTATCCCAGAATCCACCCCGCTAAAGGGATATATGCAGAGGAACAATCATCTTTAATGCTACCGAAAAAGCCTGTCGCAGCATCTTGGCCAAAGAAAGAGAACAAGCCCTAAGCAGCTCCTACAGCTATCAATGGCAAATCCCACTCTAAGGCTCGAGCCATGAATATGGAGATGATGCGAATTCTGCAGCGATATTAACACTGAAGGAAACAAAACAATGCAGATAGTGAACCTTGCGCCAGCTACTAAGCTGGACATTTCCCTTGTGTGTGTATCACATAGTGGTACATTATATGAGTTTGGCTATAGCTATTAGGCCCGTTATACAGTTGGGATTATAAATAAAATATAAAGAAATAATACTCTATATAAAGAGAAATAGTAAGACCGTGTATGTATTTCTACTCTTCTCTCTAGACTTTAATTATCTTAATGTTCTGCTTACTATCATCACTAGAGCCTTCCACGTCACTATTAGTGCTACCCCTATCACTAACAACATAGAAGTATTCCATATCGCAAATCGTGACCCCTCACGACAGATAACAAGGTAGAACTTACGGACTTTGACCTCATTAGGACCGGGCTGTTGAGACTGGCCAGGTTTGCCGCGCTTCCCTTTAGACTTGGCAGCGCGCTTCCTCGTCTCTTCTTATTCCTTGGACTCAATCCCCTTGATTTTATGGCGTATTTGTCGATGGAAAGGCCTTGGTCTTGACTTGGTAGCAGTTGGCCTAAAATGTAACATTCGTTAACTACTTTGCCAAACCATAAAACACACCGACGCCAACCAGCAACCGCGTATTACATATATCTCTTTAAGCTATAAAAGAATTAGCCATATTATAATAATCAGAGTTTAAAAGTCTAAATTAAAATTTATATTATTAATATACCCTATAACCTATTTTTCTTTCTATATATACTAAGCATCTTCTTATCAAGTTTCTCTATACCTTTCAGATCTCTCTCCTCTAAGTCATCCTCAAGCTCAGATTCTCCTATTTTTTGGTAGATAAAAAAGAGTTGTCCGTCTTCACCCCGACGCCATCGCACAATTTTGAAAATTCTGGGTGGAATCAGCGAGGTATTATTCTCCCCTGTTCGCACTTTTGGATCGCTCTTAAAGTAGGTAATAAGAGCAAAAGGGTGCGAATTATGGACAACTCTCTCGTCACACCATGTCGGAGCCCAATTGAAACCGAGCCTTGAGACCTCAAATCGCTTGTGGTTTGGGTTTTCTCGGTGACCATAAAGTACTTGGAGAGCCTTTCGATTCTCTTGACACTTTGTACCGTTCATCCATTGCTGGTACTGGCGGGGCCATTTGTCTTGTACTTCAGCAACGGTCATATAGGTAGGCCTATATCGGAACAAGGCCTTAGATTCTGGTTCCTTTGGGTCCTCTGACCAGTCTTCGATTGTAGGTATGAGATCGGGATGTAAGACAGGATCTCCGACAATTTGAACCCAAAAGTCTCCTTGACTCCTGTCCTTATATCCAACGATCTTGAGAACTTGGGGATCAACTTCATCGTAAGGGCGCCCTACAGGCCCTCCGTCGGCACCCAAACGGGCGTGCCAGTATGTGCAAACAGCAGCATTGTCAAACTTTTGAACCGTGGCCTCTGGAATCCAGTAATGGACAAGTTGTCCACTACGTTGTTCAGTACTCTCTTTGAAAGCAACACGCAATTCGAAATAGCGTTGCTCGCTAGATACTCTGTACGCATCGATATACTGCGGAGATCCATTCTTGAGCAATTGCATAAAGCCCTCCTCGGACTGATCGATGAAATAATCGTTGGTGTGGCTAGAGTTAGAGTCGACCTGGGGGTCATCCTCCGGTATCGACAGTCCCTCTGGTAGCTGAGGTATCTCTGATAGAGACTCCGTTTCATCAGATCGTGTATCTGCGGTGTCTGTCGTCTGTGTATCCTGTATAACCTCAGAGGCACTAAACTCATTTCGTTCAATAACACGAAAAAGCTCGTCTTCCAGCGCTTGAACCTGGGACTATGTAGTGTCAGAAACCCTGATGTGGAATAGAGAATATACAAAAATACCTGACGAGTTCGCAGGTGTTTTTTCAGGTCGTCTAATGAACGAAGGGTACATTTGCAGCAAGGGCACTCCTTAGGATATGCTAATGATGCCATGCTAATTCAGGGATTCAAAGGCGGAAAAGGTTATAAGCAGATAAGTAAGAGCGGATCCTCGTTTTCATGGAAAGCCTTGATTGTAGGGGAAATCTTTGTAGGAATATAAATGCCTCATCGACCGAGGGTTTTCCGAAGTTTTAGCTATATTCTTCCGATCTCCTCTGAAAATGTAAGACATGTCGAAGCAGCCGGAACAAACGTGGAATTATCTCCGTATAATCAAGCATGATAATTTGCTAATTAATGTCAAAGGTCTTTTCTCATTCTTGTCTTGTATAATCTTCACCTTCTCTCGTATCTACAACGCCGCTATTAGTAAACCACAAGGGCGTAAGTTATAGAAAAACAATTCTCATGTTTGGATTGACTGGATGCTTTGTAGTTACGAATAAGCCCGCGCGCCAGTGGAACGTGGGCTTGTTCCATTAATGGTTAACTATTTTCCTTCCTACATCTACACAAGCATACAGACCATCGGGTCACCTTGATTATTATATAATTTGCACTCAAGTTAATTGGCCTCTACTAAGACTGTATATAATTAGACCATTTTATGAACCACTTAGTTTAATTCCGTAGCGACTTGCATGAATTGCGCTTATCTGACTTTAAGTTTTGCCAAGCAATAATACCTGATATGAAGACACGTGTATAATGCCGAGGAAAGACTCTTTTGCAATCTACAGTTCTTCTGCTGCTATTGTACATGAATTGAAAGGCTGTAAGACGACAACAGCCTCATACATCAGTAGTTGCGTATGGACTTCTGCGCCTTAGCTGAGGACCGTACTTCCAGAACAGAATCGGCGCTGGCGTAAGCAACATTGCAATGCACCCTAGAAGCGTCATGGTCCAGTGAACACCAATACCTTCATACATAGGCCGCGCAGCCATGACCATTCCGCCAGCAATAAGGTACCGTGACATAGTAATACTGCCCAGTGCGATAGCAGAATGTTGTCCGTAGCTATCAGTGATGTACTCATAGCTACTGACATAAATAGACGTCAACACGATGCCGAACAGAAAACAAGCTCCGAGTCCGCTCCAGATGGAGATGCCGGAATAGTTCGTCCAACCCAGCCAGAATAGTGAGATGGGGAGGAATGGAGCTGTGACGATGGCGGGCCAGAGCCTGAACTCGGGCTGGATGGAAGCTCCTTTGACTCGTTCTGTATGTTGTCTTGCCCACTCGTAGAGTCCAGGGCCACAGAGGACGAAAGCAGTTGCTCCCGCTGCAATGGCTGCGAAGCAGGAGCCTTGGTATCCAGGCTCGAGTCCGTATGTGTGTTTGAAGATATAGTCAAAGCCTGAGAGAAAGCTGAAGAGAAGGATGTAAAGCAAAATGAGGTAGAGGCCTAGTACAATAATGACCGGTTCACTGAGGAAGAATGTTGCCGGTAGTGGAAGGGTTTGTTTCATTTGCTTCCAGAATGAATGCTTCTGCTCATGTTGCGAAGTGTATCGCTGATCTCCCGTAATGCGACGAAGCTCCTTTGCTTTCCATGACAGAATCAAAGGAAAATATGTCTCTGGGAGGAAGAACAAGGCTACAATAAAGGCAGCTCCAGATATTATCAGAGTTATCCATTCTGTCCAACGCCAACCAAGGTTTGGGTTGGAGACAATCCAGCCACCTGTTATTGGCGCAATAACGGGAGCTGTGATGATGTTAATAATTCTGTTTCGATCTCAGAAGAGATTGACTTACCTGCCACATTTGCCCAAGCAACAATCGGAAACACTAATGCTCTCTTGACTGGCCTGAACTGGTCATTCACACTCGCCCCGTTGATGGTTAACGTTGCGCTAGCCGATAAGCCCACCAAGAATCGACAAACGACTTGCCCACCAAAGGTAGGCGTCATTGCCGATCCAAGAACGAAGCACAGATACAAAGCTGTCGCGACCAAATATGTTGGATTTCTTCCAATTGTTTCGGATATGGGTCCAGCAAACAGAGCTCCAGTACCGACTCCAAACAGAAACATGGCCGTAGAGAGGTTCTCGGCGACTTGGCTTACGTGGAACTCTTCACTAGCCATTGAGTTCCCCATAGATATTGAAGAGCCTGCCCAACATTGGGTGAAGACAAGGAAGCAGATAATGAAGACGTTTTTTGCTCTGCCTGATCGCGACCAGTTCAATGGGTTCAGGGGGTCATCCTCGCCTGCGCTTTGGACTTGAAAGCGACTCTCGCTAGACTCCTGTTGGCTTCCTTCTTCAGAGGTTCTTGTGTTGCTTGGAGGTGAAAAAGAGCGTTTTAGAAGAGACGGTCTGACGTGTTCGGCTGATTCGATGTCCTTTTGGTGGTCTAATCTCACCTGGTTGGCGATCTGACGACGCTGAACGTACGACCACATTTTCTTGGTAGGAGATAAGCCAGAATACAATCTTAGTTGGGGGTCCAAGCATGAAGATGCTTGGATATTTAATTTTGCAGATTTTTAAGTGAGCTAATAATCATATGGTTGTGTCGCGTGATGACTTACTCTTCTGAGATCTTGGTGTCAACATCGACGTCATTGCATGACGATGATTACGATTATGTGAACGCATCAACCAGCACAACTAGTGCCGCACTATTTTAGTTAGACTATATGTAATGGTTCTGATATAAGCAGATTATACTTTTATGGTAAGATAAAAGAAGTGGTTATCAATATTTAACGTTTTTATATAATAATTAAATAATAATAAAAGGATTTACTTAAGGGGTTTAAAGGCAAGAAATAACTTAAAAGATTTTAAAATTAAACCTTAATTGTTTTTTATTTTATGAATCTAATTATAATTACTAACTATAACTTAATAGCTTTAATAATTAATATATTTCTGATACTTTTATTAGAGCTAGGCTAGGAACTTTACAATAGAGCTCTTATTAGCCCCTTCTAGATATATATCTCGTCTCTCCATACCCTCGGACAGCCCCTCCCTCCAGATTTCCAGCAACACCCAAACTGAGCTCACTTTCTGATGGTAAGAAAAGAATCATCGAGGTTCTTAAACGTTGCTTGAGCAAGTCCTAGAGCAGGAGAGTAAAGCGGTTGACTTTGGCGTGCACCTAGAACGAGTCGGGAGTCTAGAGTTGTCTCGAAAGTGGGGGTCCCAAATATTATCGCCATAGATTACAAGATCCTCGATATTCTACGATATCTTGCCACCCCCTGGGTTGTATTCGAAAGGCTGTTTGACAACATCCTCGAGCGCCTGTTGGAACGAAAACGCCCTTTCAGAAGCATCTTCATTTCCAGTATAAGGATGATAGTTGCGACGGACCATCTCCGTTATGCCTTCATGCTGGTTGATAACCACGAAGTGGAAGCCGTATTGGCTATTGTCAATGGCAAGGACAAGACTCTCAGGCTGACTAAAATTCTCCAATCCATTACCAAGAAGAGCAAGACGAGGAGCGGTTGCTCTTTCATTCCAAGGGTGTGTAAGTCCCATTTGACGAACTGCTTCGGCAATAATACTGGCGTGATAAACATGGTTCATTTCTTGTCCAGATAAACGACGTTCACAAAACCAATGTGATAAAGGCAGTTAGGTGTTGATATTATTGCGCTGCTTTGATTTAAGTCACCGAGATATTAACAAGTTTTAAAAAGGTAGGTTTTCCTTATCAGCTTTATACTGTAGCAATTAGTTAGGCATTTTATTATAATATCGAAGTTATAAACTAGATATTTATCGCTGAGAAAATGACAACTTAACACGCAGGAGTAGACATTTATCTAAGCAACTTGCATCGTAATCGATAGGTACATTTCACGAAAGACTGGCCGGCTGAGAGCTTAATACCACTCTCAGAACCTTGGCGTGAGTATACCTCGTTGATTCATCGAGGCGATGGGGATTGTGATTGTTATTATAATTTGAAATGCTTCACATAAGGTAGATTTTCACTTATCACCTTAAACAAATAGACCGCATGTCAGGCGTCAGCATATCCAATATGTTGACTAACGAGCTTTCTGCCTTGCTCAGCCTGGTTCTGCAGCCTCATTTGCATGCAACCCCACATCGCTACTCAGCTGAACTTCTCCATCTCCTCCTTGCCCTCTTTGTCTCCGAAACATCACTTTCATATGACAAATCTGGCTTGCAATGTCTGGCGTTGAAGCAGCCTTCCTCGGAGTGGGCATTCTCTGCAATGCCACGCAGATCATCACCTTCGCCAAAGACTCCATTCACGTCTATCGCAATATGAGTTTCATACTCTTATATTAAGATAATGAGTACAAGGCGAGACAAATTCTCGAAGTCCCTTATCCATTAAGCAAAGACTTTGGCTAGATTAAAATTAACCTGACTAAGAAGCAAGTTGACGCCGACAAGCAGAACTTTGCAAAAGTGGTTAATGCTTACAAGGTTAGTATGAAAGGCGCGAATGGAGAACATCTTGAGCCATTGGACAAGCTGGCCCAAGAGAATTACTGAACTATTCCCTGCCAACACTAACCCCAAGACTATGCCCCTGTCTTAGGATCAGTCAGAAGTAATGAGCAGGACAATTACATTTTGTGAAAGATATGCCATTCCCACTTTGCAGCGGTTCATACAATAACCGAACAACGACAACCCAGAAAAGGCTAAGGCAACATCCGTCCAGTTTCCATTAACGATGCCCCTACCGATAGCAACGAAGCCCAGAACTACATTGATATTGCCTCAAGACTCATCTCCCAAGTATACCCTGGTAACATCACAGCCGGGAAGGCCAGATGTTGTACAGCATAAAAGCCCTGTTGCCTTAGGCCCTAATGTAGGGGTCTTTACGTTTTTTGAACCTTTTGGTATAGTGCTTTTTATACAACACCAGGGAGCTCACTCGGGTTGCTTTCAATCTGCAGACTACACTGCAAGTCACGATTCGGAACCCAACTCACGAAGCTCGGCTTTGCGAGAAATCTATTTACAACGTGCAGAAGGATGTTCCCCAGCTAAATTACAAAAATGTAGTTGACCAACTAGCTTGTGAGGATTTCAAGCCTAACACGGTGACGGTGCGAACGAGCCAACAGTGTATTAACTACTCCCATATCATCTCCCGTACTCCAACTAAGGTTATCCGGACATTCTTTGTCTAGAAAGCTGTCCCTACTATCTTACCCGTTACCGAAGCCCTGTCAACGAACGCATACACCGAGTTCCGCAAAGAGCTTGATGGAGAGGATAACACAAGCCTTCCACCTTGCTGGAGAAGTTCCCTATAGCTCATCGATGGCTCTTTCGACTGGACTGCTTTTTGGGACTAGCCTTTGGTCTGTCATGAGCTTTATCCTCCTTCTTCTCAGACAAGTACTACTCCGCAGATGCTATTCAGCAAACCTCGGAGATGCTCGACAACATCAAGATGTAGTATTGGGTGAAATGAAAATATCAGGAATTCTCCGTTATAAGACGGAGCTGAAATGTACTCCAGTTCCTAAAAGAATCATAAGTGGCACGGAAAAAGGACAATGGGGCTGAAAACTTGCTGGTGAGAGGGGCTATCTTTCCTAAATGGAAAAACTTCGCCATGTGCCCAGGCCAGATTTTTCAGCATACCATATTAAACCCTTGCTGCAGTAGTGCTATCATGGGTCTGAATTTGGCAACATGCTGCCATGACGTGGGAGGAAAGCCTTTCTTCTGGACTTTGTATAAAAGGGTCAACCTTGTGACAGAATAGACTTTCGATGGTCCTTCACCGTCTCCGTTCCCCGGCGGGAGACGGCTAATGAAATGGCTAAGACTTAGGCCTGCAGCCTATGGGGCCTAAAGGATTGATGCATGGGTCTGTTATGGTGGAATTCCGAGGAATATATGCGGCGCCGCCTGAGATCGGTCTAGCCTCGGCCACAACGCCATGGCCTGATATCAACAAGTGGACCCCTTTAGAGGCCCCCGCAAGGCTGAAAGCTGAAAACAGGGGTCCCGGATATTTAAATATGAATCTTGACAGCAATCAACAGGAAAGTGGCAGACAGAAAAGCACACAGAAGAAATGAAAATTAAAGAATCACTTTACTTCAACCGCCTCGAATATGAGACGAAGCTCGAGCAATTGGTTGCAACGCAGGGAATGAACGAGATTCGAGAGCGAGAGGTGCTCAAGAACCGCCAAATATACGGCTACTCCACCAAGATTGGCATGGGCGCCATCCTCTGGCTTCCTACCATGGGATTGTCGACCATCACATCCATTGTCGGCTTCAGACAGCTTTGGGTAGCGTGCTCAAAGCTCAACGTGATCAATGGCATCATCAAGAAATATAAAATCACGCCGTATGAGTGCAATCTACGAGATCGTGTGATACCAATCGTTATCAATGTGTTAACGGCGGGTGTTGGCTTTGGAACATCAATGCTGCTCAGCGACATCGCAGCCATGGGAGTCGAGGGAGCATCAGCACAAGGGGCAGTCTTCGATCCGCCAAAAGGTATCGGAGAAATAGCAGACTCAGCTGCGGCGGATCCCAGCAAATTCGCTGATGGCTTCTTCCACGGCGCTGAAGCTCAGATTGATTCACTTTCTGCTGCGCTCGACCCTGGCAATACTGCTGCGAACGTGACCCAGGCAACCATGGAAAACGCGGTTCCTGTCTCGGTGGGAGGCGAGTTCATGGATGGTGGTAACGTCGGGTACGAGGCAGCGGCAACGGTGGAGCGGTTCTTAGTGCAGCAAGCTGTGGCAAGCTCACTTGAACACATGGGCGATCAAAGTGCGCGCAATAATCTCTACAGAAGAATCAGCCAAGATGCACAGGTTTCCGAAATGCGCCCCACTCATGAAATGTATAAGTGGCATGAAGAGCTAGACGAGGTTCAAACTGCCATCCAAGTGCAATATGTCGAGTTGATCACAGCACATTCAGCGTTACTGAATAGAGGCAGTACAGAGCGACACCTCAAAGCTTTGTCAATCAAGATGAGGGATCAAGTAGTGTCACTTGATGCAAGGGCAAGAGATGACTGTTTGAACGCTGAAGACTGTCAAAAAGCTCGGTTTGTTAACGCGTGGGTTTCTTGTCTTATGAGGTGGGAGGAGACGATTAAAGAGCAGGCTATTAAGCAGGGTGAGTGGCAAGTAATTATTAATAAGTGGCAACAGAGCTAGTTATGTATATGTATTGCTTTTATTATGGCAAAATAGCTAAGACTGCCCAAATGTGATGATCTATGCGGAGTAGCAGTTCGGCTGCTGGCTTTGAGCCTTGATGGCAATATTCAATACTACATGTGCCTTGGCAGATTCTAGAGAATATATCTCAGCAAGACGAGGCCGCAGCAGACGGACTTGGTAAGATCGTATTTTTGCTTGTCAGGTATCAACATGTCCAGGACACAATCTTGCCTCGTAACTCCGGTGACGGAAGGTAAGAGTTTAAATCCTATTCAGATCACAGCTGAATCTCAGATCAAGCTCTAATGTTACAAGGCAAACCGAGAAAGCACAGCAGCTATCTGTCAAAACCGAAAGCAAACTCGTCAGAATTCATGCAAAGTTCTATATGTATCAAACTCAATTTGTATTGCGATATGGACGCAGTAGATGGCGCCGTAATTCATATGCTAGAGGAGGCGTATGCAGGCCGTTATTGCCATAAGTCGAGGAAGGCTGATGTGGCTATGCATTTAACAACGGCGCATGAAGTCACGGGGCGTCTTACCAATGGCTTCGCGCGGGACTGAGATGGTGAAACTAAACTAACTTATTAAGGACAAGGCAGTTACGGCGGAGTAGACAGATTCAGAAGGAGGGGAAGAATAATCCGATTTATCCGTTAGTTGAAGCCACAAAGTTGGTTAAGTACTAATAGCGCCATAGCTCCCTCTGTAAAGGGATAAGTCTGTTCAATAACTCTTTATCTAATTGCTGTTTTAGTTAGCAGGATATTTATGTAATCCTGCCAGGAGTAGTGGTTCACCTATCACAAGCAATTCCAAAGGGTAGTCAGCCTACTATTAGCGCAGTAGGCTTCACTCTATAATCTAAGCACGGCTACGAAATACGCCAAGGCTTCTAAGCCTTTTATAAATCAGGAATAGCGCGATGGCATAACCTTAGCTAAGAGGCGACACATGCCATTATAAAAGTACTAAAAGAAATAAAACGTTCTCCATACTTTTCTTGCATGCGCCCGAAGATGCAGCCCGCCAACATACAGCTTAGACAGCGCCCGTCGTGGTTGGCCACGCTCGATTGGGCCAGTACTATCAGCGGCTTCCTTCTACTAGCTACTGGGATTCTTATGATAATAAATGGGCAGTGCTCCCTGGCTCATGGACTCAGCGCCTACGCGCCTTTGTGTGTCGGTTCCCAGTTATCTGTGCAGAGCTGGCTCGCCATCACCGGCATCCAATTCTCACTTCTCAGTACCATTCTACTGCCCCATGCCACGTCAATGACTCTATCCAAGTGTTTTACACGAGCAGTCGAAACCACAGGGATGCGGTTCGACCGCCTGCTTAACTCTCTCTCCACGGCCCCGCTCTCTGCTCAACTTCGGGGATCCAAGAAGGTTATCATACTGCGGTGCCTCGTCTTCATGCTCGCAGCGCTCGTGAGCATCCTCTACAAGTTCTCCTTCGTGAGGGTCGATGCACAGGGCATGCTCGCGATCCCAAACGGTCAGATCTACTACAACTATGGCTCTGACGGTTATCCCGATACCGACCCCAGCTACACAGAAATCGGCGAGTCTGACATTCCCCGAGAGCACAACTATGCTCTGGGGGATGGGGTCCCGACTAGCATCCTCTCCGCAAACCTCATTGACTTCCTGACCGTGAGCAATGGATCCGTGGTCGTCGTGAGCGACCCAGGCAAGACCTTCGAGCGTCCGACCGATCTCATCGTAGGGCCTAAAGTGAATGCCACACGGCTTACAAATATTCTCAACGGGACTGTGGAATCATGTAACCCCTTGCTGTACCTTCGGAGCTCGTTCTATGTCCTACGCTCATTAGACAATTTCTACGCTACCAAGTGGCCCCTCGTCAAGTCAAGACCATACAACAACGGGGTGCGGATCGACTTCACACCCTGGAACTCATCCAGTAATGCTTTTAATGGAGGCATCATGGACATCACTTCTCTAGCCAACGGATCTCTGCAGGCTTGGGTCGCACAGCACTCACTTCCTTCTCAGCCACAGGGCATCTACGACTATAGAGTTACGGTTAACATGCGATATTGCTACGGGTATATCAACTGGAAAAACTCGGCTGTTTTTGGTCATTTCGAGATCGAGGACCCAACCGATATCAAATGTCAGGCCTTTCCTTTCGACGTCGCCGCCTGGAACCATACCTTGTGGTCCTTCAATGCGAAGGCTTTCATCCAGGCAGCCTGCGCTGGAAAGACTACCATCGACGACTCTTTCTGGACATTTGCACTGCCCATAATCCCAATTATGAATGATCACTCATCCGTCCACAAGGGCTTTGCACCACCAGGGGATAGGAATCCGCGGTGCAGCAACATTGCCGAGGATTCATTTGCGGTCGCCAAGGGTATAATAAGAGCCTCGAGGACGGGGATGACGCGGCTGGGAATAGCTCTGCAGGGGGTGGCAATCATGACAGCAATCGTGGCGATGTGTTTGATTATCTGGCCAAGGCTGCCACTGCTTACAGAGTGGCCTGCGCAATGGCTTGCCTTGGTAGAGGGGCTGGATAAAACTGTAGTAAACGAAGCAGTTAAAAACGGTGCGACAGGAACCAGTGTTGAGTCCAAGATAGTCGTGCTTCTGTCCTCGTCGGCAGAGGAGGGAGGTGAGTTGCGTCTAATATGTATTAGGCCATAGTAAGAAGAAGCTACTATTAGTATTTTATATATAAAATTAATACATTAAATACCTTATCCTATAATTATGTTAATTAGTTATACTATTAAGCTAAGATCTTTAACTCTCAAGACTTAAAGCACTTAGAGGGTATAAGTGTTTTAACTCTAATTACTAAGGCATATTAAAAAGAATAGTACCGTAAAGACTACATCGTATATAGATAACTAAGATAAGAGAGTGTATAAGTTAGGGACCTAAGAATATCCTGCTTAGCAAATCTAAGAAACCCTTAACACCCTTTTATTTTTCTAATATATAAATATTTAACTTTAAGATTAAGAATATTTAATAAGGATTACCTATATATATATAGGTAGTAAATAGGAAATAAAATAAAAACTTAATAACTTACTAATATTTAAAACTAGGCTATTATGGCTTATAATTAAAAAAGCAACCTATTATATACTAAGTATAATTTTATACGAATTAGGTAAAGAAGACTTGTATTATAATTAGGTTAATAGGATCTTAGTATCTACTTATTTTATTAATTAATCCTCAATCCTTTCCCGTCTCTGCCGGAAAACCTTCCATGATTGTATAGAGCGTCGAAACTGCTCATTATAGCCATAAGTGATTGCATGTACCAGCCCAATGTATTGTGTAGAAGCCAGTAAGGCAACGAGCCATGGTGGTGATTTACCTTTGATTTCAATAAATCGGTTGATCACCCCAGGAGTCCAGAGAATAAGGTATCCTAGTGGATAGCCATTCAGCAACATCATTCTTCGTAGGTTCGGTGACGCTCTGTTCCAAGCCGGTTGTCTTATGGGTGAAGCCGAGGCGGCGGAAGAATCAGGCTCCGCGTTACTGTAACAATGAGCTTGATTGCTCATGGGTGCTGTGGATGATGAACTGGCTGCATCATTCACCGTTCCGAGTTCATAAGCAACGGTAAGTGTTTTTATGATGGGTGGCCAAGCTGGAGTTCTGACATGCTGACTGCGCAAGCCTGTGTCTGTCGTTAAATTTGTTCCGTCGGAAGTAGACCCTGAGACTCCGAAATGGCCAAACGCCCGTTTGAGCTGGACATACACCGTAGTATAAATGCCGATGACCAAGAAGAATATGCAGAGGCGCCATCCAAAGGACAAGCTCCAGCGTAGGATAGGATACTTCGCTTGAATCCAGCACCAGTTACCGCCCACCGGACCATATGCTTGTAGTCCTAGGGCGGTGAAGCCTTGCAAAACAGTGAGTGTCAACTGCAGTCCCATGTTGGAAAAATTACGTACTGGTAATGATCCCTGGTATCCATGCACAAAGGCATATGAACAGAACACTCCGCAATGATGAATCTTGTAGTAGATAGGCCTTTTGCACGGTGAGCAAAACCGTTATTGATATAAATAATATGTTAAAATCAATCGTCTGCACTGTGAGTTGGCCCACCCACGCGTTCGCGGTACATTGCCTTTTGGTTAGAACCTGATCAAGTGGGCCATACTTAAGTGCCAGACTGCCCGATATGGTATTATTTATCATATCTGCCAAGTCTTGAGCGGTTTGTTAGAAGCCCATAAATAGTCAATTTCTTGATGGCGCCCGTACCGCATAATAGGAGATTGATGATAAGGGCGTGGCGAACATGTCGACGTGGAGGGGATATCGCATGTAGGCTCAGCACTACGACGATGGCTATGGTTGACAACACAGATCCTACCAGGGTAGGCACTGTAATAGCCAGGTCGACGTGCGATGCTGACATCCTGGGTGCCAGGTAATGGATCAACCGCGGACGGGGCAGGCTTAAACCCACAAAGCTTATAAAGTATGTAGCATCCAAACGCGGAGATTTCGCATAAACTAGCGGAGATTTGAAAGTCTGCGACACTTGGGAGTTACAGGTTAACTTATTATAAGGCTGTGACTTGCGCTAGACCAGGGTCGTCTAGCTCTTTGAGGGTAGTCCTTATCCCCAGGGTTATATACGAGTCAGTAGCAGCATTACCGTTCCCTGACGCCCTGAAGATGCGCCCGCGGCTTGCGCTAGGGTGTGCCGATCGTCCCGCTCCGAGTACGTCACTCACATGAGAGCCAATTCAAACAGCCCATAATCCCTACCATTAGATGCTATCAGCAGCAATATAGCCCTACAAAAGATCATGCAGATCCGTCGCAACATATTCACAACTCTATCACAGTACCTCTGGCAGGAAGGCTGCCACAGGGAACCAACCTTCCAGTCGTTTGGCGGACTGCACAATCCAAGCAAGCCTGGGAGGGCAATTGAAGAATCGTCCAACCATACAAGATGAGCAAGTGCTACGTTGCCACAAAAATGTGATATCCTCTGTTGTTGCTAAGGATCTGGGACCCTTCCTACTTTCCAAGATGCGTCTCGAGTCGATCATTAGAGTTACCTCAGCCTCGAAATACCGATGTGTTTCTGAAACCCTTTTCGTCGCTGCTGGAGATAGTATTCCTTTGAAAATGTATTTCGATAAATTTATAGAGTACTTCTAGCCACCTTTATACTACAAATGGGACGCCAAGTAGGACTCAACCCGGTGAGTAGGCTATCGTGACAATCTCTGGAATGATGGATGTCTAGTTCCCAGTTCATAACTGACTAATCCAAGATAGTCATTCAACAGCTTATGTGACGGTACCCGTACAACTAATAGCTGTTCTGTCTGAATAGCATCCATACCTCAATCCAATAGCGGGTAATGTTTGTCTAGGAAAATTCCGCTCTGAGGCTCAAATCGCATGCCATTACGACGCTGAAACCTGCTTCGACAGCCCTGAAATGACCTCTCGCCCCTGTAGACACCAAAATGGTAGAAGCGGCATACTGCATCCTCTTTCCGGAGCCTTCGAGTGCCGAGCGACACCTCCCAGACTGGGGTTGCAGCTTATCAAGTGATAAAAACCCAGTCTTTACAAGCTAGACAAGCTACTGTACCTCGAGGAGCATTGACCCTCTAATCCTTGTAGATAGTAAGGGTTGAGGGTTTTGAAACGAGCTAACTGATAACTAGAGGGAATATACTTTAGGCTAGTGATTACAGGCAATTAAAACACGGTATTCTTTTGGACGAGATAAGCTTTTGGAACCGCCGCCACCCAAAAAATGCCACCAGCCTCTTGTTCCATTGGGTCGGCAGACTGGCTGTGAACCCTTTCATGAGCTGCGTTGCATCCGTGTCACGTAGCTCAGCCTTCTTTGGGGCAGAATGCCACTAGTAGCCTGCTTCCATCTTCTCGTATCATGTACGACTGACACCGCATTGAGTCAGCTGTTTTGTGTCAGATGGGACACCGCTTCATTATCTACTGGTCTGTGTGTTAGTAGATCTTCAGTTAGCGGGATCTGAGGAGGATTGTTAAAGTTTAACAAAATCACATTCGAGGGACATTTCGAGATTTATAATACTCTAATTAAGTTAAACTTAATACAGGGTAACTAGAATCTCTAAAAACACGGAGTTCTTTATCATCCCTTGAGATAACAGTGCGTTGCATTGGCTACCCAACCGTCCTAGAAGTTACTGCGGGCTCCAACAATCACAAATGTGTTGTCCGAAGCACGTGGCTCTCCAGGCTGCCAGCATCCGAAGCGCTTTGGTACTAGCAAATCTCTTTGCATCTTCCTTGTGCATTGCCATTGACGCAGCTGTATCTGGCACAAAAGTATTAGACAACATCGTTATTCCTAATGCCGACAATGTTCGTGGCTATCTGCATCTCCCAACTGAACTACCGGCGTATCCAGGTGTATACATACACTGGAAATCGTCTCATCCAGATGTAGTGTCGGATAGGCCTCGTGGTAGAATTGCTGCAGGTGTCGTCAAGCTGCCGCCCGTTCACTCTGATGCTGTCACGGCCCATTTGACGGCGTGCCTCGAAGACGGCGGTTATCGGCCGCTTTGTCGCCAATTTCCAGTCACGGTACAACCGTCCGTTGACTTTGCCCAGTTCTCCCGTTACGCAATGACAAATTTTGCAAGGTCGAATTCCAACATAGGCCAGCAAGTTTACTTCGCAACGAGCGTGGGTAACGATCCGACGGCCTGGGTGGCCACCAATGATGGTAAGGCTGCATGGCACCCGGGATCCCGTGGTTGTACGCACACCAGAGGGCGACAGATTCTTCCTCATTGCGACTGATCTCAACGTTGACGGTGTAGAGTATGGGTGGAAGGACTGGGACTGGGCTCAAAGTGGTGCGAGTCGCTACATCGAGGTCTGGGAATCTGACGATCTGCGGAACTGGTCCCAACAGCGCCATGTCCTTGTATCGCCAGAGGAAGCCGGAATGACATATGCCCCAGAGGCTATCTGGGATCCTGAAATCGGAGCCTTTGTTGTCTTCTGGACTTCGAGCATGTACCCAAAAGGGACGCATTACTCCAGTGACAAGAGTGATCCCAATGGACGTTATCCATTGACTGGAGGGCAAACATTTTATTCAACGACTTGGGATTTCGTCAATTCTAGCCCTGCAAAAGTGATGACAACGCGAACTGGGCACGGGACGCTGGATCCAGTCATTATCCCGGACGGGAAAGGATACTACCAACGCATAGTTTCCGACCGCAATTCCACAGGAGTAAATCTTACTTGGTATGGACTGCCATGTGATTCAGAAGATCTCTATCAAGAAAGAGCACGATCCGTCCTCGCACAGCCAGATGAATGGCAGCTCGTTGCAACACGCATCACGCATCGCACAATGAACACCACGTACGCCGAGGGTCCGCTTGTCTTCAAAGCAAACGCTGCGGATCTTCGGGGCAAAGGCTACTACATGTACGCAGACCAAAAGTGGGCTGGCTCGCCGTCAGGAGAATTCATGGAAAAGCAATACCAACCTTACTGGACCGCGGATGTTGGAAACCCAGACTGGCAGCCAATGAACTGGAAGCAGAAGCCCGACTACAATCTGTCACTTGGAGTCATTCGGCACGGCCACATCTGGTCTCTCACGGCCGCTGAGCATGCAGCCATTCGCGGGACAAACTTACGCTCTAGTAACATAATCCCCCCCCAAGAGGCGCGTCTACAGCATTGGCGAGTCTCTCGACCTTGAAGGCATGGTTGTTTCTGCACGATACTCGGACGGTATCACAGATGACGAATCATTCGAGGGTTATGGCGGCTATTCGATCTCTGGCTTTGACCCACGCAGAAAATGCAAGCAAGCAGTTAAGGTCTCGTACTCGGTGGTTGGTCTTACCAAAACAGCCTCGTTTACCGTGAAGGTGAAACATTAATAGTTAATACTATTAAATCAGGTTTCTTTCAGCTAGTGGATAATATTCCATCTCTCAACAAAGACTAAGTTTAGAGCCAGCCAACTAAAGGGCTGCTGCTTCTTACTCTCATTTGATAATAATATTTATTAGACTTAACCTAACTGCTAGGTCGGTAGTAATTTAGGCTATATATTATATCCTAAATGGAAGAGCACTTATATTATATATACCCTAAGTGTTACGATTCGTGCCCGTCACAGCGTTGTAAGGCCTCTATAAGGCAGTTGTAGCACACCAATAATTGCTTGCATAGCGATTATGGCCTGATCTTTTGCCCTGTGGCTTAGCAGCTTTTGCAACCATTACACTACGAACCTTTTACTAATTATATAATAGCTCACGTCTTATACCATATATTAAGATATAAGCCTTATAACATAGCTTATAAAGGGCTTATAATTTAGCTTATAACTTATATTAAGTCTAGCTTATGTAAATATAAGCTACTTAAGTATATATATATATTTATTTATTAGTTTAATTTTAAATCCTATTATAAGGAATGTATGCACTTCACTTGACGCAATATACGAACCTATTAGAAAGGTAATGCCGGGTAAAACACGGACTCCGAATGAAATGTAATGGTGTATGGCGAATTTCCGGTTGGCGCTGCTTTGCAAAACGTGGAAATATTATATTAATACAATCTCCGAGCGACCGTATGGCACTTCCTATTATAGCGTTGCTTTATAACCCTAGTCATGTGACCTTCCCCTTCTTTGGATCCGAACAACTTTAAATTACATCAACATCATTCAACCGATTATCGGCCTCAAGCTCAAGGTCAGAGCCGACTAAAGTAAGCATGAGATTCAGCAGGCTTCCTAGCCTCACCACTTGGCATTCGTCATGTGCCTGCAGCAATCGTTTCCTAAAAGCCCCATCACTACTGCGAGTCAAACTCTTTTCTCAAAAGCCCGATGATGTGCCGAAACAACTGTCTCGAACCCCCCGATCTAATGCCGCCACTTGCATTGCGAATCGGTCAGGATTTCATACCAAGTCTTCTCACAAGCCCGGTTTTCTCCTGCCCCAGACCAATCTTCTCTCTAAACTGCCGACATCTTGGATTCCTTACGCTGAGCTACTTCGATTACACAATCCAGTTGGAATATACTACCTTTTCTTTCCGTGTCTTTTTTCAACATTAATGGCTGCCTCTTCAACGACCCCTATAACCACGCCTGGTTCTGTCATTGGTACCTCTATTTTATTTCTCTCTGGGGCTGTGATTATGCGTGGAGCCGGCTGTGCTATCAATGATCTCTGGGACAGGAATCTAGATCCTCATGTGGCTAGGACCCGGTTGCGACCCTTAGCAAGAGGCGCAATTACTCCACTCCAGGCTTTAGTTTTCACAAGCTTTAATCTTCTTGCAGGTCTAGGAGTCCTTCTTCAGTTTCCCACATCATGTATACTATATGGAATTCCTAGCTTGTTATTGGTTGTGAGCTATCCCCTGGCTAAGAGAATCACATATTACCCTCAGTTCATCCTTGGTTTAACTTTTTCATGGGGTAGTTTGATGGGATTCCCTGCCCTTGGCGTTGATATCATATCAGATTCGACTATGTTTCTAGCTGCTGGATGCCTATACGTCGCTAACATCATGTGGACGGTTCTTTATGATATGGTTTACGCCCACATGGATATCAACGATGATGCGGGAGTTGGTATAAAAAGTATTGCCTTAAAACACAAGGCGAATACGAAATTTATTCTGGCAGGGCTAGCGGCCAGCATGGTGGGACTGTTAGCTGGGGCTGGAGTTGCTACCGGAGCTGGCATCACATTCTACGCCATTAGCTGTGGGGGAGCAACATTGACGCTTGGTGCTATGATCAAACGCGTCAGACTCAAGGATCCAGGGAACATATGGTGGTGGTTTTGCAACAACTGTTGGATGACCGGCGGTGTCATCAGTCTTGGGCTTGCTATTGATTATAGTTTGAACTATATTGAAGACCAAAGCGAAGGACGTCTTAATTGACAGAGCATAGTTAGTTCCACTGATCTTGGTTTCAAGGTTGGTGATAGCTCCAAGCACAATGTATTTCTACTATAATGCTGAAAGGGAGGGCTGCGTCAGATACCCAATACGTCATAAGATGTGTCACTCTAAGCACTTGAGAATAACTTTAAATATCATACCCTTGAAAGGTAAAAAGCTTGCTTAATAAATAAAGAATAAAAGAGATGAACGCGTAGAATGCTGCATCGTCAGTCGATTATATTCACGACATACTCAACAAGCCATTCCTCCTCTCTTTTCAGCTTGTAATAGATCTGGCTGATACAACATTCCCCGCGGCCGTGAGTCCACCACATAGAGTGCATCTCTCGCATCAAACCAGCAAAGCAAGCAAACAACGCCAGAGCGATCGGATCCTGCAGCTTGAGCAAAAGGCAAGAATCGCGTGGATCACAAATGGGAAAGATAATCCGATATGCGGTATGTCGACCTGCCATAGCTTCTGAACCTGTCCGTGGACGGAGAGTGTCAGCGCCGTAGAGGATGTGAAGTGATGCAGTAGACCCAGGTGCTGAAGCGTGTAGATGCCATTGACCGGCTGGAGACCTTGACCTGTCAGTACTAAGGTCTCTGCTGATCGAGAGGCCTCTGGCGCCTCATACAAGCATTCAGAGGTGCCACGGATCTGGCAGTTTCTACAAGCCGGCTTCGTCTCGTCGCACTGTGAGCCAATTGGTGAGTCGGTGAGCGTCCAATTAAAGGGTGGTAACGATCAAACCTTGATTCTCCTTCGCTTGCATATCAGGCAGCCTGTCCTGGTCTTGTTGTGTGCTCGCCGCATTCCTATAGTACCTAATAAGAGTTATCAACATCCTGGTCCAAAACAGCGAGCTAGGCTGAAGATTCAGATTGCGAATCAAGTACGTCGCTTAGATGACTAAGAGATCGGTACCACCTTTCTCCTCCTACGCTAACTGTAATGGTTTAAGCACAAGTCCAGCGTTCGGCTTTCTATGATGATAGTTTTGCAATTAACTTTGATGAATCAACCGTCCACTGAAATCCGACAGTGTCAGTAAGTGCAGCTATAGTAAGCCGTCTTTAAAAGGTCATGTGTGCAGAACTGAAGAATGAGAGAAGCAATTTTGCCTTGGATGTTCTAAGAAGGGTTTTGCATTTACAGGAGAGGATCGGACATTGCGAACTGGAATTGAAGAAGAGCTTTACGTAAGTAAGTTACATAAATATTTTCTTGAGGAACATCTGGCTTGGCATATTCAGATTGCAGCTCCTGGAAGACTGGTTACGCGCGTATATATCCACGGTAGCTGGTCAGACCAATGGGAGGGCAATACACTTGCCCTCGCCTATAAAATTAACTTTGCATTAAAAGTTTGAAACTGGTCTATGCTTCGTACTGATATACGAGGTCCACGCTAGTCTGGACCCATGTGTCAAATATCCGTTAGCCTCAATGTCTTATTGCGTAGATGGCATTGTAAGTCAATACATAAATAAAATGGAATCATGGATCCAGCATAGTTTAATTCCAAACAGCAACTTATTCTTCCATTCTTTCGTTCTAAATTCTGTGACTTCATAAACTCCCTAACAACATACATCTACGACCTACCTTCAATATGGTTTCTCCTAAAGTCCTCTTCCTGTCCACTCTATCTGGCATCGCTACGGCTACCTCTGCTGAGTCCGGCTGCCGCTGTGGCGATTCAGGTTATCTCGCCATTCCCCGCGTCAATTTATCGACTCCTGAGCGATTGAAGCCATGTGCTACCTACAGTTAGTTGTGCCCGCTTCCGCATATACAAGAGATAGATACTAATCCTTGACCCAGAACTTCTTGATGCCCGAGGATCTGGAGAGCCGCAGGGTGTATCCCTTATGTTCTAAAATACTATTCAGCGAATTTTGGCCAACAATACTGGCGCCGTCAGCCAAGCCGTCGTCTACCCAGCTGGATTCGACCAGAATGTTACCAGTGGTGTAAAGTTCGTTACCGACATCATCAAATATGGCCTTCAGGATTGTCTGAAGCAAAAGTACTTCCTCTTTGGCTATTCTCAGGGCGCAACTGTGGTTTAGAGAGCGCTAAGTGAACTTGGTGATGCAAGTATGGCCGCTGTTAGCAGCGTTGTGATGGTTGGTAACCCGTATCGCACGCCTGGTAGACTCTCCAACTACGACAGTCAAGGCCACCATGAAAACCGCACTGCATATGGGTTGTATGCAGTCCACTCTTTGCAGTCAAATGACAGCATCCTTACGTTCAACGATGGCCTTGACCGCAGTGGAAAGGTCGCTGATATCTGCTTGGAAGTTTATATTTCTCATCCAGATATAACCTGTCACTAACACTGGGCCTATAGAATGATATTGTCTGCTCCTTCGGCCCTAACTGCAAGTGTCAACTTGCTAGTGATCACTTATCGTACGATCTGATGAAGCCTGTGCAAGACCGGATTTTCGATCATGTTATCTCTCGACTCTAGGGTGGATCAGCTTGCTAATATCTAGGAATATTGGAGATTGCTGTAGTACATAGGCCTTAACCTGGTAACATAAATGCCTATAGAACTTTGGCTTAATATCTATAGAGTAGCAACTTATCTAACCTTTATGGGTCTATGATACATAACCAACGAGCAGACATTCACGAATCTTAGTTAAGAGTAAATTCAATAAAGGTCTAGTCCTCTCACTTATCCTCTTTCTTTTTATCATGTTGTATTATTCTAGCCACTTTCTTATGAGCTCTGAAACCTCGTTATATGCCTGCGCAACTGTGTCTGCCGGGTTCGGTGCTTTATCCCATCCATGCCGTGCATCAGGACTGACCCTCACATAAACCTCAATAGAATGGTCTTCAAGACATTTGGCAAATGCAATCCCCTCTGCGGTAAGCATATCGTGCTCACAGAGGCAGAAACAGACTGGAGGCAGTCGTTCTACCAAGTCCTCAGGCATAAGCGAAGGCGATAACCGGATATCACCTCGCTCAGAAATTGGTACCGGTTCCAGATAGGCAGCGTCGAATATATCAGTTAAACCTTTGGGCAAGAGTAAATCCTGTCTTGGGAGCCCTTCACGTTTCCGTGCTTTGGACACAGTCTGATCCAGCGAAGGATAGAATAGAGCAAGGCCCGCGATTTTGGGGGTAGGGAGTGGTACCTTGTAGCCCCATTCTTCAGCGTTGTTGAGGAGGACCCAAACAGCCAGACCCAGACCGTCACCTGCGGAAAATCCACTGATGACCAGGTGTTTTGGGTCGATGACAAGCATATCGGCTTACTCGCAAATCTGGACACTGGCATCGAAACAGTCTTCAACATGTGTCGGAAAGGAAAACTCAGGTGCAAGACGATAGTTCACGGTGAAGACAGTAGCACCCAAGTTGGTCAAGAGATGGCTCGCCTAGGTGGCATCGTCTGTTCCCCTTCTCACGGTCACTCCGCCGCCATGGAAATTGATAATGGCCGGACGCCTGTCTGTACAAGGGTCTTGGTGCAATGGTTCGTACACATCGACTCTAATTGCTCGTCGCTGCGTCTTGGCTCCCAACGTGGAATTGAGCCAGATGGCTCGGCTTGGGCGAGGAGCATTCCAGTTGGAGTAGGTAGCGAACGCATCAGCTATTACACGCAGAGTAGGAACTCGAAGCCACATAGCCCAGGGCGGCGGGCTTTCCATAGGATCGAATTCGCCTTCCTTGTTCACGTTTTCTGTATCTGAAACTTTGTTGATTTTTATAACTTTCTATTTTATTATTCAAAGGCGTCAGTGAGTAAGGGCAGATGGCTCATTTCATAGATTACATTACCCAAACTAGACCACAGCAAGGTTTATGCCGGTATCCGAGTAGTGTCGGCGATTCCCGGCACATAGCGGCCATTCAAATCCTGTTAATTCAGAGCTTCCAGTATCTCTTTGAGTGGCATAAGACTTTAACAGGTCACTCGCTCCATTTTGCTTACAAAGCATGCTAATACCTGCAAGATATATAAAGTTCTTAAATTTATGAAAAACCTTATATAAATATCTCCTAGCCCATTATAATTAACATAATAAGCTCTTTAAAGGTATAAAATAACTTAAATAATTATAACTTTAAGACCATCTTCTCTCCTTGAACAGGATAACACAACATGCAGGGACGACTTGCCTGAAAATACGCTAGCTAACATATGTATTGAAAGCTCACCCAATATACCTTGGCGACATGACTTAACTCTAACTAGGTCCAGGAGGCCGTTGAATGCATTAACTACCTTGCCAGTCTTAACCAAGTTTGTATGGCCGGTGTCTTTGGCGTCGTCTTCTGCAGGCGTGGAAATACCCAGATTGTTGGCTTGGCTAGAGGACTCCTCCCACACGAGACAGCCACCTCCTCTTGGTAAGTCTATACCCTAGTTAGGTTATATATAAAGTGTAGTATTTCTAATTGGCCTAATCGTAAGGACATCGCTCGAGGCGCAGGATTAATTATAGATAAATGCTTAAGAGGCGATGGGAAGGTAAGGGGTGCAAACCCTGCTTGGGGTAATGGTTATCTGCTAGTTGATATCCGATGTGCTTAGTAGCGCTAAAATATCAGCATAAGATACTGAGATTACTTAGTATAGTGCTTCCTAAAGATTTGGACTCTTTGTCTAGCCTTTTCAAAATCCTTTATATGTTAAAACTGTAACGTGGTGATAATTGTTACATTTATGCCCATAAGAGTGCTATAAGGCTTATATATAAAGCTGTAGGTATTATTATAATTGCTTACATAGTGATTATAGCTGATCTTTTACTTTATGGCTTAATGGGTTATGCAACCGTTTTAATAACCACGCCGATACTACGAAGCAGCTAACCTTGGTATTTTCTTATTATAAATGTTCTACACTTAAACCTGATATCCATTCTACTCCATACAGATGTCCATCAAGAGAGTACCATGTCCTCATCCCGCCTGATTCTAATTGTTTCTTAGCCTAGATAGTATCCTAAATTATAGACTTCTTAGCCCTAACTGACAGATTAATAATATCTTAGTGAGACTTATTATCTGCTATCCTCATATCATCAGCCTTCTCTAAGTTCACATTCTTAATAAAGAATATAATAATTAGCATCTATGCGAGAACGGCAGGTGCAGTGATGGCTAGAAACTACTAGGTTTCTTGATATAACTTGTCAATTGCTCCTCGGACAGGACTCCTCCCCTTAGGGAACTTTTTGGGCGAAAACAAACGATTAGAAGATGGCCGTCGCCTGCGGTTTGACTTCGTCGGGAAAGTCGTGCATTGACTTCTTGTGGAGGTACTCATTCCAGATGGAACCAGATATACTAGAATGTCCATTAGCATTAAGGCAGGTTCTAGAATATCTTCAAGGGGGGTACTAACCAAGCTCCAATCATACCTGCAAGGTTCATAGGAGCAAAGTACACCAGGGTAGCAACAGGCATATCCTCTTCAGGGATAAGCGCTTAAATAGCAATATAAGCGCCTCTGCCCTGAAAGGTAATACCAATACCAATTAGGACCTTCGCTATAACAAAGCTAGCTTAATTGCTACTACTAGCGCCCTATCTTGAATAATAAAGTAGATTAAGAGACCTTAGCTAAGAATAGTAATAGGGACTCTAAAGAACATAGAAGGTTAAATGCGCTTTATGTATTTTATAAATAGGCTAATAAAGATGGCAGCTACCTGCAATGGTATATAGAGGGAATTACTATATATTATCAATATACTTAGGTTCAATATGGCGAGGAATAATATCAAATATATACTAGACATGTGTGGCATGGCCTAGGATAAACCTACCAGCAGCCTAAAGGTAGATAGGGAAGAATGGCATAAAAAGGGCATAGTGTATTAAGTGTAATATAACCAGGCCGCAAGCTGCGATAATAGTGTATTTAAGTATTATACAAAAAGGAACAAACAGAGACTTAGCGACCTTAGTATCTAATATAAAGAAAACGCTAAGAAGGATAATACTAAGGATAAGCATAGTAATATTACCACCATCGCTCTATCTGTCGTTTCTTCTAGTACTAGTTAAAGATAATAGGATAAGAAGAAGAAGGAGGCCTGCAACAAGGAGAAAGGCATCCACTATATCGAGGTTAATATAGATAAGACGGAATGAACGATGGTATAGGGAATAGACTTATAAATAGTATCCTATGCCACCTCGCGATAATATCCTGCCTTACAGGCCTGACACTAAAGAATATAGAGAGTGCCTATTAAAGGGATAGTACTGATAGGAAGAATAATAACCTATATCTAATAACCCCATTGCCAGGTTGAATGCTCTAACATTTCTTCGGCAACTAAAGTGCCTAAGTAGAGAGTCGGGATGGTGGCAATAGCCTTAGGCAGGTTGGACCACAGACTGAGAGAGTTCCGGCCTGTCGCACGTATCATTAGTCACATTACTAACAATCATAGCTATCAATGACATACAATGAACATCCATTGCTTTGTGAACTGGAGATCATGATATCGTTGAGGGTTAGGGAGAGTACCGCTATGGTATGACCTTCGGCGCGGTCAAGGACCTAAGGCAAGGCAAGGCATTAGCATCGGTATATCGCACATATATACAGTAAACTTACACTGAAGAACTTGGCGAGAATGGGGAAAGCCACCATGCTCATGATGGCACCAACGACATTGGCAGTAGATAGGGCGGAGTATCTCTGAAAGTTAGAAGTAGCGAAGGGAATGTAGGTGCCGCTGGAGAACTTGTTGAAGTTGAAGTTGAGAAGAAAGGTTGCTGCGAACAGTCTGTTGCACACCAGTTAGCTTTACGTCTAGACTTCGCATAATCAGCATTTAGGTTTCAACCAGAGAAAGCGATAATAACAGCCTTTCTCAACCACGTCTTGCGCAGGATCTCAGCATCATTTGGCGTATGTTGCTGCTCAGCTTCGCCAAGGCTTTGAGTTCTGGGTTTGTTTTTATTGCTCCGATTTTGTTGGGAATTAGCTCTTAGCTGAAATTGCTAAATGAGGGCTTTTGTACGTATTCCTGCCTCCTAATCCTAGTCGTTGTCCAATACAAATCTCAGGACCGAGCAAGTAACCTGGCCTGTCGGCATCAGTTTTGGAATCTATATCCTACTTCCCCAGCTTCCGAACTAAGACGGCGATACTATAATCCTAAGCTAGAGGAATTATGGTCTAGTATTTAACAGCTCGACTCGCTGAGTATCACTGCGCATCGCTATGGACATCTTTATCAGCGCTCTTGGCTCTCTCTTCGTCATAGACAAGATCTGCAGAGTTAAAACCCCTGGAACTTGGAGTCACAAAATCAAGACTAAGAACCGGCGATTACATGTCAGCGGGGAAACCAAACCCCAAAAAAGGAACTAAAGAAGTGGCGCCCCATCTTTCGCCACTCCCCGATCGGCAACTGTCAGGGTTTGCAGCCGAATCATCGGCCCGGCCCTCTTTTGTATGTAATGCAAAAACCGGTCTGATCTCTTAGATAGCCGATAGCACACACATGCCCTCCAAGAATAGAGAATATGGGAAGTATGTATCAATATTCACCGCGGATTCGAATAGCAACTAAAGGCATTCTGGGCAGCGGAGGGCTATGTTATGCAAATGATCGTCAACACGAAGGAGTCACTCTGACGAGTCAGGCTGCTGTTGGGGCTCGAAAAGCTACAACTCAGTGTTACACCGTGTCATCTGCATCGGTAACACTGTAACATGAGACACAACATTTTGGTCCAGCGATTTGCCAATGCGATCGGCTTTGGTATTGCCTAACGTATCCAATAATGAACAAGAAAAATAGATATAAGCGCATCAATACCATTCGCTCTCGAAAGTCCCAAGAATTTTGCATCGATAATTTGTCAATTTTGTATCACAACCCTACAATCAAAGACTCTCAACATGTCAGCTACAGCTACTACTACTACCACCCTGCCGCTTAGCAAGACCGCTCCCAAGGTTCGAGAGCTCCGTTCTGCTTTTGGAACAGAGGTTCATGGACTAGACTTTTCCACTGGAGTGACTCAAGCTCACGCTGAATTGATCAAAGAACTGGTGACCAAGGTGCGCACTTGATCTACTTGTGTCCATCATGATAACGTTATTTTTACTAACAAACACGTCAATGCCAGTACGGTGTCATTGTCCTGCGCAGGACCAATCTAAATGATGCGCGTCACGTCCAGCTGGGACGGGCCCTAGGAGAGCTGGACGACGTGAAACCCTACAATAAAGCCGGCCGCAAGAACCGCCTCGAATACGATGAGCTTTTTGATGTTGGCAATATTGAGGCAGATGGTTCCATCGTTGACCCCTTGAGCGCCCGTGCCCAGGCAAACAAAGGCAATAGTTACTTTCACGTTGATTCAAGTTTCAACCCACGACGTGCTGGCTATTCACTACTTTTGGCTCACGAGCTCCCACCAGCCAACACTGGTGGCAGCACCCAATTCTGCGACACAAGGGCCGCATGGGATGGTCTTGATGCAGAGACTAAAAAAGAGCTGACCGAGAATAACTATATCGCCGCCCACTCTATCCTACACTCAAAGAAGCTAGCTGCGCCCGAACACTTCGCTAATATCGAGCCGGCCGATTACCCTATGGGCCGTCACCATCTAGTCCAAAAGCATGAGAGATCAGGTCGTATGAACCTCTATCTTGCTATGCATATTCACCATATCGAAGGCTTAGAACCTACTGAGTCTCAGTCGCTCTTCGACAAACTCTTCCAGCATGCGACTCAAGAGAAATACCTCATGACCATTGACTGGCATGACGTCGGCGATCTGGTTATTTGGGACAACACGTGTACCATGCACAGGGCGATGGGAGGTGAATTTGCTTTCAAGCACAAGAGGGATATGCGACGTGCCACTGTTCATGACGACAGCAGCCAAGCTTGGGGCCTCAACGAACACACAGATGTTCGTCAGGGTCTCCCTTGATTGATTGGATGACGTATAGACAAAACAACGTGATAAGTAATTAGAAGGTTTTTTTGTTATTTTCTGCACGCACTAGGTCCTAAACAGAATAGGTAGCCGTAGTTCCTTAAGGTAGTAGCCGATACTATGTATACCCCGGCAAATTAAGACCGGCCGACACTTACTCGGGTAGGGTCTGGCTCCACGTGTGGAAAGGGTTAGGCTAGGGGGGTCGGTCTCCAGACCCTACCCGAGTAGTCATCAGAACCGATTAAAAAAAACAAGTGCCCAGTCGGTGGCCGGTGCCTGTGGTCCTGACTCTCGACCACTTTTCTTGATAGAATAGACTATGACTCCTACAATCGGCCAACGATCCTATCAGGCATGCTTGACCTGCCGTCGACGTAAAACAAAGTGCTATCTGTAAGAGACTCTCATCCCCACCAAGAAGGATTCCTTCTCTCGTCATGGCATCGTGACTAAATTCGACATTGTGCCGTTGTCAACAGCGACGGTGTCGGCGAACCTGGCAAACCCCCTTGTGTTTATTGCCATGAGACCGGAACTCAGTGTGTTCTTGCCGAGTCTAACCGAGGCCGCGGCGTGCGCTCTCGTCGGCAAACTCGACAGACTGCGAGCTCGTTACGAGGCTCTACGACATTTCAGCAGGCAGCATCCGAAAGCCATTCGACATCTTATCCAAGCTACAACGGTGACGAGTCGGCGGTGATCTCTAACAGCACAGACGAAAATGATGATGCCGATTACACTCAAGAAAACACTGAGAATGGCATGCGTATGGAGCTGCGAAATCCATCCGATGCTCTTCAAATTCTTGCTCACTCGAACGAGCTTGAATCGTCTCCGTCTGGAAGTGTTGTCGCAGATACAGACACGGTAAACATCAACTCGCCCACTCATACCTCGACCCAGCCACCTCCGTTTAAAAAAGGCCCGGGCTCCACCCCCGCACGACGACAGGGTTCACCGTCAGATAGCCGCAGCAAACCCTCGTTTACTGTTCTGGATAACTACGAGTTGATCCAGAGGGGCATATTGCATCCTGCTCTCCTCCCCGAACTGCTTCACATGTAAGTCGTTGCTGATAAGAGTTGGTCCAGCTACGTCAACCAACACGGGCAATTTCTAGATTCTCTCAGAATTATCACCATTACTGTCCCATTGTCCCTAGCTATCTGCTTGGGACATCACTATGCATGGAGAGGATCCAAAAAGCCGATCAATTCTTGCTCACAGCCCTCCTCACCATTGCTTCGAGAGACTCGCCCAAGCATTACCTCACCCATCGCTACTGCTGGGATTATGCTCAGCAGCTTCTTCTCGAGATAGCCCTGGCAAATCCCTGGACTCATACCCCGCAGACTATCGCAGGGTTACTGCTCCTGTCTGAATGGTTGCCGCACATCCAATCTCACACAAGACCAAACGGGCCCAAGAACCTCGTTGGCGAAGACCAAACTGCATGGTCTCTCGTTGGACTGGCAATTCGACTGGGGTACCTCATCCGGCTGGATCAGGCAGCCTTCCGGGGGGGTAACAATCATTCCGAATCGAACGAACGAAAGCGGCTGATCTGGATCTGTAAGTCATCCGGTATCCTGCTCATGAAAACAACATTTTTTTTGACCATCTTCTGTCGTTGCAGTCATCTATCTCGCAGATCGTCAGATCTCAGTGCGCCTTGGGCAGTCGTTCTGGTCTCGTGGGCCATCATTGTCATCCAGCTTTACAGCCCGGGACTTTCCGAGTCTGAGACAGCTACACGGCATGGAGGGAGGAGACCTTGCTTCTGTGCTGCACTCTACGCTGGAACTGACCCAGATTCTGTACAACGCTCATGGGATCCTCTACTCGTCCGCGAGCAGGACTCTATCTCTGATTCGCGACGGCGACTACGCTCGCTACATGGACGATTTCTCAAAGGCTACAACAACTTGGCACACAGCATGGAGCGATATAGAAGCACCCCCTAAGATCAAAAGCACCCTTGCCTTGATGTACGAGTACGTTTGTTTGTACGTCAACGCCTTTTCGTTCCAAGCAGTCTTGTCGAGATTCGAGACTTTGTGCTCCGAGTCCCAAGGTACGACCCAGAAGCGCCATTGCAACGTGTTCTCGACAGGCATCATGGCGTCACCTGATGGCCCATACATTTACGCTGCTATTGGAGCGGCGAGAAATCTACTACAACGCATGATCTCTCTTGAGCCTCGGCAGATCTTGTGCCATCTGCCGTCGCGCTACTACTCGTGAGTTTCTTGTTTGTTTGTTTGTCTGTTCGTTACCATCTCAACTCACTCACGGGGGCATCCCTTTAGGTACGGACTCTATGCAGCCGTGTTCTTGTACAAAGTACTCAAGGCGGGGGCAGTCCAGTCAGACACGCAAAAGCTCGAGACGATGCGGCTGGCCCATCGGTTCATCTCGGTCATGGACGAGGCCGCCTCAGTCGACTTGCATATATGCCGTACATACAGCGGGATGCTGAGACGACTCTGGAATGAATACGAGACATCGAGTGTCTCGACGCAAGGCAGCCAAACCTCTTCTGCTTCTAGAGTCAATGTGGCTCAATCTAGAAGAATAGCCGAGATGTCTGGTCCACAAGCTGCATCGTCGACAAGAGTAAATACTGCTCAGGTCTCGAGCTCTGAAGATGACAATATGCTCGGGAACTGGGATGGAATGGGGGAGGGTGGGAACATGATGGGAGGAGTCGACTCGCACTCAAGAGGATTTGACACCAACTCAACTCAGTTGTCAGTTGAACGCTATCTCCTGGGGTCCTTCTGGCCCGGTATTGCAGAGTTTAGTAAGCCGCCACCGAGCACATTGACGGTGGGGTCACTCAACTGCGACACACCCGAAGATTGGATGGAGGGAATGCATGACTTTGGCTATGTGCCAGAGACTGGGTTTGGCCCTCTTTAGTTGCATATGTACTGCTGCCAAAATAGTTGCCAAATTGCATGTCCTCGGAGATGCCTTGCTTCGCTGAACATCGGGTGGATTAGGAAAGCTGGGGTAGACCTCGTTTACAAGCATCGTTTGCGAGGAAGTTGATCCGGGGCTGAGACTCTAAATCAAGCAAATAGACACTAAAGAGAAGCTACCTGGACCTAGGGAAGTGGAGGTGATGGCCCTGACCGAAATGTCTCTCTTGTCGGCAACTTAACTTAGCGGTCGGGCCGAGCATCGCGTTCTATGAAGCGCGCTAGCTGACTCGTTTTCTATCCAGTCAGCAACAAGTCATATGGTAATGATAAACGAGTTCTAGTAAACACTGGGAAGGTATAAAGTTCATTCTTTAGCCCATTCAAAAACTCCCTTCTCTATCCTCTCTCTACATATCAGGTACCATACCCCAGCACGTCCTACTCATTTGTTGTCTTTCAAAACGTGTACCCCCCGGCCAAGTAAGATGGCTATTGGTCCCAAACTCATGCGCGCCATCGTGCGTAACGATGCGATGCGGGAAGACCCTCCCGAGATCTATGGCTGGCGCGTCTTCGCCTTGGTCTTTTCTGCATGCTTTGGCGGCATGCTTTTTGGCTGGGAGACTGGTGCCATCGGCGGCGTACTTGCAATGAACCCCCTGCAGGAGAAATTCGGCTATGGTCAAAAGTCGGCCTCGGAGAAGGCCACGCTCGATCAGAATATCGTCTCAACATTGCAGGGAGGAGCCTTTCTGGCCTGCTTTCTCACCAGCTGGCTGGGAGAAAGGTTTGGCCGTCGGCGGTGTCTTATCGGTACCGGAACGGTCACAGTTGTCGGCGTTGTCTTCCAGGCTTGTTCTGCCATCAACGGCACCCTTGCTGTAATGTACGTTGGACGTTTCGTCTCTGGACTCGGTGTTGGAGCAGCTTCGTCTCTCGTTCCACTGTACGTCTCAGAGTGTGCTCCTCGTGCTATTCGTGGTGGCCTCATTGGTAGGTCAACATCCCCCACCACTTGTCCTCAGACTTTGATTGATACCAACCATACTATGTAGCCTGCTACCAACTCCTCCTTGTCACCGGTATCATGCTGGCTTTCTGGGTCAATTACGCATGCCTTCTACACCTCACTGCCCCAGCCATTTACATCTTGCCTCTATCATTCCAGGGTCTTCCAGCTATGTAGGTTGAGGGTTTCCAGCGCCAGTCGTTATCAACTAACGTGACCAAAGTATTCTCATCGCAGGAATGTGTTTTTGCCCCGAAAGGTATCACACATCTTGACTCTTTAATTCACTTGAAGCTGGCGCTGACCATGATTCTAGCCCCCGCTGGTGTGCTCGTAAGGACGACTGGGAGAGCACCAAACAGATCCTAATCAACCTTCGCGGGTGAGTCTCTGCCACCCTCCGATTCGCCATCGCCTATGCCTAACGGACACCGTATCTAGTCTCCCAGTCGATCATGAGTATGTCCAGGAAGAGATTCGCGAGATTGCGGAGCAGCTTGAACATGAGCGGCAGCTCGTGGGCGGCTCCTCTACCAAAGACCTCCTCAGAGAGCTCGTCACGATCCCAGGTAATCGCAAGCGTACCTTCATTATCTTCATGCTCATGGTCTGGCAACAAATGACTGGTGTAAATGCCGTGGTAAGTTGTATCTTGCAGTGATGCATTGTGTTGGCAAATGTGCAGCTCACTGACCGATTGACAATAGAACTACTATGCCCCCCAGATCTTCAAGAACCTTGGTATGACCGGCACCGAAGCCTTTTTGTTTGCTACCGGCATCTATGGAATTCTCAAGGTGACTGGTGTTGCCATCTTCCTCATCTTCATGGCCGACTCTCTTGGCCGCCGTGCTAGTCTGCTCTGGACCAGTGCCGCCATGGCCTTCACCATGTTCATTGTTGGTATCTACGGGAGGATCGAGCCCCCTATTGCGGGAAAGCCTATTTCACCTTTCGGTTACGTTGCCATCGTGTGCATCTACCTTTGGGCTGCTTTCTACCATTCGGTTGGGGTCCATGCCCGTGGATCCTCATGTCCGAAATTCCTTCAGCGAGACTCCGAACCTTGAATGTGTCAATCGGTGCCGCCACCCAGTGGTTGTTTAACTTCGTCATTGCAAGAAGTATGTCGCATCATCCGTTCAGTTCGCACATGCAAGCTAATCTCGGGTCGCAGCTGTCTTGACAATGCAGCAAACAATGGGTACCGCCGGTTATGTAAGTCTCACTTTTTACAACTCCCTTGTCTTGAACCTACCTAACCTATATGCAGGGGATGTTTTTTATGTTTGGCTGCTTCTGTCTCTCTATGGGCCTGTTCGCCTGGTTTTTTATTCCTGAGACAAAGGGACTTAGTCTTGAGAAGATGGATGAGCTATTTGGCTCCACTCCCTTAACGCCAGGAAAGAGTGATGCGGAAATGGCTTCTGGAACTGCGGATCGACCCAGTAGTATCTACGAGGTAAATTCGGGCAAGTCTTGATGGTCATCCTATGGTGTATACGAATTTGCGCTTACTTGTATCGCACGCCTCGTCAATGAGACTTGCGTCTTTATATAAGACAAATAACATCTAGATAAAATGAAACATTTAATCTTCACTTAGTGACGAAATTAGACATTACTTCGCGGCTTACTTTACTAAGTATATAACATATATGATAAGCAAGTGTCTTACTCTTATTTCTACCTTAAATCCGGATTTTAAGAATTCCTCTAAAAATTCCGATTAAGCCTATAATAGCTAAAACTTTAATAGCTTATATATAAGTTTTAAAATAAGCTACAGCAGTTTTCTTCAATTTCTTTAAAAATCAAAGATAGTCATAAACCTTAAAGTCTATTTATATTATAAAATATATTATATTTTAAGGTTTTCAATGTAATGTTAAATAGCTTAAAATTAAAAAGAAAATTACTATAATACATAAGGATCTTATTAATCCAATTTAGCAGAGATTAGATAATCCAGGCATGGGGTTAAAAGCTATAATACTATGGCTTATCTAAATTTAATCCTATATCCTTCTAAATACCTTCACCTTATAACCATATGTATATTCTGGTATTATTTATTTCTTATTAACCTTTCTTTATCAGGTTTATAAGGACACAGATATATTATATAACTATTAATTATATTAAAACTCCCTTAAATATATAATTTATCACTAAAATCATCTAGTTCAGGAATAGGCTCGTGTTCAGGGCGCTGTACGTATCGATTGGATCAGGGCCTCAAGCTATTATTAGCGTGATCCGCACTTACGCGCTGTAGTGCTTTAGGATGTAATGGTTAGAGGATGCTGATGTGGTTGGTGGGAAAGGTTCAATAATTGCTAACAGGTGCTTCCAGCAACATGGCCAGACGATGCTATATTAAATGATTAACTAAGGGCAAGATGGTATTCACTGCGTTTAATGTGATAGCGTTCACACCTAACCGCACTAGAATCAAGTTACTAAGCTAAGTTCTCTGTGCTGATATAAGCTCTCAGCCGCAAGTCTCAACTGCAGATACCACATCTGAGCTGTCTCTACAACTATTGGTTCGGTTTCTATATCCAGTCTCCCTCCATGGTTGTCAAGATACTGTCGTCGCACGCCAGCCCAGGAAACAGGTCAGATTCTGGCCAGAGATAGTTTCCAATATTGTTAGGACAGTCCGGCTCCAGGCGTACTCTTTTTCGGGTTGTCGTGTGTCTCAATCGAAAATCAATTTCCAGAAGCTACCGAGGTCAACTGCGTGTGTGAAACTGGTACAGCTAGAGCAGAATTGCTTGGATGAAGAGTCAAGATGCAGGCTCATTTCCGAGAAGGCATTGAAACAACGGTGACGCCTCACTGATACACAGCTACGGACAAACTTGCCTCAGATCCAAGTGCCCTGGAACTTTTAGCTGCCTATCAATAAGCATAAACCTGTTTCTAGTTATTACTAGAAATAATAAGTAAAGCTTTGGGTAAACTGATGAATATTGAGTGTTTCTTACTAAAACAAGGACGATTTACAGATAACTATTGCTTTCAGTATGTAAGGGTACTCAGGGGAGTTGGAAAAAAGCCAAAGCTCCACGGAGGTGCGCCTAAGCTAACAGTCGCTGGGATCCATTCTAACTACCAGGACTTATCATCAACAGTATTCTACTCAACCTGCTTCTCATGTCTTCGCTGATCCGAACTGATCCAGTAAACGCCCTTCCGTGCTTGGATCAAAGGATCGTCAGACGACTTGATGCCCTGAATACCTCCCTTCTCCGGGTTAGGATGAAATGCTATCTGCTGCTGTTTAGCAGCATTATCGTCCGAAACCTTGTTGATCTCCAATTTGCCAACGGGGATGAACGTCTTGCTCTGGTATGGCTTAGTAGCGTCATCTAGCACATCATCAGGACCAGCAACATGTGCTTGAATGGTAAGCACGATTGGCTTGTCTGGGAAGCGTTGCCTGAGGTCATCCTCTAAGTAGTCGTTGCCTAACTTCGCAAGCACCTCCTTGTCCTCGGGAGTCTTGTTAGGGTAGAGGTGCTCCCCGTCAGCCGGGTCAAGACGATAGCGGACGTTGGTGATGCCGCCGTCTTTGTTGGTCAAGACATGAGTGTTGGGCTCGTAATACGTGATGGTTCCGTAGTTATGAGGGTTCGGCTTCTCAGAGCTCACAAAAACTGCAGCTGACCTGTGCTCAGGTTTTCCAAGGAAAGACAAAAACGCAGCGTGAGCTTGATCATAAAGCTTCTGTTCTTTGGAGTAGTCACCGCCCCCAGCCTTGGCCTTCTTGAGCTGCGCCTCAGTAAAGCCATCAGCGCCAAAGAGCTTGAGGAAGGTCAAGAAGTCTTCGCCATTGCGAGTTGCAAACCCGTTGAACGAGTGACTGATCAGATCAGTGTGAGTGTTCTCGTCAATTTGGAAGCGAATGGCAACGCCCTTGGGTGTAGCGCCGTCTGCCACGTCCGCAACATGAGGCAGACCTCCACCCACAGAGAACCTCGCAATTACCTTTGTTGAAGGGTTATTGAAGTGAGCAGCTGTGGAAAGCGTCTTGGCCTCTTCTGTTGGCGTAAAGATGCCCTCCACGAGAAGACCTTTGGCATGAGCTGCAAATACAGATCGTCAGCCTTGAATCTTAGTCTATTATCTTGAGAAGCTTACTTGTTCGGTAGCCTGGATGCTTGCCAAAGATTGCTTGCATAGCATTGACCAAGTCCTGAGGGAGCTGGTCCTTTGGCGGCTGAGTCTCAGTTGACGAAACATTTGGGGCAGGTTTGGATGTCTGGTCTGGCGTGCTGGTCACACCAGTGCTTGGGTAGATGACTTGAGTGGACATTGTGAACGTAGTTTGTAAATAGTTTGGGATGATGGGGAAATTATCTGACAGTGAGTTCAAGCGAGAAGAGCAGATATTTGAGGATAAGACGAAGCTGGCGTCGAGAGACTGAGTGTGAGACACGCACGCAACTCTTACGCGTATCTACTAGTTTCCAGCTCGCAACCCTACAGGATAATCACAAAAGGAGGGATGCTGTTCTAGAGCGGCCGCTGCCAAGTCGAGTGAGGCGTTCGGGACTTCATCCACCACTAGTGATCGTGTAGTCGAGACATGGAGTAAAAATGAGGTTCCAGACTTATGCATTGCCATCACGAAGATTCTATCAGCGGACATTTCAGCTAGCCACAGCGATGTCAAGCTTACTCATGCTGACCGGAGGGGTAGAGCGTTCACGCAGCATGTCCTCGAATCGTGTAATATTGTGCTGCAGGAAAAGCTTAACATCATCAGGGATTACTGACACTAGTCAACTGTCAACTCATCAGGGATCTTATTCCTCCAATAGCGGCATACATGTCATATTCGCATCCGGGACTGGTTAAAGTTTCAGCTCTATGCAGAGTCGCGATAAAGAATTTGGCTGCCTAAGCAGCCTAGGGAGTCTATCGGAACTACTCTATACTGGTGCGGCTGACATGCAACGTGACTTGCACCATGCAGGGGTCTTCAGAGCGTAAGAGACCTAACTCCACGAAGCAAACTTGGCGAAGTGGAAACAAAGGTCTAGAATATTGGATAGCAGCGAACAACAGCACTTAGCATCTCCCAATTGAGCTTGATACGCGGGAATGGTTCTATTGCCATTGCGATAATAACGTGGCTTAGCGACGAAATTCAAGACACACATGCTTAGCTTGAACGTCAGCAGCTTTTCTTCAGCAATGATTGGGCTGCATAACCAACCTTGCTCACCACGATGCAGAGAACGTACGTTATTGGGGTTTAGACCAAATAGTCAATGCAGCTGTGGGTCCTCGCCGTTTTGTTCCTAGCATACAGGCCACGTAGCCTATTCCAGCCATGTCTAAGACCCTTAGCCGCACTATAATGGGCATATTGCCAATTCTGGTACTACTAGCCAGCCACAATAGAAACGTCTAGCCGTTTTACAGACGGTAGCATGCAGAGGTATAAAGCTAGTACTGCCAACTGAAACAATTGAGATCGTTTGCGCCATAATAGGGCCTAGATCTGGGTTGAAGCCTATGCGCGAGACGCGTGGTCTCGTCGCATCTGCAGCTGTTTCAGCGTGATGACCAAATGCACACCGCTTATTTGCGCAGCTGCTATCCTTCTCTTGCGAGCGCGTTCACCTGGCTCCCCTGGTCTCGGCTGATTATATGCATATATCTTCATTGGGAATTACTGCAGCATTGACTAAGAACAGGGGCTTCCTTGTACGATTTGCCGCTGACTCAGATTGGCGCTCTCAATTCATCGGCTTACCCGCTCAGCTATTTCCTGCAGTTAATAGTTTGGACAAGTACTGTCGTCTAAGCATTATTGGCTGATATGTTGAATGATTCTAGACGCTTATGTAGCTAGTTCGAGACAGGCTCGGGCCGCGCGATCTGGGGCCATCTGTTCGTTTACCGAAGCTAGCTAGCCGGAGGCTATGTTCCTTCACGTCTGGTCGTTTTCTTGAGATGCAACTATGGGTCCGTGGCTGGCTGAGAAACGTAGCTTTGTTCTTGTGGCGAGCTGAGGTTCTTATCCGAAACATCACGCGTTCTCGACTTTATTGACCAGCATGCTGCTGACAAGATCTAGACTGTTTGTGTTAACCGCCAAGGCGATGTTGGCTGAGGGGCAGTCTTGGGTTATCGGCCACGTTGATTATGCTGCTGAGAAGAGTTGCCATCTTCGTAGAGTAACTAAGATGGACAGGTAAATAAGATATATAAAGTAGTTGATGGAGCATCAACAGAAATATCTCTTCACTTTCTTCATCTCTACATCATTCATCCCTCTCACCATCCAATCTTCTTTCCTATCTTCTTTCCTATCAAGCAAGCACATCTTCCACCATGGCAACAGAAGCTCCTTTAGCACCTCGTCCTCCTCAGTTGACATTGGACGAGATTCTCAACTCCAAAGTCAACTATGCTGTCGAAGACGATCCTTTGGAGGTCTGGGACAAGGGCGTCTTCCTGAATGAGCTTCTCAGACAGGGCATCGTCCTCAACACTGACAAGACTGGCGCTCTCGATGGCAAGCTTGTTGCGCGCAAGGGTCTTGAGACGGGTACCTATATGGGCACTCGCTTGGCCTTGACTGAGCTGTATAAGATCCTCGAAGAAGCGTAAGCAACACGTTCCTATCTTGACCGTTTTCAAAGTAGCTAACTGATATTGACTAGCGCTGCCTCTCATTTTGACACTCAAGGCTTTGAGCCCATCTTCCCCGTCAAGCGTGATCTTGCTCTCAAGCAGAACACCTACCAATGGAGCAACCCCAGCGATTGCTATCCTCCTCACCTAAACACCCTTCCTCAGGACGAGCAACAGAGCCTGGATGGTGTCCCTAGAAAAGACGGCGTCGGACAGATCTTCAACGAGACCGAGAGAAACTTCGTCATCAAGATTGCTTCCATGTTTTCTTTCATCATCCCCAAGGAACTCTCATCAACCGATGGTCCCTACGTTGGACCAACCCTTGCCGATGTTGAGAAGTGGAGCAAGGACAACCAGCCAAAGGCCGAATCTACTGATGACCAGAGCGCGAAGCCCAATGGTGCTGTTGTTAACGGCGTCAAGCAAAGCCAGAACGCAGACATTATGAAGGGCAGAAACATGGGTGAACACGCTGATTGGTATTCTGACGCCAAGTTTGCGCAACAGCACTTCAGCGGTGTTAACCCATCGACCATCGAGACTGCTCCTGCTGAGAAGATCAAGGCTTACATTGCCGAGGCAGAGAAGCAAGGTCTTGACGCGGTGAAGAAGTTGCTCGAGGAAGGCAAGGATCTTTTGATTCAGGATTATTCCTACTTCCGTGAGGCAACAAGCGTCAAGAACGACGAAGAGTTCCGAAACACGATCCCGAACCCTGATCCTACCGGGCAGCCCAGCTATCGGTACGCAGCGGCGTCGGTGATCATTTTCCAGCTCCACGAGGACGGTCGCCTTCACCCATTGGCCATCACTCTCGACTACAAGGGCTCTCTCGATAACTCAGTCACCATCTTCAACCAGAGATTGAACCCTGATGATGAGGGCAAGATCGCTGAGAAGGACGACTGGCCGTGGAGATACGCCAAGACCGTTGCTCAAACAGCTGACTGGGCACGACACGAAGTTGCTACCCACCTCGTCGACACGCATATGATCGAGGAAGCCATCATCGTCGCCACCAACCGCACCATTCCCGAGCGTCACATTCTCTACGAGATCCTCAGCCCTCATTGGTTCCGAACGCTCGCTCTCAACGACGCTGCGCGCAAGCTTCTCGTTCCCCTCGTCATTGCTCGCATCTCCGGTTTTGGCTCTGGACCTAAACCTGATCCCAAGGTCGGCGCTTTCGGACTTGTTAACTGGTCGTACAAGAACTTCAACTTCCAGGATAAGTACATTCCCAACGATCTCAAGAAGCGAGGCTTTGACATTGAGGGTGAGATGGGTGATAAGTACCGCAACTATCCTTATGCTACTGATATGTACCTCCTCTGGGGTATCATCCGGGAATTCGTCAAGTCTGTTCTGGAGACGAAGTATACCTCGGATGATGTCGTTGCTAAGGAAGCTTGTATTGCCGACTGGTGCAAGGAGATTCAGACTAGTGGCCAGATCCCTACCTTCCCAACCATCACCACCGTTGATCAGCTCATCGACGCTGTTACCATGTGCATCCACACAGCATCACCTCAGCACACAGCTGTCAACTATCTCCAGGACTACTACTACAGCTTCGTCCCATCCAAGCCCCCCGCGCTCTGCACCCCTCTGCCCAAGAGCCTCCAGGACCTTCAGGGCTACACCGAGCAGCATCTCACCGACGCTCTCCCCATCGGTACCAAGGACGCCAAGTGGAAGGACTGGCTTCTCGCTGCCCAACTGCCCGAGCTCTTGAGCTTCAAGGTTGAGGACCGATACAACCTCATCACCTACGCCAAGTCCTTGTACAATGTTAACAAGGACCGCACCATTACTGAGAACAAGGAGTTGAACTCGGAGGCTATCAAGGATGCGGCTGAGATTTTCTATAGTCGACTTAAGAATGCGGGTTTGGCGTTTGACTATATCTCTGCGATACAGACTCCGGGTTCTATTGAGTATCCTGTGCTTCAGCCAGAGGTTACCGCGGTTTCTATCTTGATTTAGGGAACGTCATGTGGAGCTTAAGTCTGGGGTCGCACAATTCACACTCAGTTTTCAGTAGCCTAGTAATTCATCTGTTATCAAGAAGTAATTTCTATTGAATGCGAATATTGTGTCTGGTGATTTTTTAACTACGCTTAGCGTCAAAGAAGTGACTTTCTGTCTCCAGGCCGCTGGAAGACCGCGACAGACGCCGCTCCGCAACACCGACCTGTCAATCCACCTTGGAGAATTGACAAGATTCTGCCACCGTATGCTAAGGTTGAGGGGTAGAAAGAACCTTACACCCGAGCACAAAGAAGCGAACACATCTCAATACATACGAGCGATATGATTCATAACCATCGCTGCTGCTTAAAGTATAACTTTATGGTCAGCGAACCTTTATTTCTGATGACAATCTGTACACAATATCATTATATCATGCTTACGCCGTCTTTCGACCCCATTCGCAGGATATCCATGACGACTGCTCTTCATCAGTGACGCGTTCGATTGTCTGATAAGGTGCCCGAGTCCATGCCCAAAGCATTTCCCCTCTTCTTGACGTTACTTTGCTGACGCCTTCTTCGCGTTGACGACCGAGGCAAAGCGCTGCCAACATCCAATCCCCTCAATCCAGCAGCTCAGGACCCATTTCCACCAAAGTAATCCCCATCTTGGGATGCTGTGTGGCATCAACCTTGTACGATCAAATGCCACGGCCTCGATGGTGTGTATCACGACAAGTGGCGGAACCCCTGTCTTGACAATCCAGCGAAACGTGTCTGCGCTGCCCGGCGAGATATTGTCGAGAGTTTGCCAGATCGGGTTGTGTTCAGATATCAAGGTGACGCCAGCTAAGCATAAATACGAAAATACTGCGCCGCCAAAGACGAGGGCGGTGATGCCGCGTGGTCTCGCATATTCGGTGATTTGTACTGGCGAGGTGCGACTAGACATGGTAACGGAGCCAGGGTGCAGATTCGGCGAAATTGGCGGGAAGGGGAGACTTGACGGGAGACGAGTTTTGGTGGTAGTAAGAAGATACTGCTGAAATCGTAGGACAGCGATTAATCTCTTTTAAATCTGCATAATCAAGAATTTCACAGCCTTGTTAGTTTAAGCTTGCGAGCCGCTAGGCACATAACTGCACATCATTATACCGAGGTAAATGCTAATATTCTGAATTTATACTAGCTTGCGAGTGGATAGCAGAAAAGGCATCGTTGTGCGGGTGCCCTAGGCGCCAATGCCCACTGCATTCTGGTGTTAAAATGGTGACAGCTTCGCGAGTGTGTAACGACCAGGTAATTGTACCAAATCGAGCTTAAGAATGGTGTTTAAGAGGCGAAATACCTCCGTACTCTGCAATAAGATGGCTGAAACAAGGGTGATCCATCCTCGTAAGCCACTGGCTCCGGACAAGGGAAAGCAGGCCAAGATACGGTCGGTAGGCTGTATTCGGATAATAGATTTCCCGACACGATTCGTGGCGACGGGCGGATGGCAGAGTGGGGTTAGGAGTGCTATTACAAATTAGGTATAGCTGTACTATTATTATTAGCTGGCACCCACATTTCATGTCGAACAAGTCTCGTGAATCTCGTCAGAATAGATAGAGTTCCAAAAACATAAGAAGAGTAATGAAAGGCAATATGACTCAACGTAGCACCAGAAATACAAGGCACAAGTTACCGGCATATAATCATACCGTAAAGCAACACGAAAATAATCTGATAAGTAGTAAACCAATAATCATAGTCATCAACGTCATTAAATTTGAGACTCCTACCGGGTAGCATCCTGAAAAGACATGCACGTGATTAATGCGGGAGGCCTTCCATTTAAGAAAGGTTAAAAATGTGCCCAAGGTGGGGGAAACCAATCTCCAAGATTTCATGACCGTAAGCTAGCTCAGATGACTTGAATGTCCAAAGTCATAATGAAGAAAGCACTGCTTGAGCTTGATCCGCAGGCAGATGCCCTGTTGATTTTACAGTGTCCGAATTTGCAGCAGATTCATGAGCCAATAGAACAAGAAATATCATCGGGAAAAAAGGCCGTTGAGATCAACTCGTCTCAAAAACAACAAGGCGATGCTACGAAGCCACCGGTGACCAAGAATGAAATGGCATCGCTACAACCATACCTGCAAAATGGCCATCCGAACCATATTGAATTTCACGTCTCTGCCAAGCATCTCTGTCTCGCATCGCCAGTCTTCAGAAAGATGATCCAAGGGGAATACCAGGAGTCAAAACCTAATAATAAAGGAATGTTGGAAATCAAAGCCTCCGACTGGAATGCTGAAGCCTTCCTCACAGTGCTTGATATTATACACAGCCATCACGACAGCGTACCAGGCAACCTACCAATGGATGCCATAGCGCAAGTTGGGGTCATTGTCGACTATTATGACTGCCGGGAGGTCGTACAGATATTCTTCGAATCCTGGCGCCAATCGATAACAAACTTTTTAGGATACTCGCTCTGGCCCTTTCACGGAAACGTTATCGACGATGTAGGGTATTTTGGCCATGATGAGACAATTGTGTTGTTCCTCGCCAGGACATTTGCACATACACCATGCTTCAAGGGACTAACAAGATCCGCAATACTCAATACGTTTGGACTTATCGAAACATGTCTGCCGATTCCAGCTCAAATCCTGGGTGAGTTCGTTGCCGACTTCGATACATAGATGCAAATAACTAACATGACGCAGAAAAAATAAATCATATGCGCTGCGAGCTCATAGATGAGCTGTTTTCCCGATTGTACAGCTTGCAAGAAGACCTTGTTGTGGGACGTGTTGGCTGCACTCTAGAATGCTCTTGCAGACTTCTTGGATACCTCATGAAACAAATGCGGGAGAGGAATCTTCCAATGGAAAAGCCCAGTGAGCCTTTCCGAGGTTACAGTGTTGTTTCTGTAGTGAAGCTCATTCGTGGCATCAAGACTCCTAACTGGCGCACCCACAAGAGTCTCGATCCCTGTAAGCTCGAGAAGAGCTTGGGCCTGTATCAGAACGGGAAAGACCTAGGCATTGCTGTGCCAGGTCTAGATCTAGAAGACTTCCAGTAATGGGGCCTCGTAGCTTATAATAATAGATTGGTTGGAAACATTTTGCAAAGCGGCTAAAAACAAGAGAATAGCCAGAATTGTTGGTCTTACAAGGAGATACCTCAGATCTGTCTGGATATCTAGCTCCTTACCCGTTTTGATAAACGCTGACCCCTGCATGCATGCTTAAAGGGGCTTAGTGCATATAGCCAGCTATGACTTCTCTGACGTCGGAGGAAGCGAGATGTCGGGATCAACCCCAAAGCGGCTACTACCAGGCCAAGGCCAGGGGTAGGTAGCTAGAGATGGATGTAACCGTTTCACTGTTTGCAGCCGTTTCATTGGTCTCAACCTGAACACCAGGCGTTGTTCGTCTCATCCAATCTCAGTAAGCCCTCCCAGCCTCACGACAATATGCGGTATGCCATGGTAGAAGTCTTGAGACGATGGCTTGGCAAGGGGATACTACGCCGCACGCGTTTTGGATGGCAGGGCCAAAGAAGCATCGCAGGAGGTCTTTTGCCTCATGGGAAAAGTATAAATCCAAGCTTCGGGTCGTCGGTCTTTAGATCTTCAGTTCTCACTCAACAATCTCATTTTAATCACTACTTTCAATTCTTTTCCGCTGGTCGGTTAATCCATTTCACATCCTATATCTTCTTCATCACAATCAGTCGCCAGAAACAAACCCAGAAAAACCCTTTCTTCAACAATCCAAAATGCAGTTCTCTATCACCGCCATTGTTCTCGGCCTCGCTGCCTTTGCCTCCGCCGGCATCGTCGACATTGAGGGTGTGCGCAACGCCCCTCGCAGTGATGTCCTGGTCACCCGTCAAAATGGTCAGAACGGCGGCCGACCTGTCCCCAGCGGTGAATGCTGTGTCGCCAACACCAGCCTGAAGCAGGACGCTTGCACTGCTTCCAACGGCCAAGCCGGTCGCTGTGTTCCCGGTGGTAACAACTGTAAGTAGCGGCAGTGAAAGAAATTGTATAATATGTCGCTGACAATAGTCATAGGTGGTGGCCGACTTAGCTGCGTTGCACAGGCAAACCTGCAATGTGATGCCAACGTCATTGAGCGCGGAAAGGATCTTTGCCGCGCCAAGGCTGCTAATGGTCTATTTGATGGTGGTAACATCATCCAGAACCTTAGCCAGGCTAAGGTCAACTAAGGGAGAGCTTGAGGTGGAAGAACGATAGTTAGAGGGGGTTCTGGCGTTAAGGACCGATGTATGAAGGAGTTATGGGATCTGAAATGGATCTATTATAAAAGAAATTATTATTTGGCCAAAACGGTATCTTAATTTGCGCTGTGATTAAAGGCATATTCTTGGCAACATTTTGATCTTCATATCAAAGAAATAACCAGCTTTCGTCTTGCTCCCAGATAAATCTCAACCAACTGTATTTATCCTTACCATCATCTTGTCCCTGCTCCCAAATTCTGCAAAGCATCCCTGTAGCAGTCTTGACATTGTAGCAGCATGAGGATACCCAGATATTGTGCATAATGTTCTTGACTTCTTCCCTCGTACGCAAATCTTGAGCTTCAGCGCCCAGAACAAAAGCAGGCCATACCAGGCTTTTGATATGGAAGTCGCTTGCTGGTATCTGAGACATGTGTAATATGCCAAGTTTTGAGATTCTAGAAATATCCAACTCAGGTAATGGTGGTTGGCCAAGTGTTTCCCTGATGGCGTGATAGGCGTAGATGCTGACCGCTGCTTTGTATGCGTGGGCGAGATGATGTCTTGACTCATGATGCTGAGGATCTGCAAAGTCATGCGCCCAGGATCGCGGCGAGAAATTGTCCAAGCCATCGAGAATTGAAGTGGCGGTTTCATCCGCGTGGCTGGAATGATCCGATACAGTACGTAGCGTACTCATGACGTGCAGTAAAGAGAGGAGGTCTGCCGGACAACCGATCCATGTCTGTTGCTCGGATCTCCGAAGTGTGTCTAGTAAGCCAGTGTCCAAAGGCATTGGTGCCACACGTAGTGACTGTGACGGAACAAGGGTATTGCCGAGTATACCGAACCTAAAACTGTCAGTTCGGTAAATTTCTTCATTGGCGGCAGGTAACTTACGTCGTGCAAGCAGTATCAAAATACTGCATCCAAGTTTCTGAATTATCTATCACGAGCCCTTTCCGAATTCTGATGAGCTCTTCAGCTCCCCGTAGGTGATACTTCCAACCTCGACCGCCGAACTCCACTACATCAAGATTGACAAACAGCAACACCGCGGCGATGACTGCATCGGTGTTAGTCTCAGGTTGAACTTGTAGCTCATGCTTGAGATATCTTAACGCCTTCTGTTTGTTGAGGAGTGCTATACGCAGCACCTCACTATGATCTGGCTGTAGCTGGACCTGACTAATGTCAAGTCGGTGCGCTATGTGGAAGGCTGAGATGGAGATCATTATATGGGATAAAGCCTGACTGGATGGCATTAAAAGCATAAGAGAGAGAAAAGGGTTGAAGGGCGAGTTGTTGTATACGACACACTCTTTGGAGAGCTCTTGATGAACTGGAGTATTGTTGGTGAGTGACTGAACGAAAAGGCCCTCAGATGAGACTCACAGTAGCGGATGTAGTCATGGTAGCTTCTGGGTATGTTTTGTAGGCTTGGGTCTACTAAAGGCGACCCAGCAACGGGGAAGTTCGTGCAGAGCTCAATATCAGATATGTCCTTATGATCATGGGCATTATCCGTGATCGTGTCGAAAGTGGCCTTTCCCATCATCTTTCCTCTAGAGGCCATACTGTTGGTCCATACAATCTTTTCCTTTCGCTCATAACCTGCGCATGGTAGCAACAGGGATGCACAGCGATGACACTTGGGAAGCAGCCTGTCGCATCTGACCCGCCTTTGTCGACAGGTCTTACACGAATTAGGTGCAAAAAGTTCGCCCTGCATCGCAAGTGGAGTTAATGTCTGTTTCATTTTCCTTTCATGAAATCGAGGCTCTATGGACTTGGGCCCGACAAAATTCGAACTGTTGAACATATTGATTGAAGATGAGGTGATTGACGTTAAACCGGATCTGGAAGTCCGGACGCGAACCCTGTCGACCCGCGCTCCGATTCAATTCCGGGGCAGGATATCAACCAGTTAAGTCTTTGCAAATATTGTGTGGCGGACTAGTGCTTTGTTCTTGATAGATAAGCTCAATGTCTTTTATACTATTGATTGCTTGCCTGAACGACACTTGGAGATTGAGCAACGTCACCCCTTCTCAGGTTTCACATATTAGTTGTACAAGCGCGCGATTTCGCCATCGCCGCTGATCCTGAGTAATTGGCCATGTCCTGTACTCCAGGGATATACATAAAAGGTCCATTAGACCCATGGTGAGGATCTTAAGTCCTAACATTCATGTTGCCTCTTTGACACAATAGCCAACATGGATCTCTACTATCGCTCAGACGAACCTTCTGTAGTCCCCTCACCTCTGCCCCAATCTGTTGGATATGGCGTCGTGGTTGCTGCTGGTTTGGCATTTGCCTTTGGTGAGTTTCCCGCTGATGCCAGAATCAGAAGTGAAGAGGGCTAACTATGAATAGGCATGATGGGCTTGACCGCGATCCTCAAGAAGACCTTGAACGAAGACAATTCCAAAGTGGAAACGTAGGCAGCTTGGGCACCCTCTTGAGTTTACACATACTGACGATAGAATCCTAGTTTCATGGTTGCCAACAGAACGGTACGAACCGGTCTTGTCGCGTCTGCTGTCGTTTCGGTACGCCACTCTCACTCTCTATAACGCCAAGATATACTGATCGTACTACAGTCATGGCTATGGAGTACCGCCCTGTTGAGTTGCGTCCTAGTAACCTACAGCTATGGAATCAGCGGCGCATTTTGGTATGGCGCTGGTTGCTCGACTGTTATTGTCTTCTTTGGCTACCTGGGAACCGTCTGCAAAGGACGCGTCCCTGAAGCCCATACCATTCTTGAGGTCATTCGCATCCGATATGGTGAGTCGCTGCTGTTTTCAAATATCAGTCTGTCGTACTAAATCGTGTAGGGACTATGGCTCATTTGAGCTTCACATTCTTGGCTATTGTTAATAATCTGCTCAATACAATCAACATGATCCTAGGCGCATCGGCGGCAATATCCTTCTTGTAGGACCATTTACTCTATGGGTTGGGTGCACCGCTGACATTCTGCAGAACAGGAATGCACATCATGGCATCGACCTTCTTGCTTCCTTTGGGTGTCGTTCTCTACACACTCGTTGGCGGTATAAAGGCAACGTACGTATGCTGATTAACACTCTAGGTTATTACTGACTTCAAGGGCAGGTTCCTTACTGACTACATCCATACTTTCGCGATCCTTATTCTCAGCTGCTGGTTGACAGCCAAGGTGATAACATCGGAATCTGTCGGTTCAATCGGACGTCTTTACGATCTCGTCGTCGCCGCTCAGTCGAACCATGTTGTTGAAGGCAACTATGAGGGTTCTCTACTCACCATGACTTCCCAACAGGGTATCTACTTCGCTATCATCCTCCTCACCTCCAATTTCGGTGCTGTTGTTGTATGTCATGCTTTCCGTCGTGATTCGTGCGCAGGTCTAACATAGCCAGATGGATACGGGATACTTCCTCAAAGCATTCGCTGCTTCACCAAGCGCCGTTGTCCCAGGCTATGTGCTGGGTGGTATCTCTTACTTCAGCATACCTTGGTCGCTCGGTACTATTGTGGGGATGGCTTCACTGGGACTCGAAGCTCTTCCAATCTTCCCAACGTATCCACGGGTAAGCAATGTCGCCAGCGGCATTGATTGGAGACTGGATACTAACACGACGATAGCTCATGACCGGTGCTGAGGTTACGAACGGCCTTGCTCTTCCTTACGTCGCTGTTGCTGTCGCTGGCAAGGGAGGTGCCGTTGCCGTTTTGCTCATGACCTTCATGGCTGTCACCTCAACTTTGTCAGCACAAATTCTTGCCGTCTCTTCCATCCTTACGTTCGACATATACCGCGTATACTTCAATCAGGAGGCTTCCAACAAGCAGGTGATTCGATGGGGACATATTGGAGTTGTAGTCTTTGGCGTTGTAGCTGCGGCCTTCACTGCCATGTTCCATTACATTGGAGTCGACATGGGCTGGACACTCTACATGCTCGGTAAGAGACCCCGTTGCGTTAAATCCATTGTTTACTAACGGCTTTCAACAGGAATTCTTACGTGTCCCGGCGTGATTCCGCTAATCTTCACCATAATCTGGCGCAAACAGACTAAGCTCGCCGCTATTAGCTCCGCATTCCTAGGAATGGCGACGGGCCTCGGAGTCTGGCTCGGCTCCGCATACACCTTTTCCGGAGAAGTAACGGTCGCGTCTACGGGAGGGACCCTACCCTGTATGTACGGCACCGTTGCATCTTTATTCAGCCCATTGCTATACAGCGTGGTTATCACATATATACGACCTGATAATTATGACTGGAGCCATTTCAAGGAACAAAGGCTAGCTGTTGAGTCTGATGATAGCTCCAGTGGATCAGAAAGTTCTCAGGGTAAAGGCACTGAACAGGCTACGACAACGGAAACGGCATCAAATCAAACTTTTGATGGCAATAATCAGCACCGATGGACTAAATATGCTCTGTGGTGGGCTATCGCTACGTTTCTTGGACACTGGGTATTATGGCCACTACCAATGTACGCGGCGAAATTTATTTTCAGTCAAGAGGTACGCTTATTGTTCCCTACCCTGCAGTCATTTCTTCTATACTTCCTCTCTATTACGTCACATAGACATGTTTCTAATTGCTATTCTTACAGTTATTCACTGCATGGATTGTCGTGTCTCTGATCTGGCTCTGGTGGACTCTCATCATGGTCGGTTTCTACCCGATCTGGAACGGTCGTGGTCAGATAGCCGCGGTTACACGAAGCATTTGGAGGTCCCGAAAGTCTCAGTCATGATTCATCAACATTTTCCAAGCAGGCTGGTCTACAATCGACTGATGATACTCGATGTTATGGATGTGGAGTACTGCAGCAAAAGCTCCAGAGCACAAAAACAACAAATCGCCGGGAACGTATTTGAGTCATTCATCCACATAACAATAAAATTGTTTACTCATAAAAGACCTCATTTCTTCACATAATCAATGACATGCCAAGCAAAAGCCCCGAATATGGCGTAGCTGAGCCTCCCTTTGCACTATCGATTCCCTACAACTCCACTTTATGGATCAGATCAAGCTTTTAGTCAAGCTTTGGGGCGAAACATTTCTGACAGATGCAGACTAACTCCCAATAGTTGCATTCCAAAAATTTGAATACCAGATTAACGTGACAGTGCCATCCACTTAGGGCAGCAAATCAGGAGTAGTTCCAGGGGCTCATGGTTGAACGGCAACGCTATAACGTTAGCGCCACCCGTGCCCGTTATTCAATGACATTCCCTTGCATACTTCAGATTCCAATAGCCTGGAACCAGGAACGCTTTTTATGGATGCTTTTCATTGGGGGAGAGCAGTGATAGGCGGAATATCGGTACTGAAGATGTCTTAACTTACTAGTCGTCACTATTGGATACTCGGCGAACCAGCCGAAGAGGAATGTTCTAATGCAAGGTACGCTGTTCTAGACTTGCTACACTAACCCAAACAACACATCAAATGCCATTGTCGTATACAATGGATCCCAAAGCTATTTTCTATATATACTGGTCGAAATTGACGACTCTTTTGTTTATTCATCATCACTCACTCACTCATTCATTCGTTCTTTAGTCATTCTTTAACATAGTCACTCGTTTCACTATGCGTCTGTCTTCAGGTCTTCTTGTGGCTTGCGCCTCGGGCGCTTTCGCCCACAACTTCAAGAGGTTCACCAACAGCAGCACTTCTGCTCTTGAGTCCAGCACTACTCTTCCCACCAGCCTCGACACCACCACCGCTGCAGCTCCCAGCTCCACCACCGCCCCCGGTGCCTCTCAGTCCGTTGATCTTGGATCTGCCACCCTTGGCCGGGGTTCAAGCTTCGTCACTGGTCCCAATGGCGAGACCATCGTGTAAGTATACCTCTAGATCCTGGGCAAAGGACACCTTCTGATAGTGTTTTTAGTCGCATGTCTGCCGGAGCCAACGGCATTGCTCAGTTCAGCGCTTCTCCAGGAATTACCAAGTTCGCAGTGGGAGCCGAGATCCAGATCCGCTTCAATATCAAAGTCAGTGCCGTGATCGAGGGTCGCAAGCGTGCTTTCGAGGGCTGCACTCTCGATGTCAACCTCGATGGCGAGACCATCTACTCCGAGCCTCTTGCCGACACCAACGGCGCCGCCGTTGAGCAGGCCAGTAACCCTACTACTCTCAACTCCGAGAAGCCCAACATTCAGTTCCTCCAGTCTTGTGGCTCTGAGCCCGTCCAGCTTGATGTTTCCGATCTTGCTGTCGCTGCTGCCACTGATGGTGGCTCTACTGGTCTTCCCACTGGTGCTGCTACCGAGACTGCTACCGAGACTGGCACTGAGGTCGCTACTGGCACCAACTCCGAGGGCGCTACCACCAACTCTGAGGGTGAGACTGTGATCCCCACTGGCACTGAGACTGGCTCTGCTATCGCTACTGGAACCAACTCTGAGGGTGCTACCACCAACTCCGAGGGCGAGACCGTCATCCCCACTGAGACTGCTATCGAGACCAACAGTGCTGGCTTCACCACCAACTCTGAGGGTGAGACTGTCTTCCCTACTGGAACTCAGACTGGCGCTGCTACCAACAGCGAGGGTGCCACTACCAACTCTGAGGGAGAGACTGTTGTTCCTACTGCTACCGGTACTGAGGCTTCTGCTTCTGCTTCTGCTACTTCCCCCGCTGGCTTCCCCGGTTCCGTTGGTGTCTTCACCCTCTTCGGCTGTGTCGGTTCTTCTGCTGGTTTCCCTACTTTCGAGCTTGCTGAGACCAACGCTCAGATGGATCTTGAGCGCTGTGCTTCTCTCTGCACTGGCCGTGCCTACTTTGGTGTCTACGATACGTGAGTCTCATTCCGTCCCACCTGTTACTATACACCATACTAACCTCTCTAGTGCTTGCTACTGTGGTGATGAGGTTGATGCCGACAACACCAGCCGTGTTGATATTGACCAGTGTGATATCCAGTGCCCTGGCGACCGTGACAACTTCTGTGGTGGTGACACCCGCCGCAACCGTCTCCAGGCCCGTCAAGCTGTTGCCGCTGGCCGTCTTCTGACCGTCTACGTCTCTGCTATCGGTGCCGGTGCCACTGTCACTGACTCTGTTACCGAGACCGTTACCGACCAGACCACTCTCGTCACCACCTTCACCACCGCTGTCGCCGGCCCTCAGACCACCACCACCGAGACCGTCACCGCCGTCCAGGTCTGCTTCAACGGAAAGTGCTATACCCAGACCTCTGACCGCACCGTCTTCATCTTCATCGAGGTCAACGGCAGCGACTGTGACAACGAGTGGGTTTTCATCACCGAGGAGTGCTCTTGCCAGGGCGGTCTCCAATACGTCCCCAAGTTCTGCTCCGGTGGAAGCTGTGCCGGCGAGAAGGTTTATAAGACACAGGAGTGCCACGACTGGTGGAACCACGAGACTTTCTATGTCGCTGCTGATTGCGAGGTCTGCAAGAAGGGAGAGGTTATGTACAAGCCTTGGGAGAACTCTTGGGGTACCCCTGATAACTGCAAGGCTGAGATGGTTCCTGTCTGCAACGGTGCCAAGTGCCCTGCTATCAAGGTTCCTACTCACGGTTACAATCACCCTGTTTACAACGGCACCTACACCAACACTACCTCTCACGGTGGTGCCCCTCACTGCTCCGGCCCCAACTGCCCCGGCTCCAAGGTTGTCCCTCACTGCAGCGGACCTAACTGCCCAGGCGCCCAGGCCACTGGTTCTCAGGGCAGTGGCTCTAACTGCAACGGTGCTGACTGCCACGGTGCCACCGGCAGCGGCCCCAAGCCCACCACTGTCCCCGTTGTCATCAACGGTGCCGGCAAGCAGGCCGTTGGTGCTGCTACCCTCTTCGCTGCTCTCTTTGCGGCCCTTCTCTAGATGCTAGCATCTCCTCTTCTTCTTTCTGGAGCCTTTTAGAATAATGACCTTCTAGTCGAGCTATTAATGAGACCTTCATTTTGCATGCTTTAATCTTGGTATTCCCTTCGTGACAACTGAATTTTTCGCCCTTGTAGACGGTTAGTGTAGCTTGGCCACTAAACTCAATCTGTGGGACTGTCCAATTTCACTTGTGTGACTATTGAATAGTGGCGCAGCTGAGCCCAAACAATGTGCTGTCAGCGTTAACAGAGTTGGGAAGTATCACCGAGGCATTTGTCGCTATTGAGACTACTACCTCATCTCGGCACATTGACACAACCGACTTATAGCACCACGACAATTGCGGAGCCTAAGGTACCGCGGCGGTCAATGGCCCGACTACTGGGCTCGCTGTTACCACTACTACAGCCCAGAGATTTCTGCAATCAACCCCCCAATCATACTTGTTCCACAAAGCTCATTCCCATGGTTGCAGGTGGTCAAGGGAACTTTTAATCTCCTCAGCTTGTCTATACTGTTTTCCATAAAGAGTCGTTTATTTCGGATGATATAGAGACTAGTCAATCATGCCAACCTTCACAATCAACTTATAGCCTTGCTTGGGTCCGTCCAAACTCGACCTGTCACAGTTCCCTCTGCCAGCCGCTTGATAGTCTCTGGTATTTCCTCAAAAGCAACCTCTGTAAGCTCAGGCTTAATAGCACCCTCGGCCAGAAGTGTCAGAACGTCCTTCAAGTCCTGCATTGACGCGCCGATGGACCCAACGATAGTTACGCCCTTGAGGATATACCCCGAACCCGTATTGGATGGAATCGTGACGTCTGACGACGCAAGGCCAACAGTGACGACTTTGCCACCTGGTTTCACAGCCTTGATCGCAGTTGAAGTGGTTGTAGAGTGGCCAACAAAGTCAACAATAACATCAAATGCTAAATCAGCATTGGTTGCATCATCAAGCGACGTGAAACAATCCTTCGCCCCGTAGCTCTTTGCTTGATCAAACTTGGACTCATTAACATCGAAGCCATACACGATAGATCGTTTTAGACGGGCAAATTGAAGTCCATGCATGCCCAGTCCACCGAGTCCAACGACGCCCACCGTCAATCCAGGCCGAGCGCTGCCCTCTCCCACGACAGCGTGATAAGAAGTCGCCAACGCATCTGTCGCAACGGCAGCTTGTGCGAAAGAAATACCCTCAGGGATTTTAACGAGAATCTTCTGTGGCGCGACGACATATTGGCCATAGCCGCCATCGAAACTCAACCCGACGTAGGCGCCGCTGACGCGTTCAGAGACAGGATGCATTAGGAGCGCGAGGGTGACAGCGTCTCCGATCTGAAAGCCAGAAACATTTCGACCGAGGTTCTTAATCATCCCCGCGACTTCGTGGCCGAGCACAATTGGCTTCTTGGCGATGTAGTCGTCTCCATGGCCGCTGACGATGTGGCAATCTGAGTGGCAGATTCCTGCAGCCTTGACCTCAATGAGAACGCTATCATCATCCGGCTCTTGGACGGGCAGGTCTTTCAGTTGAAGACTGTCGGTGAGATTCTCGTAGGAAAAGGCTTTCATGATCAAGAGTACTGAATGAAACAGGTTGAAAGTGTATGGTTCGTCAGGTAACTCGACATAAAGGGGACTTTAAATAATGATCAGTGCAGAATCTGTCTCTGACACAGATCTCTTTTCAAGACATCGTGCGTAGTATGTGAGGGCTAGTTTTCTTACATCTGATTGGTCCCAAGCTGGTGAATTGGCGATCCGCGGAGTACCGGACATGTCTGCAGCTTGGAGACCGACTACTGTGGAGCATCAACTTCCGGGGAGTACCGGACATACGAAACACGGCATTTGCACGGGCCCGGACTCGGAGTCACATACCAACCCGAGCACGATGCCGCATACAGATTTGATGTGAGACTGTAATTAATCAGGAGCATGATATAAAATGGCCAATTTGCCCAATGTATTCAAAAGAAGATCAATAAGCAAACCCCATTACTCAATCCCTTCAACTCTAATCGTCCATCATGGTTTTCGGATCACTCTCCGTGCAGGACGACAAGGCCATTCCTGTGTTCGCACCACCATACGTCTCCCAAGAACCATTCTTCTTTAGCGGCATGACTATTATCGCCATCTCGTATCGCGTTCAAGCCTCACAGATCCAACACCTTGTGCCCCAGGAACTCGAACTAGAAGACCAACCAATCATGACTTCCTTGTTTATTCACTATGGCACTTCTACCGCAGGTGAATACAACGAATACGTCCACACCGTGCGAGTCAAGTACAACAACGAGACATACGACTATTCCATAGTTCTCGTTCTCGACAATGACAGCGCCATTTTCGCTGGAAGGGAAATCTTCGGATATCCCAAGATCTTTGGAAGGGTTAATTTTCACCCATCAGCTGGGTCGAGAGTCACCATGGGAAATGTGGAGCGTCCTGCAGGAAGGTCGCTCGTCGAGTTTGAGTTTGCGCCAAAAGCGCCTCTTGATATGTCACCAGGAGAAGCGATTCCTCCCAAGGTGTTGAATCTGCGCGTTATCCCGAGTACAGACCCAGCTACACCTGCGTCGAGTGAGTTTGTGGCTGTTGATATGCAGTTTGACTTTAGTGAGAGGTGGAGTGGAGAGGGAAGTCTCAAGTTTAACAAAGGATTTACATCGACTCCGTGGGCTAATCTGGAGGTTATTTCGTATGTTGGGTCTTGGATGGGGAAGAGCAAGGCGGTTCTTGATAACAAGGTTGAGCGCTTCCCTCTCTGATAACTGAATATCTTGTCGTCCAACTGGTGTCATTGTGTAGTCTGTCCATAATAGTTTCACCTATCTCAAGTGCTGCATGTGCCCTGTTCCTTCATATAGATTCCGTCCGATAAATTGCAGCTCTTACAAGAATGAGTGTTCAACAGACGACATTACCGCTTCCAAGACATCCGCACAACGCCCAGCCGTAGCCGCCTCGTCCTCCCAGTACCGAATCTTCTTAACCAATCCCTTAACACCGCCACGCCAATCCATATCATGAACAGCATGCACTCTCCCAGACTTGACTATTGCCATGATACAGAGAGCGGATGTTGTTGATGCCCTGAAATGATAATACGTTATATGGTTTCGATAGTGCAGGTATCCAACTGTAATGGCGAGAAAATGACAAGAAAGGCCTTTCTCAACGAGGGGACTGATCTCATCCTGCTCTCTTTCACTCATGGTGGAATGAGCGGCATGGTATAGAAATGGCCGATAAATGAGACATTTAAGTTCCAAGATTCGAGCGTAGAGTAGGAGAGCTAGTTTGTTGGTTGGTAGTGCACCCATGGTGATTTGAGCCATGAGAGGCATCGTTTGGGCCCTAATGCATGTTATTGTCAGAATATAGCACCGAAATATGATGGACAGAAATGAGGGAGGCCCACCAGTTGTCTAACTGATCTTCGATCTGTGACACAGCTGAGATAAGTGATGATATGCTGAGAGATCTTGAAGTCCCCCAGCCTTTTCCGTCGCGATACAGCAAATTGAACGCACGGTTATTAAACCTCCGGAGCGTTATTTCAGTAAGGTAATAGTACCAACTCTCCTCTTGAACACGACCAAGATCATCCTCAGGACTATCTCCTGGCGGTGGAAATATCGTTGTTGTTTGCCGAGGGGGACAAGCGTCTATCTCGGGAGGCATGGGCAACTCGGAGCCAGCATCATAGAGATCTTTCAGACGGCTTTGAGGGAGATGGAGGTCAAGACCAAGCTCGACCTGAGATTTGAGACAGCTCCAGTAAAAGCTTTGAGCTAGCCGCCGTAGTTGTAATGAGTTCTCGCGCGGCTGGTACTTCCAGTAGATGAAAAAAATGTTGGCAGCATGTTCGAATTGAGACCATGCGCGTAGAGGCGCGAGAGTGAACATGTAGTATACTCCGGCGAAGAAGTGACACTGAGCAGCCAGAAGACTTTGATCAAGTAGGCCTAGTCTCTGTCTGGCGAGCTCGAAGTATGCCCTTGCTGTTTCCAACTCCTCACTCTGCGATTCGAGTGAGGATACTGTTGATGTCTCTGACGGCGAAGTCACCATGACATCGTAAGGTTTAGCTATGCAACCCAAGGCACATGCTATCAACTGGGACTTGCGTAAGTATAAAGTCAGTGGCCCAAGTAATGTGCATCTAGCGTACCACGATACAAGACTCTCCATCCCATGTGAGACCAGTTTCTGAAATGCGCAAACTATCAGAGTTAATGGTATCGACGTCAAGAATCGGATTCATAGGGTGAACGTGTTGTAGGAACTGACGGACCAGTCTCGGTATGTCCTTTTCATCAACTGTGATGCGCCTCAATCTAGCATTGGACACCGAGGGACTACCTGTTCCATTATTCATAAAGGCATGGCCACCATTGGCTTTCGTATCTGGAAGAGCGTCGAGAATATGGGTTGGCGCGACGCTTCCTACCAGAATAGGCCAGGATAGGACAGATTCGACACTCAATATTGCGGTAGGGGCGGTGAGATCGTCAGAGCTCAATTCCCGGCCATCTGAGAAGGCGTCAAAACCTTCTGCAATGCGTGAGACCGGGCCTGGCGGCAACGCGGTATTTTTGACGGCTGTCTCAACACTCGTCTTGATTAGGCCTGGAATATCTTCAACGCTCTCCAGGATTTGGTTGAGACGTTCCAGGATGGCAATACTAGCAGGGTCAAATCTGCAACTGTCAGTCAGCGGAATACGAGCAGCCACGGGCTACGCACGATGAATGATCCCCTTCAGACCCCTCATAGACACAAGTTGACTGCGATGCGATGCATGATCCACAAACAGGTCTAACATTGTTGCACTTGACCTTCTTTACGCGACATATTCGACACGCTGCGATGGCCCGCTTGCGGGAGTATGTTACGTCAGGTCTTTGGCGGTCAATCCGGCGTCGCTTTGGTCTCGCAGCATCACCCGTTTGTTCTGCCTCCTGTTGAGGCAGCTTTGATCCAGCCATCGAAGTTATTGGCAGCTTGAGAATTTCTGTCAGCGGGGCTTAGTAACAATTCTGATCTTTGAATTTGAATGCCCAGAATTGAGTTGGGTGTACTGGCCCCAAAATTGTTGGTAAGTATCATGGGACCGTGGTCCGTGCCTCGGCATTTGATCTGATGTGCCTAGTACGAGTCACAATTATTCGGGTTCAGGTTTACGCTTATTTATTTGATAACGTAGCTGTTCTAAAGTCTCCAATGGTTTCGTGGTTGTCCTGTTAAAACTCGTGCTAATTCTTCAACAAATTCTTCAGGACCTCACAAACCGCATCTCCAACCTCACTACACTTCGCACTTCCCCCAAGATCTTTCGTCCTAATCTCCAACCCACCACCCTCCTCTGTATCCAGGACCTTTGCAACCGACTGCTCAATCGCATCGGCCTCTTTCTCCAGCAAAAATGAGTATCGCAACATCATCGCCAAACTCAAGATTTGCGCCACCGGATTGGCGAGATTCTTGCCCGAGATATCAGGCGCACTGCCATGAACGGGTTCATAGATCCCCTTGCAGGATCCTTCACCTGGAACGCCAGCGAGACTTGCGCTGGGAAGAACACCGAGAGTGCCTGTGATGCCACCGGAGATGTCGGAGAGCACGTCGCCGAACGTGTTGTCGGTATGGATTACGCTGTTGTTGAAGCGCTTGGGATCCAGAACCATCAACATGGCGAGACTATCAGCGAGTTGATGGCGGAGGTCAATGTCGGTGAGTTCCTTGTTGAAAATATCTGTAGTTGCACGCCTCCAGAGACGACCACTTGCAAGGACATTGGCTTTGTCTGCGCTCCAAACAACAGGTTTGCTCCCATCATTCGCCTTCTCACTGCTCGCGTGCAAGATCCTCGCAACAGCTGCACTCACACGAGCCAATCTCTCAACCTCAGGTCGTGAATAGACCCAAAGATCAGAAGCTTCATCTTCACTCTCTTCCTTCTTGCCAAAGTAAGCACCGCCGCAATTCTCTCGAACAACGATGAATTTTGTCCCGGCTACAAGCTCAGCCTTGATAGGTGATGCGCTGACTAGCGATGGAACGAGAATCTCACAGGGACGCAAGTTGGCAAACGCATCGAGGCGTTGACGCAGCTTCAAGAGTCCTGACTCGGGAGTTGGTTCGGCGCCTGCCCATTCTGGACCACCGATGCTGCCGAAGAGAACGGCGTCGCTGGCTAGGGCTTTTTCGAGGACAGCGTCTGTGACGGGAGTGCCGTGCTTGTCGATACTGCATCCGCCGACGATGTCTGTGTCTCGCTCGAAGCGGATATCTGGGCGGCTTGCTTCGATTATATCCAGAACTTTGAGGGCCTCAGCCATAATTTCAGGACCGACATGGTCGCCGGGCAGAATGAGGACGCGAAATACTTTGTTTTCCGACATAATGGAGGTTAGCGTGATGAGTGAATGGTGAGATAGTGAGAGGTTCAGAAGAGGACTGGAGTCTACAAGATAATGGAAATCAGTCTAGTATTTGCTCTGCCGATCTCGGAACACAGATTATGCCCGTTGGTGGTTAATGCCGATGCTGAATGTGATGATGGATGCAGCCAAGACTTTTTTATTCCTGTGACTGCTAAATTACCCCGCACTCCCACTAGTTCTGGGCCCCGTATTCATTGGTTTCCTCTTCTGGAAGGGAGTGAAACGGAGTCTACCACCCAAGTCACTAAAACGTGGGGAAGACGAACCAAACCACATAAAATACAGACCAAGCGAGAAAACACTCTCCTTCTCACTCAATCTACACACTCAACTCTTATCGAAATCTCATATTCATCAACATGTCAGGCCGTCTCCAAGGAAAGACCGCAATCGTCACAGGCGGCGCATCAGGCTTCGGCAAAGGCATCGCCACAAAATTCATCTCCGAAGGCGCCAACGTCATAATCACCGACCTCAACGAACAACAAGGCCAAGCCGTCGCCCAAGAGCTATCCTGCGCTTTCACCCGCGCCGACGTCACCAACCCCGATGACTGGCGTCGCGTTCTCGAGTTTGCTATTGAGAAGTACAAACAGCTCGACATCGTCGTCAACAATGCGGGCGCAGCGTACTCCAAGAAGCCAACTGAGGAGGTCACGCCAAAGGATTTTGATCTTGTTATGAATGTCAATGTCAAGAGCGTTTATTTCTCTACTAATGTCCTGGTGCCGTACTTTTTGAAGGAGGGGAGGCCGGGGTGTTTTATTCAGGTTGCGAGTACGGCGGGTATTAGGCCTAGGCCTGAGTTGACGTGGTATAATGCCTCGAAAGCAGCTGTTATCAATGCTACCAAGACGATGGCTGTTGAGTATGGACCCAAGCAGATTCGGTTCAACTCTGTTTCTCCGGTTGTTGGAAGCACCGGAATGTGAGTCTGCACTTAAAAATCGTTTCGAGACCCTGGCTGACCTTAAAGGACACATCTGTTTATTGGCAAGCCGGATACCGAGGAGAACAGAAAGGGCTTCGTCTCAACGATCCCAATGGGCAGACCTTCGACACCCAGCGACATCGCCAATGCTTGTTGCTACTTGGCTAGTGATGAAGCCTCTTTCATTACTGGTGTCGATTTGGAGGTATGACCACTATTTATGGAATACGATACACTGATGCTAACATGAATATTGTAGGTTGATGGAGGCCGTTGCGTATAAGCTTAGGAACAGGGACAAGGCAGTCTATCACTATTTTACTGGTAGTAATAAAATTAAAAAAAAAGTATTATCAATTGTATTTCTCATCGTCTTGAAGGATTTTCGCGCTCTTGATTAGGTTCCCATCGAATGGCACTTCTGAAGCCATATTCAGTGATTTGCTGGCTGGTTGTTCATACTCCGTGGCAGCAGCGATTTCGAGAATAACTAACTCCGCGATTGTTAGCTCAAGCCGCACGCATCTCGAGTTAGATCCCCTTCCTAATTGGGCATTAGTGTCAAATGTTCCTGTGATGCTTCAGCGCGGGGTAAAAGCGGACCTTGCCATGGTTCCTGTGACGGGTCGGTCGGGACCTGAACCGGAGGGATATCATCGGCCGATTGACGGACTACCAAACCAAGCCTGACAATCTATCATATCAGGCACGCACCATACCATCATAGACCTACCCTTCACTCATTTTCTTGAGACAATCGGATATCTCTCCTCTATCCTCAGACTCCAATTCTTTTCCCTCCATCCCACGAACAGACATCATGGGAAGCTCACACCATCTCCCCTTCAAACTATCAGACGAGTCCCTGTTTCGTCCCAACTCTCTCATCAATGGAGAATTCGTCCCCTCAAAAGAAGGCAAGACCTTCAACGTCATCGATCCAGGAACCGGCATGACATGGACATCATGCCCAGACTGCACAGCATCCGACGTCGATGCAGCAGTGAAGTCATCCTATGAAGCATTCAAGAGCTACTCCAAGACAACACCACGCTTCCGTGCTCAGACGATCATGAAATGGTACAATCTGATGGTCTCTGCACGAGAAGACCTAGCTCATATTCTTGTCCATGAAACTGGCAAGCCCTTAGAAGAGGCCCGCGGCGAAATCGACTATGCTCTTACGTTCGTCTGGTGGTTCTCTGGTGAAGCGGATAGAGCGCATGGATCGTCGATTACCTGCGCTATTCCTGGTCGGCGCGCCATGACTATCAAGCAACCCATCGGCGTTGCGGCTGCTCTTGTTCCCTGGAATTTCCCTATTGCTCTAGCATTGCGCAAAGCAGCTGCCGCTCTTGCTACGGGGTGCACAATGGTCATCAAACCATCGCCCGAGACACCCCTCACAGCAGTTTCAGTCGCTTATCTAGCGTTGAAAGCAGGCTTTCCGCCCGGCGCCCTCAACGTGGTGACCACATCTCTCGAGAATACACCAGCTGTCGCTGAAGCTCTTTGTCTCAACCCGCTTGTGAAGAAGGTGAGCTTCACTGGCAGCACGAGGGTCGGCAAGATCATTGCTAGTCTATGTGCCCAGAATCTCAAGAAGACGACGTTTGAGCTCGGCGGGAATTGTCCCTTCATCGTGTTTGATGACGCCAACGTTGATCAGGCCATGAACCAGCTCATGGCTCTGAAATGGAGGCATGCAGGTCAGGCCTGTGTCACATCCAACAGAGTATTCGTTCAGAACAATATCTACGATTCTTTTGTTGAGAAACTTGTATCTGAAACTCGGAAGCTGAAGATGGGTCATGGTATGATGGAAGGGGCCACGTTGGGCGCGTTGACAACTACACGGGGCCTCGACAAGGCAGAGGAGTTGTATGAAGATGCTGTCAGCAAGGGGGCAAAGGCTGTCCTTGGAACAGGGAAACGCTACGACGGGGAGGGATATTTCATGGAGCCAACGATCTTGACCGATATGAATGACGAAATGCTCATGACACACGAGGAGATCTTTGCTCCCCTCCTTGGCGTCTACCGCTTTGGGTCAGAAGAAGAGGTTGTTCAAAGAGCCAACGACACCCCGTATGGCTTAGCAAGCTATGTATTTACCAAGAATGTGGATAGGCTATGGAGAATGTTTGAGAGCCTCGATGCTGGAATGATTGGACTGGTAAGTCGATCTCCCCTATATTGCTGGAAAGGAGAAGCTAACTCATGGGGTAGAACGCAGGTAATAGTTCATCGGCCGAAGCGCCCTTTGGAGGAATCAAGGACAGTGGACATGGAAAAGAGAGTGGCAAGGATGTCGCGATTGATGAGTTCTTGATCACCAAGACAGGCACCATGACTGTTGAAGGTCAATATTAAGCTATGTAATTTAACCTGGAACCCCTAATTATTGAATCAAGGTTCTATCACTTTTGGCGTGCATTTCTGTCAAACCTCTGCTTATTTGCTTATGGTATGCTGATAGAACAGGACTATAAAGGTAGTCAGTCTGCAACGAAACCCAGGAAACCGAGCTCCTCGAGGCGTGGGGCTGTGGGTCTCCGCTGCCACTAGAATAGCTTTAGCTAGCTGTCGGAAAATACTTTTGCCGTTAATGAGGTTGTAATTTTTTACTTTTTCGTAAATGTTTTGCTTAGCAACAACCCTGTGTCTTTCACCCAAGCTTGTGCCCAATCACCTAAAAATAGTCAAAATATCTCATGCTATAAGGATTTACCATGACCAAATTCAAGCGCAATGCACAATCGCAACCAAAGCATGGGAAACCGACGGCCAGCGGTGCATCCAAGGCACCAGTTGCACCACCAGTTCGCCGTCCGGGATGGACTGGACCAAGCTATATACACAAACCCACCAAAAAGACGCCTGCAGCAGTGAAGAATACTAGCTCGACAGAACAGATCCAAAGTCTATCTGTTAAACATTCACAACTCATTCTTGACACAATCAGAACTACATTTCCTGCCGTCGACGAATTCAATGCATTGATACCAGTGTTACGCGAGGTCAGGGAAGCCCTTGAGCAAAAGGACTACTGCAAAGCATTTGGGACCCAAGAGTTCTTGGAGGCATATACAATCCGTTGGAGCCCTAGTAGATCTCTGACAAGTGCAAATGTGCTGGCTTGGATTTGCAGTGAGATGACCGAGGCTGCATGGGTTCAAAAGTTCCTTCACAATGAAGGGCAGCAGAAGCCATCCAAGATCGTATGCTTTGGGCGAGGAGGATCTGACTTGTTAGCGTGCGTGGCATTGCTAAAGCACTCTCATGAAAGCAAACTCGACGAAATCCCCCGGCTAGAGTCATCCTCTCCTGATTGCAACGACAGTGCTATGGTTGATCTCAACCTCATTGATCAGCACGATTGGTCAGGGATTGTCACAAAACTACAGCATACTCTCACACATTCTCCTCCTCTTTCTAAATATGCCACAGCCAAGGCGCACGCTTCAAATATCTCCGCTATCCCATCTCACGTCTTAAATCTATCAGTCAACCACCTCGACGTCCTCGAAAGCGACAGTACAACTCTACGTGCGATGATTGGGCCCAATCCGGCACTAATTACTCTCTTCTTTACACTCCACGAATTCTACTCAATCTCAATATCGAAAACCACAGCTTTCTTATTGAGACTGACTGAGACAGCTCCTAAAGGAAGTCTATTGCTTGTTGTAGATAGCCCTGGAGCTGATGTCGTGCTATCTGATAGTAGCAACAAAGGACAAGAAAAGAAATACCCACTTAAGTGGTTGCTTTACCAAGCTCTGCTACCGCCTAAGAGCAGTAGCACAAATTCAGAGGAGGAGGAACAACCAGCATGGGCGAAACTTATATAAGGTGGCCATGAAAAGGAGTGTAAGTTACCTACAGGACTGAGATTTCCAGGAAGTCTTGAGAATACCAGATTCCAAGTGCACCTACTGGAGCGTTTATAACGGAGCATTTATAATACCACGCTTATCTTACAACGGTTATTCTGAAATCAAATTGGCCAACTATGGTGGAGCTAATATATGTTCCGACCCCCTACCGCGTTGATAGCAATCGCCCTGGACTGTAAAATCACACGACACTAAGATCTAAGGCAGATAAAAAGAAAAGGGAATGCGCTGCCTTGCTAGAAAGCAGAATAAATGTTCCTATATAACAATAACAATGGAGGAAATAAAGACACCCTCTAGATCGTAGGATCCCATGTCGGCCCTGCCGTTATTGCAGGGATGTATGTATGTATGTATGTATGTAT